CTTAAAGTGGGTGGATGAATTACTCGGATGGGCGATGAATCAAGGGGTGGAAATGCCTTACGTCCTCTCCCCCTCTACCTCACCCCTCTCTCTCTCTCGCTCTCTCCTCGCACTCTATCTCCTTCTTGGAAAACCGCAGTCCCAAACGAACTCCAAAAAGCCAAAAACCCGGGTAGACCCTTAAAAAATGGGGGATCGGATAAGCCGGCTTTCGGCTTTCCCATGGAACGCACCGAGTACTTTCCCGCCGACATCCCAAAGTTGCGTTCCATTTTTTGGGCGACGACCTCGAGAAATTTTCATTAACTTTTGCAGTGGCGGGGCAATAAAGAGGCACAGAAGCACATCGCGAAGATGTCTCTACGAAGGGAAATGGGTTCGTCTTCCAAGGGAAATTGAGAATGGAGAGAGAGAGAGAGAGAAAGAGAGAGAGAGAGAGAGAGAGAGAGAGAGCGAGAGAGAGAGAGAGGAAGAGAGTGAGAGATGTTTTTCTTGGAGCTCAAACTCGGGGTGTAGCTTTACAGGTACTCATCTGAATCGCTGCTGCAGATTCCTTAACGTTTCCAAAATTTTCCTTAAAATTCGGTAAAGAGGGCGTGAGCTTTTTTGAGATTGAACTTAAGAAAATGTGAGAGCGAGGGCACTGAGCGATTGAGCGGAAGCGAAAAAGAGTAGTGGGCGAAAGGTATAGGGAGAACGAGAGAGAGGGAGAGAGGAGAGACAGATTCGGCGGAGCAAAAAAAATCAAAATTATCCGTCCCCCTCCCGATAATGTAAAAGAGCCAACAGGCGTTCTTTAAAAATTCGGGGCACCACAAAATAGAAAGATCGCCTCACGAAACCCATAAAAAGCCATCAAGACGGCAATGGCCGATCATAAAACAAGAAGCCAATCATCCACGGCAGGCCCATCATTGTCTTCGAGGGGTAGGAGGCCAGCTAGAGACCTCCTGGATGTGTGTGTGCAATGTCGTGAGGTGAAGGGCCCAAAAAGAGGGGAGCCCCAAATGGGTGGTGGCCCACCAGAAGGGGCCCACCAAAAGGGGAGGGAATGGCCCTCTGCTACTGGCTGGCGATAGAAGGGAGGAGGAGGCTTTCGTCGAAAGGAATGGCATGGAATGGCCATGATGTGGGGTGCAGGTGCTGCTGCTGTTGGCTAGTGCTTTTGGGGTGCAGGAAAAGAAGCTGGGGATGAAGCCTAAGCCTGAGCCTACGTAAGCCTAAGCCTAAGCCTAAGCCTAATAAGGAAAAGCTCCCGGGTATACCGCAAAAATTCCCTGTAAAAGACCATTTGAAAAATTGTTTTATATACGAGAGAGGCACGCGACTGTGCCTAGTCTTGACCCCAAATGCTGGGGCCCAAAAAGATTTGTTTATTTCCAACTAGCGAGGGGCCCGAAAAGGGCGAAACTCTCACGTGGGCCCAAAATTAGGGCTGGCATTTGCATAGAATTAACTATAGAAAGTTAATGTCAAAAAATGAGAAAACGCAGAGCTCAAAAATCTTCATCTAGGCGTGGAATGGCCTTGAGGGTTAAGCCTATCCTTGGCGCTGGGGGGAGAGCCATTAAAATTGCATTGAAGCTTACAGATCGCTCTCTGACTCTCTGTCTGTCTCTCTCTCTATCTCTTTCTCTCTCTCTCTCTCTCGGGGTGCGTCATTTCGCGGCGCGCCACCGACGCAAAAGTCTAAAATGCAATAGAAAAAGTTGGCGGCGAATGGGTGCGGGAACGCTTTTTCCGGAAAACACCTATCTACCTGGCTACCTACCAGGGCGAGCTTAAAATAGAAAACGGGATGCGAGGCTTAGGCTTATGCTAGCAAGGATCCCTATCAGACAGAGAGAGAGAGAGAGAGAGAGAGAGAGAGAGAATATCTATCTATATCCCTTGAGCTTTGGTGCGATAGGGATTGGATTAAGCCGCCCGCACACCTACATCCATATCTTGGGCCCTCGGGGTCATACTCGAGCTTTTATTGGCCATTTAGGGCTACGGATCGGCCGCCATTTCTGAGGAAAACACGTGTGTGCATTGAGGAAGTGTTTTGGGGAGAGAGAGAGAGCGAGAGAGCTCAAGCTCAAGACAAATCCCGATCTGGGCCGTCTCGTGGAGTGCAGTGGAACTCCTTTAGAGTGAGGGCCGAGTGGCCAGCGGCCCAGGGCGAGGAAGATCTGCTTGTGCTCCTCCTCCCCCCCGAGCGGCCACTCGTCACGATTGATGGTCCGTCCGTCAAAATACACCCCGAAGCGCACGCCGAAAAGAAACAAACACTACTTTTTTGGGCGCGGCTAGTCTGCATTGAGGAGCTGGATATAACCAGTCGTATAGGAGCAGTGTTTGGGATCAGACACTCAAGGGGGAATGACTATGCCTAAGCCTAAGCCAAAGCTTAAACCAAGCCTAGGCCAAGCCTTAGCCACGCATAAGCCAAGCCTACGCCTAGGTCCATGCCTTGCCCCATCACGGAAGTTTACGAGTACACATAAGTGCTTGTGCTTGTTTTGTGGGTAAACCTCGACGAAATCGGCATCTTCCTGTTCGGGCCGATAGCGCCATATAGGAAGTAAGGGGGGCGGAAGGTGGGGGGCATACCTGCGCCTAGGGCCCGTCTTTGTTCAACGAGTTTGAGTTGGGTTTGTAGAGCTAGATTTCAGCGCTGTTTGAAAATAACGTAATTCGTAGTGTGGAATCCCAAAATTCTGCTGTAAAATATTTTGAAATTTCGGCATTCTGGAAATTCGACAGTATGGAAGTATCAAAATATCGACATTCTGAATTTCGGTATACTGAATTTTCGGCATTCTGAAAATTCGCCGTTACGGATCCTTTTAGAAATAATTCCATTTCGATCATATAAAATTTCGACGATGAATTTAGGCATTATGCAATTTCAATAACTTGGATGTCGAAAAAGTCGTTTTCCACATTCTGAATTTGGGATTCTGGTGGAAAATCGGACGAGAGTAGTTTTCGTGGCGGTCCCAGCGAGCGATTTGTAGAGCGGTGGCCCTGGAGGGAGTAGAGCTAGATTTCCCTGGCCCAGAGGCCCATCCCATCGTCATCGAATCCGGGCATGGGCCCTTCCCTGGGCCCTTCCCCCTGCCCTCCATTTTGCCAACTTAATTTGGGCCAGCCAATTGGGGCCCGGCGGACCCGGTACACCACCATCGCAGCCCACATCCACTTTTTCGTATGATGTCGGGTGGAGGATTGTTGCGGAATCCCAGGCAATGGGCACTAGGCCCTAGAAGTGCATTTTAGGTGAAAATTCTCCACTATTCCGCGTTGACAATAAAAGAATTTTAGACTTTGCCTGAAAACCATAGAAAAGCCGTTTCTTGGAACCAAAAACTGGGTAGAAAAACCATTGGGGAAATTTTTGCCGCAAAGCCTAGCGTTTTTATATCTACAGGGTGTCCCAAGAAAATCCCCCCGTCCCTAGCCGGCCGCAGAACTGTCCGATTTTTACGATTTAGGTATTTATCGAAAGCTCTCGGAAAGGCGAGTCCAGCACGTCTTGCCGATTTTCGAAATGTCGGAATTTTTTGCTCGATTTTCAGCGTTTTTTAGGCAAAAGGGCACGATTTTTGTCCAAAACGCAGTTTGACCTGTTTAAGCGCCATTCAAGCTGTGTTTTTGCAACCGGCTGGCAAAGAGCTTGCTTTGGGCTGCAAGGAAAGGCGTAAAAATTCTTAAATTGCGATTTTTGAAAAAAACCCTTTGGTCAGAAAACAACAGAAAATCCGCGCGTTTCGCAAAAAACATTAGTAAATTATAGAAAAATTTCAAAATTTTAAGATTCGGCAAGACGTGCTGGACTCGCCTTTCCGATAGCTTTCGATAGATACCTAAATCGTAAAAATCGGACAGGTTTGCGGCCGGCTAGGGGGGGATTTTTTGGGACACCCTGTATAGAGGATGTTTTTAATTGTTTTTAACAATTGATGAGCCTGCAAAAATCAGTTCTTTTGCACTATGAAGGGAAGGGCGATAGTTGGCCTTTTACTTGGTTACAAAAATAAATAAAAAACATTTTCGATAATTGTTTTTCCACTTGAAATATAGTTTCATTTCACTGAAATCCCATTAAAATACTTACCTCTAGGTTGCTAGGTATTTCTGGACTAAAGAAAAACCCAAAATATATTAAAATTTTTGACATACAAACGCCAAAATCAACTATAATAAAAAAGTAAAGACGTCTGTCTGTGTGTGTGTGTGTCTGAAGCCGAATTCAACTCGAAGGGGAAAGGAGCTAGAGCTTAGGTCTCTTCGGATTCGGATAGAGCGTGGTCAGAAACCCCCAAACTGATAAAAAAAATTATGAAAAACTTTTAGTTTAAATTATTAAAATTAACTTTGAAAGTGGCGCCTTAATAAAACGAGTGGGGGCCCCTCTCCCGGGAGGCCACGCCCCCTTTCTCTTCGCCCCTCTTCCCCAGGCCCCTTCGCGCGCCCAGATCGCTTTTTAAGTTACTTTAATACTTTTTAATACTTTTAATTATGTTAATTCATTATTTAAATTATTTAAAGCTCTAAAGCCATCGGGAAGGTATTTAGGTAGTTTTTGAAGGGGATTTCAGCCATGGGGGGTATTGATGGAGGTGGGAAAGGATGTGGTGGAGTGGGACATGTAGGGTAGCCCGAAGGCCAGATGGTTGCAGTCGCGAAGCGACTGTAACCATCTGGTTTCGAATAACTCAAGTATCTTTTTTTCTTCTTAAACAATGTAAGCAAGATTATCTTGAAAACCTCTGCAAAGCACTATAAAATAGTGTCATTCCGCCCTGCTACGTAGGCGAATCGAAAGAAAAAAAACGAAATGGAGACTCAACACGCGAGCCCGACAACGAAACCATAGAACCGTCGGGGACGCAGCGTAAAACACGCGAATGCAAACAATTTATTGCCGTAAGAAATCCGGGGAGACACGCGAATAAGTTTTTCCATTCAGAAGAGATCCGTTGATCGTCGCATTAATGGGCGGGGAGCAGCTAGGCCAGCTGGTCGGGGTGCTGGCGGTAGAAGCTGACCAACTCCTCCAGGCAGCCGAACCTATAGAAATTGCTTTAGAAGCTGTAGACGTTTTTGGAAGTTTTTACATCGTTTTTAGATATAAAAAGCTCGCAGAAATCATACTAATTTTTCAAAAATCCTCAAAAATGGTCAAAGATGTCTGGAAAAAAACCACCGAAGGCTCCAATTTTCCAATTTGTCGCAGTTTTAAAAATGCTTTTATTGTTTTTGCTTTATAGCAATTCTTTTCCATTTAAAACAACGCCAAACAAAGACGCTGCTTAATTGCCAGGCGGCTACAGCTAAAAGTATAGCACCAAGGACTCGCGTGATTTCGACGAGAAAATAGATGAAAAATTTGAGCACCAAACTCACAATGGTCCATTGTGGTGCTCGTTGAGGTACCAGAGCTTCTAAAAAACGACAAATTAACGCAATCTGCTCAAAACTACCGGATACTTATCCGTCTGCACCCTGGTGAGCTGGGCCGGCTTTTCGGTGCTCGGGAAGAGGGCCATCAGACGCAGCATTTGCTATGGGTATATGTATGTTTATTTTATGCGCAAATTCGCTTTCCACTTTGCAATTTTTTAGTAAAGAAACCACTTTTTAACACTTTTTGAGATAGTTTGCCACGTGAAATAGTTCATTTTTGTAAAAACACGTTTAATTACTGGCCATTGCGTTACCCGGTCTTTCTGGAATTATACACACCCCCTGATAATGCACAAGCTCTGCCAAATGTTACCAGCGGTTCGCTTTCGCGCTGCGACGGGTCGTCGAGGTAGAAGACGCCAGGGTGCTCGCGCGTCTTCCGGATTGCTGTCTGAATTGGCAAAACCAAATCAGAAAATGAGCACAAACTACCGCCAAATCAACGTAGCCAATGTAGCGGTAGTCCTTTGGCGAGGTGGCGCTAAAAATACACAGATATTCCTGTAGAAACCTACCCGGAGCGGCTCATGATGTGGACATGCTGATATTTCCGAGTTCTATTTGCATTTTAATAACTACGAATTCAACTTCATAAATGCAGATTTATCTTTATCAACGTACAAAAGCGAAAAGCCAAAAAACAATAGCACCGAGATCATTCATTCGTAACCGGGGACTTCTTCAGAGGTATTGACGACTGGCGTGTAGACGGCGAAACGATTCCGCACCATTTGCGCGATGATTGTCGTGATCATTTGTATTTCGGCCATCCCGCCCAGCCCCGTGTCGCCGCACATCAACGTTTTTGAGATTGGCGGAATTTCCTGAAATCCGGAAATTAACAAATAAACAGTAGCGGCCCAACCTTGAAGCCCAGCAGCTCGGTTAGCAGCTTTTTATGTTGCGCGGTCAATGGGGATAGCCACATCTCCGTGTTCATCGCAGGCGCAAAATATAGTGGCTTTGTTGATTCCCAGGCCCTAAGAATTGGTAAGGTTTGAATGAGCAAAAATACCTAACAACGTTCGTTAATAAATTATCGCACAATCCGTGTGCTATCTTCGCCAGCGTGTTTGCGTCCAATGGTGCTATGAACATCGCGTCTGCCCATTTTCTTAGTTCTGAAAAACTATTGTTTTAAAGAAGGCGAGAATAAAAACCTATATGAAGCACCGGATCACCACGGCCGCGCCACATCGAGTGCTCGTCGCGGTCTTCGTAGATTATTTCTTCCGTTTCCGTCGCCAGCTCATCCTCGATTGACTCCAGCATGCGTAGGCCCATTTGTGTGGCGATTACCTGAGATTTCAATAAACACATCGCGATATAACCGACCTTCACAAATAATCGATTCGGGGGACAGATTTCGTGCAGCTTCTTCAACATTTCAGCCAATTTTATAGCCGCAACGGACCCAGTGACGCCGATGAGAAGATGGAATTTCCCAGGTTCCCGGACGATTCGATGTGTGTTCGTGAAGGGTGGACGGCGGCCCTATTACAAGTAATTTTTCAAAATAGTAAGCCTACCATTCCCGATCTCGCCTCACTCTGTACCGATTCAGCGTCGTCACTCTCCGTGCCGAGATCGATTTTTAGCCGTTTTGGCGATGATGTATACGGTCCTTGATCATCTTCTGTATCGCAAATCATCTCTGTAAAAGAAGTATTTTGAGCCAAAGGGAAACATTTGACGGGGATGAAAAAAATACTTCCGCAGGAGCCCTAGGCATTTTTGCAACCACAAATATAGCGAGGAGCCCCAATTAACAATATTCCACGGCTCAAACCGTCAAACCTCTTGCATAAAAGCCATTTCTCAGCGGTAAAATTTTATCAGACATATAAAAAACATCAACAAAGAACAGTGATGCACATAACGACAACAACCAAAAAAACAATCTGGCAAACGTTTTAATTCGCTTCGTTCTCCTCATCTTCCTCGATGACGGCTTCCATGCCACGGCCATCATTTTCATAATTTTCGACCTTCATGTCGAGCAGGCCGAGGTCGTCGTCTTGCTCGCGGGAACGCGTGTAGTAATCTTTGTGGAGTCGCGGATCATCAAGAGGGGCTGTCGTAGACTAAAGCCAAAAATGTGGAGCGACGCAGCACAACAAACCTGAATATAGCTGTTGCCAGCCGGGTCGTCTAGCACAAGCGTCACCGGTTTTTCTAGCGAAAGAATCTAAAACGAGGCAATTCGTTACAAAAAAGAAACGCAAACCTGGTCAAACGACTCCATGAGGGCCTTCATTTTAACTTTTTCATCGTCTTGCGCGCTGTCACCGGTGAAAAACTTGAATTGTTGATCGAGCTGCTCCTAAAACGAAAGCCGAAATATGCAATCCAGATCAAAATACCTTGGTGGCTGTCAACAACCCTTCGACCGTTGTGAATCGCCCGGAAATTGCGCCATAACCAACCTAAAGCATTTTCATAAAAACTTAACGCAAAGCTGACCTCTAAATCGAGCTCTGGTATCGACATGCAACAGGTATCTGATTTCAAAACATCACGCGCCAGGTCAATCGACTAAAAAAATATCATTTCGGGCTTAAAAAGATACCTCAGCAATGGTCAACGACAATTTGCAGCCTTGAGCACGAATCGGGCCGCCGCTCTTAATCTCGTTAGACTTGTTTCCACAATTGTCACATGTAAAGGCCATTACGATAACCTCTTGGAAGAACGGAATATCTTAGATGATCGGAAACTCAATTGTAAAAATTGCAATCAAACCCAGATGCTTCATCAGGAGCTCCCCTTCGGTTTTACAAACTTCACACGATGTTGGGATACGCATCACTTCGTCTTTTAGATTTTCATCTCCGCGTTTAATCGGTTCGACCGGCTCTGCTTCTTCATATTCTTTTCTAAAGGCTCAGGGCATAAACCCAAATTTACGCTTGCGTACGTGTTATCGTCAACGAGTCCAAGCATTTTGTCCTCGGCAACCGGCCGTGGGTAATGGACCAAAATCGCACGAGGGTCCACGTGCATCGGGTCAGGGTTCTGGATGAAGCAGTTGCCGGTCGGATCGTGCAAGATCAGTTTCCAATCCGTTTTCAGCTCCAGCGCAGCTCGCGCTTTATTCAGAAAGCCCTCAACTTGGTCAGCGTCTTCGGCAGAGAGGGCTCTAAACTATCCTTCTAAAACATAAATCCTTTCCGACCTTCTCGCCGGCTGCGAATCTGCTAGGCGTTCGATGGCGCGTGAAAGCACACTTTCAACGGTTGTTACCTCTTAAAAAATATTGGTTATCGCCAATATTCATATTAACAATTACCAGCCGGGCCATGCTGCGCTGGTATAGTCAGCTCAATTTCCGGGATTTCAATAGAAGCGTATTCCGATTTTACCTAAAAAAAGCCAAATAATAAATCGTGCAATGAAAAACTAACAATTTGACGGCGCAGGTCGCACTGCTCCTTGACAGCCAGCGTAATCTCAACGCCATGTTCCTACAAATTAAATGAAAATCAGCTCCTGCATAATACCTGCACAGCCTCCCCGCTTTGCACTTCATTATTCTTATAGCCACAATGCGGACACTCAAACGCGATGAGGATCACCGATTTGTAGTATGGTATGGAGGTGAGAAGGATACGAGTTATCCCCTAAAAAGATATCTGAGCTAAGGAACCCGATCCTACGTTTTCTTCACAGTTCACACAAAGACTCTCGACTTCCATCGGGGCCGCATCCGGGCCATCGGCCGAGAGGGCTTGATAGACGACCGATTGTCCACCGGCAGCCATTACCTAAATTAAAAATCAGGTTAATTAGATGAAAGAAAGGATAAAGCAATAAAAAGGTGAGAAATTTGACATAAATGTTGGTTTTCTTGATTTTAAAGCGAATTTAGAAGGTCTAACGATACAAAAGTTGAGTTAGATTTCGCGGATAAGTTATTAGCATTTAAAGTATCGAACTGCTTATCAAAAAGTTTCTAAAATAGCAAAAAAAATGTAATAAAAATCTTCCAGAATTATTTTTTGCCGACTCCTTTCGTAATACATCTCTTTTTGGGCACAGAATCCCTGTGGCAATTGTACTACTGCGTATTGATGGCAACCCCGACGGAGAATTGTTCAGAATCGTTGCTGAACAATGTAGGTAGATACACAGGGAAAAGTCCGCCAGATTTTCGCCCGATGGCGGCCAGGCTGCCCGATTTTGGCCAGCTTTTGGCCAGATTTTCGCCTGAAGGCGGCCATGTCACCTGGCGAAAACTTGGCGGCCATCGGGCCAGACCTGGCCGCCAGGTTCCCGCCCGATGGCCGCCGGCCCGCCCGGTTTTCGCCACCTGGCCGCCAGAATTTCGCCAGGGTTTTTAGTACACTGTCGTACCGCTTTTGGCCAGAAGCTGGCGGCGGTGGCCGCCAGGTTTCCGCCCGATTTCCGCCAGTTGTGGATAGTACTATTGCGTTGCTCTGGGGACTTTGGCGTTTTTTCGGGCCTCAGTCAATGTTTTCGTTGTCATCAAAGCTAAATTTATCTATTTTTATGAAACTTTTTATAAACGCTTGTAAATTGATTTCTGCTTTACTTTTACTGCGAGTTTTAGCTAGTTAGATGGAAAACAGACGCCACGTCGTTGACTAATCACCAAAGTCTGTTCACTCAGGTATTGTATTTACTTTAGGATTATTATATTTTAGATAGATCCAAATAAAAAGACAATTATTGTGACGGAAACAGCATCGGAAGATGGCATTTCGGTTAGTAAGCAATTGCTATTGGTTTCTTTGATAAAGTTTTAGTTTTGGTTTCTATTTTATGGAACCGTGAGTTTTTATTTTAATGCATTGCATCCTGGGTAAGTCTATGATTAAGGTTCAATCATCTATGGGTTATTTAGCTGCAACAGAAGGAGCTGCTCAAAGACTCTGATACTTTGCTGCTCGCACGCCGGTGGAAAAAGTAAGTCATGTCCGGTAGGTCCATATCTATAATCCTAGTTTTGTTTCTACAACTTCGGATGCTGTATGCGCAATGGACATCGGTCACTGATGAAGGTAAGTATGTGTATGAAGTAAAACGAGAACCGTTTCCATAGAAAAAGTAGAGCTAAATATAAAAACGACGAATTAAAATAAAAACGCCATATTTCAGGCAGGCACACCTCCAGCGCATCCCCGACATGAAGCAGGCTGCTTCTAAATGCTGCAATGCATAGTAGCGGCACTAGCATTAATAGTAATCGATATTAGAAGGAGCATTACCTGGCCCGGGAACCCCCGTTCTGCCATCTTTTCGCCATGTGGCCGCCGGATTTTCGCCTACTGGTCGCCACCTGGCCGCCACGTGGCGGCCCGATGGCGGCCAGGTGGCGGCCACCCGGCGGCCCGATGGCGGCCACGTGGCCAAAACCTGGCGGACTTCTCCCTGTGTAGTACCTCCAAGCTCCTATAAAACAGGAAAAAATATCGCTGCTACTCGCTCGATGACATAGCATTCGAGTTAGTCGAAAAAAGCTGTTTGCGCGGTTTTACGGCTTTATGGAGGCATAATGGCTTGCGCTGCTCATTTTCTAAGCTTCTGCGACAAATTCTGGAAGGATCCGAGTTTTTAATATCGCTCACATTCTTACACCCACAGCAAAATTTAACTGAACCCGACTTTTCACAAGGTCAAAAAACCTTCATAGACGTGCGCCAGCTGTGGTTATTTCAAACCTCAAAAAAAATCGTGGTTCCATAGGGATTTCTGCAAGTTGACCCCTCAAAAATTTTCCGAGGGTATGGCTACTACGCGATGCTAGATTCTATTCTGTGCTTTGGTCGTTGTCCCGTTGCCCTTCTCTCGCTGGGTGCATCTACACAAAGCCACTCCATCCCAGGTTACGGTATTCTGGGTGTATATTTGTGTATGCAGATGGGTTGTGTGGGGGCGTGCATGTGGTATGTATGTTGTCTATGTGTTTGTATGCTTATCACCTCGGGTTGAACACCTCCGGGGCCCGCGACACCTCCACTGTTATGGCCTCAAGGAGGTTGGGGAGGGCCGAAAGCCGAGAAGTGCGATCGGCTAACAAGACGCTGCGCGCGCGCGAGAATGCGTCTTCGCACAAACACCGCTTCGCTAGCCAGACCGCTTCACACCTACGCACGCTCTTGTACAATACGCGCTTCCGGATAAGGAATTGCAACTATTCGCGGGGGAGAAGGTGCATGGTTTGCAAGTGAGGCCACCGGAGGTGAAGCTCGAAATGAAATCGGGGCCATTTTTTGGGCGTTGGGTCGAGATGTTACGCTACGCTAGCTTTAAATTGGAGTTTCCGAAGCCTAGGGTAAGCCTAACCTTAAGCTTAAACCTATGCCCAAGCCAAGCCAACGCCTAAGCCTAAGCCTATTCCTACGACAATCCCGACCTAAGCTAGCTAAGTCTAGGCTTAAGTCTGCTTCTGTCTGAGCTAAGCATCTACCTATGCTTGAGCATAAGCCTATGCCTAGGCCTACGCCCAAGCCCAAGCCTAAGCCTACGCCCAAGCCTAAGCCCACGCCTAAGACTAATCCTTGGCCTATGCCTAAAGCAAAGGATACCCAGTTTCAAAATTTCGATCCCTATGATCCGGGCCATGGCCATGTGGTCGTGACCCCTTGTTCCCGCTTCGGAAACCCGCGGATTCGGGCCCAGCTCGGGGGCATGGACCTAGGAGGAGCGTGGGAACGCAGTGGCCAGCGATGGCTACGCGACATCCGCCCTACTCGCAACAATGGGATGGCCGTTTTCGGGCCTTCCCCCTTACAATACCTCCGTTCCAAAGCGAGTGAGAGAGAGAGAGAGGGAGAGAACCAAAGGCTCCTACAGACAGCGCTCCCGACGACCTTTTTTGCACCGGAAAAAGAGTGTTGCGGCGGCGGGGAGGGTTTTGGGTGTTCCACTTCCAGCCTGCTGTGTTTTTGTGCCCGCGGGGCATTGCATTGTTCGCTCTTCTGCTACGGGGCCCCGGATGCAGCAAAGTTCGAAGGGTGGAGAGGAGGGAGTACCGGGGGGGAATCGGTGGTATTTGCATTTTAAAGGGGCTGGGAAGTGAGGTGTTTTACTTCAACCCTAGAATCTAGGCGATAGGATGTAGATATATTTTTCCCGAATCACGTAGCGCATGCGCTTGATTGCCAGTGGATAGGAGAGAGGCAAAGAATGAGAGATAGCGAGATAGAGAGGGCCTGAGTGAGAGAGAGAGAGAGAGAGCGGGAGAGAGACAGGGAGCGAGCAAGAGAGAGGGAGAGTGCCAGAGAGAACGCGATAACCCACATATCAAAACCTCATTTAATCGAAAAATTGCGTTTGTTCTCAAGCCGGCCATTTCAGCTTTTCTACACCTTTTAAAACTTCTTTTTAAGACAGTTTTCTACAGGTTCCTAAGACCCGATAAAATTTCTATCAGCCTCTCTGATTCCGATACAATGCGGTCCCCCACCTGGCCGATTTCCCCCTGATGCCCCCCCCCCCCCACCCACTTGACCAGGCGTAATGTGTGAGGTGCGGGAAATCTGGGAAAGATTGCGCGGGCTGATGGGCCTGAAATTGAGAGCCCCAGGCACGGACCGATCTCCACAATCGAGTCGTTATTCGATTGGGGCCACACGTACCGGGGGACTCTCAATTTGGTACGAGGCTTCTATGGAGCTTGACATTACGAGTGGAGAGAGAGAGAGAGCAAGAGAAAGAGAGAAATTGAAAGAGGTGGATCGTCCCCTTCTCAATCCCTTTAGGACCAGTTTTAAGACGGTCTAGAACCATCAAATTTTTCTTCCCCCTAGTTTTCGCAGATTCCTGACTTCCCGGTCCCTTTAAAGTAACGTAGTTTTTAGAACGATAAAAATCCACTTTCCTCAGTTTGCGTCTTTTTTTACTTGCAGGTCCCTTTAAAGCCGCAAACCACCAGAACAAAGACCATCAAAAGCGCTTCCCAAGTACACATCCCTTCGAATCCCCTTTTCAGTCGCTCCAGAAAGGTGTAAAGTGGAGCACCTTGGAGAGATCGGTGTTGCTTAGGCCTGTTGTGGCCACTTCGGGAGGGATGGTCTTCTCCACCAAACCGAGAGCTTCACAATCTGCTTATGCCCCGTTCCTTTTCCCCGCCTAGCTGTCTCCGTTGTGTTTGCAAGGAGATCGACTGTGGAAGGGGACAAGCCGACCCCGAAAGAGAAGAAGGAGGAGACAAGGTGTTAATTCTCGCACCCCGTCCGCCAACACGACACACCCCAACCGCCACTACGTTCCATTCCAATCGTACAATCGGTTCGAGGAGGGTTAGACAGTTTTTAAAGGAGCGTTGAAGAGCGGAGTCTGGGGTATCGGAGGCTTCGATTTTGCGAGGAGAACTTTCTGAGAAATTCTTGATTAGTTTCTCGTTTTTAGCCGCGGAGAGAGGACGGCGAAAGAGCGGAAAGAGTGAGAGACAGGGAGAGAGAGGGAGAGAGAGAGAGAGGGAGAGAGAGAGAGAGGGAGAGAGTAAGAGAGTGGAGAGAGGGACACCTGATCAAAACGAAATGAAGTAAGACTCGGCTTGGAGTACGAAGATAATTTTGATGTCTCTACCAGCAGGACGAATTGGAGAGCGATAGAGTGTGTGGATCTGGGAGAGAGAGAGAGAGAGAGAGAGAGAGAGAGAGAGAGATAGAGCGAGAGCGCGGGAGAGAACAGGAGGCGAATAGACCGACCCAAAGTCGGAAAGTTTGCTGTCTGATCCCCTTTAAAGTCAGAATCAAGCGATCCGTTGCGAATAGCTTGGAGTTGCCACCACTTTAGTGTCTATGACTCGCCTTGTCTCTCACTCTCTCTCACTCTCTCTCGCTCTCTTTCAACGGTCACGTCTGTCTGTCCATATTTCGTTTGTCAGTCACTTGTATGTATCCGCACTTTTTGTCCAAACCGTCCGCAGCCCTGTGTCCCGAAGCGAGGGGTTCGGAGGTGTGAACGGAACCGGGCGGTCACTAAGGAGTGTTGCCATTTTTTGCGCGTGTCTGAATGTCTCTCTCTAGCTCGCTCTCGCTCTCTCTCTCCCTCTCTGTCTCTCTTCTCTTCTCTTCCCATCTAGGGGGTGGGGCAAAGGGCGGGGGATACTTGAGGCGGGTGGGTCCGGGGTGTAGAGCCCAAGCCCCGAGGGCACACTCTTCGCCCCCTCCCCTCCCTCCTTCCCCTACCCCCTTCTACCGTACCGACTACGCGACACTCCTCCGGACGAACGCCTCGCTGAATGTATTCCAAAAATTTGTGGCTCGTATTTTGCTTTGTGCTACCGGGTGAGTGAGAATTCGCTCTAGTTTTTATATGTTGATTGCCTTGCCGGTCCCTTTAGAATACACCTTTTGCCTTAACGCTCCCTTTAGATGATAGAATTTGGCATTTCTCAAAGTTTAGAGCTTTTTAGAGCCGTTTAAACTAAGATAGATGGCACAGAGGCTGGCTATTAAGCTGAAAAAGCGCTTGAAAAGCTCAAAACAGTCTTTTTGTGTTTTTGCAAGGAATTTTCACACAAAAGTGTCTCCATTTTTAGAAAAATTCCTGAACCTCCCAAGCCCTTTGAAAAACACAAAACACGCTTTTTCCGGGGGTTCTATTTTTGCTCAAGTCGGCGTTCGGGATTCCCGCTTGAAACTCTGAAACATCCGAAGGAGGCATCGCAGCGTTCCTTTGAGTGCCCCCCTTGGGTCAGTGTTCCTTTTGCGGGTCATCTTTCAACCTTCGTGCCCGCCCCCCCCCCCCTCCCAGATTGGCTTTTGGAATCTCGCGGAATCGGGGAGATCGTGTTCGTCCTGGAAGCCGAAATAAGCTTCCCCCGGGTGCAAATAGGAGTGCCCCGGAATCGTCTTGTCCAACCGGGGCTTGAGATTCGTCGGGGTTCAAAGATAGAGAGGCCTTTAGAAGCTTTTCGAAGTTTTTCGTAGCCTTAGAAAAATAAGAATGCTCGATTCCGGAAAAAACCGGAAGAGGGTGCAATCCGTAAAATTCCGGAACAGCCTAGATTTCCGTTTACGGGCTGTTTTTGGAATTTTTGAGCTACCTCGGCCCAATCAGTTGCATACGGTATGATCCAAGATTGCATAATTTTCCAGATTTTAAAGGGGCTTAGAAGAGGAGAATTTCATGGCGTAACAATTTGAAGATTTTCGAACGCCCTGAAACTCGTATTAGATGTCGTAATGAATTAAATCAGCTGCGTGTCATGAAAAATGTCGTAATCGCTTAAAACTAACCAAATTCCAGAATTACTTATCGTAATCGAGCAAACCTCTGTAGAAATGAACCTTCATGACGAAGTAAATGCCGTAATGGATTAAGCGTTTGTTAAAAACGCCGAAGCAGCGTTGACATTACATGTCGTAATCAGTAAAATCCAACAAAAATAGAATACCAATTACCACTCGTAATCGGATAAACCTTTCCGGAAAACCCGATCCAGCGTCGCGAATTGCGCGTCGTAACCGATTAAACTACTTAAAATGAAATTTCACCAATCTTTTTTTCAGCACTGGGCAGCCCGGCAACGACGGAGCAGCTCCGGCAATGGATAGTCGCCAACCGGAAGAGCTTGCCGGATGGTGTTGGCGATGGTGATATTGCACAGACGATCCTTAGGTCAGTATTTTTTCTAGATTGCGATGTTTTATAGTCTAAATAGTAGTTTTTAACACATTGATAAACATCTTCAGGTTATTCGGTTTCGGCGCTGACACGACGACGACTACGAGCACCACATCCGAACGGCCGACTACCACGTTGAAACCCACAACAACGCCCCCGATTGTTGATAATAGGGATGGTGAGTTTTTTAGAGGTTTAAAATTGATCGATGCTTTTTCTTTATCTTACAGCTTGTTAGCTAATTTACATAATTTTAATCATTTTTAAAGGGTTGCCGACGGCATGTGTCGATCCCCCCCATCAACAAATTGGCAAGTAGCCAACAGGGCAGAGAGCGCGCCCTGGGGCTAGGCGCAGAGACAATTTCTTTCCAGCGCGTAACCGATTGACTATGCCGTCGGCATCCCTTTAAGTCATTCTAGTCTTTAGAAACCAAATTTTGGTCATTTTTGGCCTCGAAAAGTCCCTCGTCAAATTTAATTCAAACAATCTGCCTGATCTACGTAATTTTCTACTAGTTGATGCTGCTCTAAAACCCCAGATTTTTCTTATTTTATCATTTTTAAATGCGCATAGGTTCAAAATCAGAAAACTGCCGTATTTTTTTGCTATAATTTCAAAACAGTTTTCAAAACATAGATTTAGGTTTGCGAAATCGCTGTCAAAAATCTTAGCTTTGTCCCACTTTATCGCCAAAATGGCACAGCTGTCTAGAACCCTCGAATGCTCGAGGCCGTATTGCCACTATAACTTTTCTAACTTACGGTGTCACCTTCTAATATTTTGCCAGCTTATAGCTTTTGGTTTTTGCAAACGATAGCTGAAACTTTCAGCTCAATCCAATTTATCTCCGCCAAATTACGCCTTTTTTTGTACGGCGCGAAAGGTCCCGCATTTCCCAGTTCCTTTAATGACCCCCAGAAGCCCTGGTAGGCTAGTGAATTTGTGTGAGTATCGTCTCGTTGACTGGTCGGCGTGAGCCTCGCCCCCCACTCGCCGTGTTTGTCTTTTGCTTTTTCGCGCTTTTCCCCCCATTGCGCTGCGCGCTAAATCCCACACGATCTTCACCCCTGCGGAGGTCTCTGAAAGTACGTAAAGAGGGCTAATTACGGAACTGGGGCACGAGGATTTTCTTAAAACTAATCCATAAGAACCATGCGTAAGCCGAAGCCTAAGCCTAGGCATAAGCCGACTCCTAGTATAGCCCTAAATCGCATTCCCATGACGCTGTATCCTTGAACGTATCGTGGCGTAGCGTCACGTAGCGGATTCTCATACAGCGTAGTGCAGCGTATCGTCACTTGCATTTTTTATTCTTTTTGCGCTAAAGCTGAAAATTTCGTCTTTAGTCTAGAAAAATGCTGAAATTTTGATAAATATTCAATTTTTCTACTTCTCAAGTTTTTCCAAAAATTCAGAGCTCCTAAAAAAACTACAGTATTTGTCAAAAACCAAAATACCAAAACACTCCGATCTTCCGTTCCGTGGCGCTCCGCTCTAATGCGGGACACAGAATCGCACAAAATACTTGAGCCGACCCGGAATTTCGATGCACCACTTTTTGCACAGCCGATCGGTTGCGGCGTAGTGTCGCGTCGTCCGGTCCGAAAATTGGATTGGGGGAATACACGGCTCCGGGACCCAAAAACAAATATGGGCAAAAAGAGGGATTCATGTGTACACATAGACAGCAGCTACAAACGGACAGAGCCCGAGTTCGTTTCGATGCTAAGGACGGACGGCTAGCAACAGCCAGAACCCTCAAATCGACGCTGAAAACGGGGGTCGTTCGCCCCCCCCCCCCCCAGGCGTTTTTTGGAGTGTAGTGTAGTTGACCTGGTTGGAGAAGGGTAAATAATAATGCAGCCAGGGGGGGTCAAAAGATCGAGTTGGGGGTTCGGAAAATCGTTTTTCCAAATTCTCAGCAAATCTTGCGGAAAAACAAAGTAATCCCTAAAGTAGGCCTAAGCCAAGGCTAAGCCCAAGCCTAATTTCTAATACTCACCCCATTTACAGTATGCCCGTTCAACGCGGATCCGCTGATCCTGACCGGCGACTTTGCCTACTGCCGCCCATCGACCCTTGGAGATTGCCCCGTTGGCTATCTGTGCGACCAGAGCTTTGTGCTTGGAAGGTAAGTCGCTAATCCGGTAAGCCTAAGCGTAAGCTAAGCTTAAGCTAAGCCTAAGCTAAGCCTAAGCTAAGTCTAAGCTAAGTCTAAGCTAAGCCTAAGCCTAAGCCTAAACTTCCCAACTATTGTCTCATTTTCAGATCGATTTGCTGCCGCGACACCCGGCCCAAGCAGCCCACCCCCAACCGTCCGGCTACCGGTCAGTTTTGCAATGATTGTTTTTCCAGTTTTAAAGGACCCCGGAAGGCTGGCCGCCTACAGTAATCTCAAAATAGAATACAGTAGGAATTCATCTTTTATCTTGCACATTTTTTGTAAATTTATGAAGATTTCTGAGTTCTCAGTTCCTTGAAATCAACAAAAGCCCAATTTTTGTTTCTCGGCTCCTAGGGCGCCCCCGGGTCCTATGATCTCCCATAGCTCCAGAAAATCGGGCGGAAACGTGCAGCCGCTTTCAGCGTTTCAGCCCCCCACCACCCTCGGGATATCCATTATCTATCAGTCCGAAGAAGGGGAGAAGCTAGAGAGAGAGAGAGAGAGAGAGAGAGAGAGAGAGAGAGAGAGAGAACCAGAGACTGTCTGGGGTCAATATTTGGGGTCTGCTGGCGCGAGGCGCGCCTTCTCGGGGGCGACGACGACGCACACCAAATAACGCCCCCCCGCGGGCTTCAACACCTTCCAGGCCCAATCGACCGTGATCTGGGGGGAAGAAAGGAACAGATGAATCAGAGAGATAACATCTAGGAAACGCTAAGGGAAAATTTTTACCCTTGACTTGCCAGTACCTTTAAAAGTCCAGAAATTTCCAAAATTGCGCAGATGGCTACCGTAAATGGTTACGAGGCTCGACCCGCTGTCCCGGCGACCCTACAGGGTGTCCCAAACCCCCCCCTAGCCGGCCGCAGACCTGTCCGATTCTTACGATTTAGGTATCTATCGAAAGCTCTTGGAAAGGCGAGTCCAGCACGTCCGTCCTATTCTTAAAATTTTGAAAATTTTCTATAATTTACTAATGTTTTTTTTTGCAAAACGCGCGGATTTTCTGATGTTTTTCTGACCAAGGTGTTGCTTACAAAAATCGCAATTTAAGTATTTTTATGCCTTTCCTGGCAGCCCAACGACAGCTTTTTGAAAGCCGTTTGCGAAAACACAGCTTGGAATAGCGCTTAAACCGGTTAAACTGCGTCTTGGACAAAAAAGCGTGTCCTTTTGCCTGAAAAAGGCCGAAAATCCAGCAAAAAAATTCCGACTTATCGAAAATCGGCAAGACGTGCTGGACTCGCCTTTCCGAGAGCTTTCGATAGATACCGAAATCGTTAAAATCGGAGAGGTCTGCGGCCGGCTAGGGGGGGGGGGGGGTTTGGGACACCCTGTATTACCTTCAAAAATTCAAAATGACGAAATTGACATAACTAAGTTTAACGACGTATTTTCCAGCCTCGTCCGCCCGCCCGCCGTTCGTCTGGAATACCGTAACACCAGCCGTGCCCGGGCAGCCAGGCTCTTCCCAGACCAAAAACCCGCTGACGACCAAGAACACCCCGTGGTACATCAAAAAGGACAGGTGTGCTGGCTAACGGAATGCTTCTATTTACGAATCTGTGCTTTCGGGGTTGTCCAACGGGATTCAATTGCGTAATCGGCTACAGCAGGATTTTTTAAGAGTTTTTTCTAACAGTTCTGGCGCGTAAATAAATCGTAGCGCTGCGTACTCACCACTTCTCTAACCTTCTTTCTGTCCCTAACCCCTTCTTATTAACGTACTGCGTCTACAGTAACTAACATTGACTAATCGGAAAAAGCAAAAATGCCGACAGCAAATGCCGACAACGAAAATGCCGACAGTCAGCGAGAAAATTCATAATACCGACAACAAAGTTGCCGACATTCAGCTGGTTATCGCTGTCGACCTTTTTTTGTCTATCGGCATTGTGAACGTCGACATTTCAGCTGTCGGTCTTTGATTCGTCGGCATTTTCACTGTCGGCATTTGACTTGTCGGCATTTTGAATGTCGGTCTTCCGACTCAAATCGACTAACCGTCATTCCTCGGTTTTACCCCCCGTATAATTTGTAGGACCGGCTGGACATCGGCTTATAACCGTGTCACCCCGACCAAGGAAACATTTGCCCCGTCGACTGAACGCTCGACTACTCCTGCCACCACCACGACCACCACATCAACCACCACCCCCGCAACCACAACCACCACGTACCTTTTTTACCCTATTTTACCCTTATCCGATTTTTGAAACGTTTAGTTGAAATTTTGGAGCGCTGTTTTGCCTTATTTTGACCCGCTACCCCCATGATTTTTTAAATTTCGTCGAATTTAATTTAATTCCCATATTTTTTGCTTAATTTTGATTCTTTCGCGGCTTCACGCTGAACTCTGCGACCGATTTTCGCTCAAAATTTCAAAGTCCACCGAAAGCGAGCTATTCCATCCGAAAGGGCATAAAAATAGCGCGTATTTATGCATTTTGACCTCATGCTACTTCAAGCAACGAGTAAAATAAAGTTAACCCAGACTCCAAGCGCCCCTTTAAAGCCGGCAGATCAATTTAAAATCGGTTTTCCAGCACGACCACCACCACAACGACGACCGCCGCCCCCACGACGACCACCACCACGACTGCCGCCCCGGTCCCAAAGAAGGCGTAAGTTGGAGTGTAGCGTAGCTAGAAAAGGGAGAGAATTTTAGTAACCCTTGGGGACGTCTGTGGACCACTACCTCGCCGCCTGTTTCTACCGTCAACGTCTCCGTGTTGCAGGCCGGATCGATCCGCACATTAAAGGTAGGCTGTGGCAAAAATCTGTAAGGATGCCTTGTATGCTTTTTTAATGGCTTTTCCGGGTCTTTGAAACCGGAACCGGAAAACCGGAAAAACCGCTCCCTAATTTCAGGATGGCCAGCAAGAAATGGTGTCCGCCATCACCCTGGTCAACGACAACGGCTTCTACCTGTTGATCGACACCGGCTCGTCCTCCGACACCGAGCGGCTCCTCCACAGTCAGCTTTTCTAAACCCTTTTCTCTCTTTTCGAGTATCCAATCTCTTACCGGAAGTTCAATGGGGAGTCTAAATCCGCTTGGAAAGTGGATTTGGCTGGAAGATTGGGTTCAAATTGTCTGTGAGTGGATTTAGAGCCGTTTTTTAGGTCTTTGGTTTGGTCCTTGGATCCTGAAAGAGTTCAGTAGTGGTGAAACCGAGTGATTGGCAGCTTTTCAATGTTGCGCCAGAATGAAGCCTAAACCAAGCCTAAGCCTAAGCCTAAGCCTGATCCTAAGCCTATGCCTAAGCCTAAACCTAACTTAAGCCTAAGCCTAGGCTTAAGTTTAATAAACATCAATCGAAACGTCAAAGAGGCAGCCCTAGTCTAAAGCTCAACCCCTCCAACTTTCCGGACAATCTTCAGGTGGAGTACCCCCATGCCCACATGAAGCCCAGACCCGATGGGCGGAATCCACTCTGCGCACCGAATTGCCTACCCGGCCGCTTCGGCCTCCCCATCCAATTCTCCCGGCTTCACCTTCCCCCCCCCCTCCTTGGCCCTTTTGGGTCCCAATCCCTTTATTGGGCCACTGGCAGGGATGGGCCCTTGTCGAAGGGAAGGGCCCAACTCACCGGAACACCCCCAATTTTGAGGCCATTTTATGCCCCGAGGACTTAGGCGTTGCCAAAAATTTGCGGTCGTTAGGAGTTTATAGGAAAATTTGCGTTTCTGCTTTGCTGCTGTTTTGCCTAGTTTGAGCCTAAGCCGAGTCTAAGCTATTACAATTCTGATCAGCAGCGTTTTTCTTGTTTTCCATCTTCACGACCCTTCTCCCATTCCCTGCCCAATCTACCGTACCCCCAGGCTGCGGCTATGGACTCCGACGACCTCGAGCTGGACGCCTCCTGCGCTTGCCGGCGTCGTCGGCACACAAAATCCTACGCGGCGCTGACCACCATTTTTGACTTGGCCTTCCTCACCGCAGCCTTCTTAAAATGCATCCATTTCTTCAAGCTGCAACGGTACGGCAATCGGTGCTGGGTTATTAGCGGGGGGGGGGGATTTTCCTGTATCCAAAGGCCTAATATAAGGCGATTTTTACAAAAGTTACAGAAGTTTTTAGACCTAGAATTTAAATAAACGAAATTTTTGAAATTTTTTTTGTGAAAAATTGACGAAAAATTGACAAAAAATTGTCAATTTAATTTAATTTTGTAACAATAACATGACAAAATTGTCAAAAATTGTAAATTTTTTGAACCCTTTCATCGCTTTTTAGCTATAGGAAGAATTAAGATAGTATAGAACAGTTCAAGCTTATTACAAAGGTTTATATAGCGTTTATATAGGTTGAATACAAAAAATTAGCTCCCCCCGCTAAAAAACAAGTACCCGGCAATCGTCGAATTTCGCCATTTTCAAGATACAACCATTTTTTATTCGTCTCCAGGTACAACTCGTTCTCGACAGCGGCCGTGACGGCGGGCGGGTGTCTATATTCCGTCCATATAATTTGCATACTATTGGCGTGGGCGGGACTGGCCGCCGGGAAAAGCCTATTCCTCGTCCCGAAAATCGTGTTGAAAACGATAACGGTGTTGATGTGCTTGGCGGCGACGGCGCTGCTCGCGTTTTTCATCCAAAACGACTTCTCGGTGGTCGGGCGGTTGATTGCGGAGAATACTCCGCTCGACTACTATGAACAGCGGACCACCATGGAAATGGCGGCTATGATTATAGGTGCGGGATTTGGGTGGGAATTGGTTTTAGCAAATCGCTAAATCCGCTGAATTAAATTTCTATACAAATAAATCTAACCGTTTGGAAGAATTGAAAATTTCAAAAAATTGTGTTGAATTAAGAACCTAGCAGAGAATTTTTGGCAAACTGCAAAGAACACCTCAAAAACGAAGGTAAGCTAGCAGAAACCTTGGGAATTTCGCAATTTTTTTTGCATTAGTTTTACCAATTCCATCGTGAAATTGAAAGAAGAAGCTAGCAAACTTGCAAAAAAGCTAAGGACTAGCACAAAATCTTTAGGAAACTCATACTTTTCCCCGAAAAAAAGTAGGAAAAACCAAGGGCAGACTAGCAGAGAATCTTGGCGGATTTTCCCAGCTTTAACCCTACTGTTTTCACAGTTCCAAGCCCACACATTCTAGTCGGCATCGGCACCGTCGCCACAATCATCCAGTTCTGGCTGCTCGTCCTATTAGTGCAATGCTATCGCGGGATGGCCCGTCGCGAGATCCGCGAAGCGGTCCTTCGCCAAAAACGCCGACGCGCCTATTCCGGAAAAGGCCAATTGGCGCCCGAGACGCCCAAGCGCCATCTACCCCGCCTTGAATCATCCGGCCAGCTGGCCGCCCCATACGAGACGATACGGCCTGACGAATCAAATCTGGCGCCTCAGGCGGAATTTGCGAACCCGGGGGGCGTCGCCCTAAATCACTCGACGGGATGTAAATTGGCCGGAATGAACGGGCTGAACGGGCTGAATGGATATTCGAGGGAGCCGCCACTCCAGCAACAGCTCCAATTCAGCACTTTTATCTAGAGAAAATTGCTCTAGAGCTACGCTACGCTACAATTATATTTTGTTGATGCGGGCCCAAGGTTTGCGCGCATGCAATTACGTGTTGTGGCGTTTTTCGATTCTAAAAAATAGAAACCTTAAAAGTGGCAAAATAGGTTTTAGAAAAAGTTAAAAAGGGTGCAAAAAGTGGCTTAGAGACTTTTAAAAAAGTTTCTAAATTAACGCGAAAGAAATTATATGACGTACGCGTTTTTTTACATTTTTCTCAACGCTTAAACAATTTGGCTAAACCGTAAAATTAAACTGAAAAATGTCTAATTAATTTAATTATAAAAAATCTATTTTTGATAAATACCCCAAATTTCCTCTTACTTTTATAGAATGAATGGATTATTGTCAATATTATCGATATTTAGCAATCTTTTTGCTTTCTCACGCCTACTACAGGGTGTATCAAAAAAAGTGCCCAAGTTTGTCCCTAATTATCTCGAGAAGGAAAGATATTTCACCGTGCGTTACCATGCCAGAATGCTTAAATATGTCAGGAATAGGGAAATAACCCAACTTGATTTTTTCGATTTTTGAGTACGCAACTGTACTATTGACGCTGGTTACGACCGAAAATTGTGCGTTCTTGAACGGGTGGTGGGAAAATTCTGATTTTTTATCGAAAAATAGTTAAAATTTGTAGAAAGGTAATAGCAAAGTCTTAGAATTTTTTAAGCTCCATTTCTCTTTTTATAAGCAAAACAAATTTCCCTATTTTGTATCTTTTTACATTTTAATTGGCAACTTGCTTCAAATACGCTGCCCATGGCTGATCTTTTGCAAATGGTGTCTCCGAATGATAATCTTTAGCACAACACCAAATTTTACCTGATTCTATGGTATTTTAATATTGCTTGCTAAAACGTGCCCCAGAGGGATACTGTAGTTTTCGTTTTTCGCGTTTTTCTTTTTATTGAAAGCTGCGATTTCGCTTATAATTTTATCGTTGCTAAACAATGGTAAGGCGCACTTATTGGCCAAATATCGCGGCATTCTATCCACACACTTTCTTAAAATATGCTAAAAACTGATTTTTGGATTCTGCCACGGAAATTTTGAAATATTTTAATGGATCGGACCAAAAACTGCTATTATTTGTTTTCCGAAAAGTTTGAAACGATTCTATGGTGAAAACATCGCGAAAACGGCGATATTCTGTTTTCTACAGTAACCCGCCTGGAGCGCATTTTAGCATGTCAAGAAAAAATACCATAAAATGCCAATTTTTCGATTCTAGACTGTTCTCCGGGTGATTTTAAGAGCCTAGGCTATACATGGGCGGTCACCCCGGAGGGTCACCCTGGGGGTGACCGCCGCTCACCCCCAGGGGGTGACTGCAATGGCACCCTGGGGTGACCCTCCGGGGTGACAATCCGGTCACCCCATAGATGCAAAGTGCTGCATTCAAATAAATTTCTATGGCGAGATGCCGGTGTTTGGCCGCAAATATCATAAATCTTTCATTTTAATTGAGTATAAAATACCCTTCAAGCGGTAGTGGGAAGGTATATAACTTAAATTGAAAAATTTAGCCTTCTGATCGCTTCTCAAATCAAATTCTTGGCCGTTGGTCATTTCCATCTAAGTAATTTGCGTGGATAGGGTGATCCGGTTCCGCACCCTCACCCCCACGAAAAATGGAGGGGGTGACACCCCATCGTGCCATTCAGTCACCCCCAGGGGGTGAGCGGCGGTCACCCCGAGGGTGACCCTCTGGGGTGACCGCCCATGTATAGCCTAGGCAAAAAATTACTTTTTTCCGGTGGCAAATAACAAAGTTATGAAGGAAAGTGGAATACTCTCTTCAGCGCCCGTTTTTGGACTCGTGACCTCGGGTCGAAAATCAAATTTTTGAAAATGAAAAAGCCACGGGGTTTGGTGGATAAAATTACAGCACGTATCAAACTGTGTATGAGAGTGGAATTTTAGACTGATCAGTTAGAAGTTCGTGGTTAATTTTGGCTTAAAACCGAAAATGACGTTTTTTGAAAACCTGACTTCGGTGGGCTCTTCTAAATTCGCTTACCATAGAAAAGTTTGTTCTTTGCATGGTTTTTAATTGATTACCCAAGCTTGGTTTATGCAAAAAATTTCATGGCTACTAGCGCATCGAGAATTTTTTTACATAGCCTCGAATTCCGGTATATTTGGGCTTTTCATGAATTTCTTTTGAGATAGCGTATGGCTGAATAAATTTGTAAAAATACTATTTGAATGCGCCAGTCAGATAGTATCAAACAAAATTGTGGCGAGAATTTTAACGGCACAATTCAATTTTAGAGAAAGGAAGTAAGGTCTGCAAAATAACACGAACCAACCATTTTGGGGGCCCTAAAATGCGCCCTTCCGAGGGGGTACGGTAGCTCGAATTCTCGTAGGTGATATATAAACCCCAGTCCTACATAACCAAAAAAGAAAATAGCCGAGTTCCGTCTGGAACTTTAGAAATATTTTTCCAAAGTTCAGTTTCGTGACCCCAAAGAAATCCATGACCAGGGGGTCGTCGAAAAACCCAAAAATTCATGGATCTTAAAAATTTTTAAAATATCTTTATGCGATTGTGTCGAGCCCGTAGATCTTCTAAAAGCACTTGTCTTGACATTTCCACCACAGGTTTTTGTAATACATGAAATTTACGAAATTTCTCCATACAAAATTTCAGTGGTGCATAACTTGTGAACCAGACCCTCAAAAAAGTCAAAAATTTTTTAGGTGCATATCTGTTGCTTAGATTAATCTATATTGTAAAAATTAAAAGCCAGCCACCACAGGAAACTGAGAAAAATGCAAGTAAAGTTTCCCCGAACGCACAGTTTTCGGGTGTCATTTGTATTGATACGTCGCCAAAAATCGAAAAAATCAAGTTGGGTTATTTCCCTATTCCTGACATATTTAAGCATTCTGGCATGGTAACGCACGGTGAAATATCTTTCCTTCTCGAGATAATTGGGGACAAACTTGGGCACTTTTTTTTGATACACCCTGTAGAGTCTGTAAAATTTTTGCAGACCCGGAACTTTCAAGTTGCCAAAATCGCGCCAATCTAAAAAGCACCCTCAAAAGCCCATAAACGTCTAGCGCCCGATTTTCCTTATTTTATGCAAATCACATTCCCCTGCCGGCTTTTCGCGAGCTTCACCATGTCCGCCAGGGTCACGTGTCGGTCTTTGGCGCCGCTGTGCGTGGATTTGTCGGGCCAGACGTGCCCCCGGGCCCTTTCTTCCGAATGCAAATTAGTTCTTGGGGCCCAATTTGAGGCCAAAAGGGCCCCCTGATCTTGCCGAAAACGTTCGTCTGTCGGTCAGGTCAGCTGGTGTTGCGAGTTGAAATTCACTGAAGTGAATGGCTTTGAAGAGGGAACTTTAGCTGATTAGCTAATGTACAAAATCAAAAATTTCCGTTTTAATTTTTTTAATTGTATGTTGTAGGCCTGGCGAAGGAGGAGGTGACGCTCGACCAGATCGGCGCCATCGTCGTCACCCATGCCCACCCGGGCGTCATGGGCAACCTGAACTTCTTCGGCCAGAAGCCCATCCTGTTCCACTCGCTCGAGTTCATCGGCCGTCACGTCACGCCCACCGAGTTGAAGGATGTGGGTTTTTTTGCAAAATTTCGAATTGAAAGCCACTAAAATTTATCCTAAAAAACCTGAAAATCATTCCAGGTTTTAGCTCTGCTTTTTTCTTGCTTGCAAGGGAAGGTTGTTTGGGTCAGGTGTCAAATCGACTTGAAACTTTGCCAGTGGATAGAAAATCAAAAATAAAGTGGGGTTTCTTAATCTCATTTTTTGCACAATACCCCAAATTAAAAAGTTATAGGCCTTTGAAGTTACATAAAAAAAGCACGAAACGACCCGACAATTCTGATCTGGTCCTCATTGTGGCCAGCCCCCTTTTCAAGATCTTGCGTCGCCCGACTGGGAACCGGTTTGGCGCAGTAGGTAGTGCCGTAGAGTACGAAATTTTTTAGATTTTTGTAATCGAGTTCAAGTTTTTGATGCGTCCAACTTTTTGCTTTTTGGATTATACGCTAACTAACCCTAATTTGCAAGAGCAAAAAGCAAAAAGCAAAAAGATAGAAAAGTTTTAGTCTCGAACTTTTGCCAAAAATTTTTCAAAAGATTGAGTCAAACGCACTACCGATTGCGCTAGAAGAGACGTGGGGAGTGAAGACGAGAGTGGGTCAAGAAACCACCCATGAAGAAAATGTGGAAACGGTGCGGTATTGGTGCAAAAGCCTGCGCAAAACTCAATTTTTAGACCAAAAACTTAAAATGCTTATAACTTTTTAATTAGGGGTATTGTGCAGAAAACGACTTAGCGCACCTTGTTCCGTTTTCAATTTTCTATCAACTGGCAAATTTTCAGAAAGATTTGACACCTGACCCAAACAACCTTCCCTTGTTAGAAGGACTTTTAAAGCTTCAAAAACTTATATTTTGCTAGTGAAATTCGAAAATAGAAACTTGAAAATTTTCCAGTCATAATCCCGTCAGATAAAATGCCGACAGGCCAAAATACCGACATCTAAAATGCGAACAGGACAAGCTCCTGAAAGCCAAAATTCCAATGGCCATGATTGCGTGTTTTGGCTTTCGACATTTCGGGTGTTGGGATTATCAGCTGTCGGGATTTCGGCGTTTTCCCAAGCTTAACGCGTTAGGTAGCTCTCAAAACAAATTTTAAATCAAAATTTTCAAAACTTTAAAACTTTAAAATCTGCTTAAAAAAAGTCAGTAAAAAATCGATTTTCAGCGACCATACCGAAAGGTCTCGCAAAATGTCGAGGTCTGGAAGACGCCCGGCCACACCCAGGTAACTAAAAACTTTTCAGAAAGCCATTTTAACCCGTTTCAGCACGATCTGACCGTCCTCGTTCACAACGTGGCCGGCTACGGAACGATGGCCGTCACCGGCGACCTCATCCCCAACGAGCAGCTCATCGCTGAAAAGGTAGTTTTTTCAAATTATATTTTTAAAATACAAAACGATCAATTGACTATTAAATAAACACAAAAACTGCAGCGCGACATCATGTCCGAAGAGGGCGTGTGGGACTCGGCAATCAAACGCCAGAACGCCAACCTGATCATCTGCATGGCCGACTGGATCGTGCCGGGCCACGGCACGCCATTCCGCGTCCTTCCACACTACAGGTGAAGATTCAGAAAATTCCCCCATAACTATTAAAAAAAATCGTGATTTAAATAAACTAGCATAAAACTGTCGAAAAATACTTTAAGGTGAAAACTAGGTATAAAATCATATCTCAGAAGTGTTTCTAAAGCTTCTAGTTTTATACTAAAAAGCCTCCCCCGATATTGCAAAAGCTCCTGAATTAGCTAGCAGAGCGCGAAAAATTTGTCAAACGAGCTTTTAAACTTATAAAACTTATATTTGGTAAAACAAACTATAACATTCGATTTTCAGACAAAAGGCCGGCTGCACCCGGCTACTCCAGCAGCGCTACAGCCTCAACCAGTTTGCGTAAAAACCGAACTTGCTGATGTCGCCGCCGCCACCGCCGCAGCCATTTTCTCACAATCTCAGCGTCTTTCCAAGAAATCGCAACAACGCCAAAAAAGAAATTAACAACTAAACAAGAAAAGATCAATATCCATTTCTCGATTCCCGCCAGACTGGTGCCTTACATTTTTTGCTGATGCTTTCATCGCTTTTGAATTGTCTGTGATTAGCTGTTCTGGGCAAGTGTTGCCCTTTTTGGGAGGATTGGAGTGTTTTGGATCCCGTGGGGAAAAAGCTAAATCTGGGCTTGAAAACGCTTTACAATCCCTCTAAATGATTATTGCTCAAAAAAACGTCATGACGGTTCAAAAACTTTTAAATAGCAAGCTTTCAAACCCTAAATTACGTTTCAAGCCCATTTTTAGCTTCTCCTCGCTCCCCAAATATCCCAATCCACCTCCAAAAAACCCGTAAGGTATATTACCTTCACCATCTCCGCTCGTATATCTCTGTTAGAGATTCGCCCGCCCGCCCGAGATTCAATCCGTCTGTGATCGAACAAACGCCCATACCATCCATCTCTCCCCCAAAACACTATGCAACCATGATCAATGGGTGTCCTTTCTTCTGTCTGCCCTTATTTATAAATGCTACGGAATAAATTTATACCGCGCTCAACGATCCACAGCACCCGAGAAGAGCGGATTGGAGGAACCGGATGTGAAAATCACAAAAACAGACAACAACATCGGCTATTCGTACGTCTGGATGTTTTGGTAGTATTCACCCTCGTTGGCGCGTCGGCGGTTGCTCTCGAGCGCGATCTTGCCCTCGAAGCCGTTGCCCCTGGAATAATAAGATTAAAAAAAAGAGATATCTTAAGTGGGAATGGAATTTTTGCTTTGTGATAGAGCTCAATCGAGAAAAATGAATTTTTTTTAATCTTTAAACCACGCTACAAACCTGTCGACGCCGTCCCAGCGATAGCCCGGCCGAATGCCATAGCGATTGGGCGGGAAGTTGCCCTGGTATTGGGGATAAACTAAAAAATTTATCACTTTAGAACCACAATGTCATACCCGTTCTCCCCGCAGCGATATCGTCCTTCTGGCGCTTTTTCGTAATAAAGGCCGCCATCGGGTCATCCTCATACAGCACCTAAAAAGTTTTATATAACTCATGAAAAATCATTTAATGTTATATTTATTGAAAATCAAGTTTACCTCTTTCAAATGGTCATTCATCGCCTCGTCATCTTTGGTTCGCGTCAGAGGCTCGACCGCGACGCGAGCTGCTTCTTGAAGTTTAGCTTCTCGCTAAAAAAATAAAAATTATCGCCAAAAAAGACTCACATCAGCGAGCTGTTTCACGCCCTTATTCCACATTTGGTACTTCTCCTGCAGCTCGGCCTGCTTCGCCGCCTCGCGCTGCTTCTTCTCCTTGTCTTCGGGCCTAAGGAACACTGTAATTCCGCGCAAAGACACCAACTTTTCACGCTTCCCGTAGGTCTTAGTCCTGGTGACAGCCTCGGCATTGCGGCCGCTCTGCTCTTCATCCATTTCTGCGAATCTCTGAAGAAAGTCAGCGTCGGTTAGGGATCACCATCCTTACCTTTTTCTCACGCTCCCTTAACCGTACGGCTTCCTCCTTCATATCCTTTGCGCTTTGCAGACCGGACTTCTTTCCCTCGAGGGTTTTGCCGGCCTAAAAACGGAGTTATAGTCGAGGTATAAGTACCTACCTCCTCATCAGACAAAGGCTCCTCTTTGATTTTCTTCTTGGGCGGCGCACCATCATGACGTCTCCTTGGCGGCGAGGCATCAGATTCGGTCTTGACACCCCGACGAGGTGGTGAAGCATCAGAATCGTGGCGTTGTCGACGACGTGGTGGAGAGGCATCTGAATTCTGATTCTAAGGCATTAAAGCGGCTCTGGCAGCAAGCCCCTTTTTCCACGACTCGTGGAAGCGTCGCGGTCGGGTGCGTCGCGGCAGGGAGAGAAAGAGCGCGCCCAGAGGAGAGACGCAGACAGAACTCTGCGTCTCTGCCCGGTCCCCAAAATGCCGTAATCGGTGTGCTGCCAGAGCCGCTTTAAAAGGAACCCCACCCTTTCCGCCTCTGCGTGGTGGAGAAGCATCAGAATCATGTCGCTGTCGAGGGCGCCGAGGAGGCGAAGCATCTGGAAAAATAATTTTCTAGGTAGTGATGCTCACCTTTATCTTTCTTCCTCGGAGGAGATGCGTCAGAATCGTGATGTTGGCGTCGGCGGGGTGGTGAAGCGTCTGAAAGCAATTATAGAGCTAACTAGAAAATCACTATACCTTTTTCTTTCTTTCTTGGCGGAGATGCATCAGAATCGTGACGTTGACGGCGCCTTGGTGGCGACGGATCTAAGAAACAATATTCTTAAAATAAAAACGCGAAACCTCTATTGCCACGACGAGGTGGGGAGGTGTCAGAATCGTGACGTTGTCGGCGTCTAGGTGGAGAAGCTTCTAAAAAAAGACAGTACATCTCAAAAATTCCGCACACCTTTCTTCCCACGCCTCGGTGGAGACGTGTCAGAATCAGCCCGCCTCCGGCTTCGCGGTGGAGATGTATCGGAATCGTGGCGCCGACGACGAGGTGGTGAAGATTCTGAAATAAAAAAATTGAAATTGCAATTACGAAAAAACCTACCCTTTCTGCGATCTCTGCTGCGAGGAGGCGACTGGTCAGAGTCGCGTCTTTTCCTGCCAGCAGTACGGGGCGGGGACTCGTCTAAGAAAGAAAAATAAAGAGCAAAATCGCTATTCACCAGAATCATGTCTCCGACGACGTGGCGGCGAAGCCTCCACATCTGATTCGACCTCCTTCTTGATTTGCATTTTGAAAGCCCCACTTGCGTTGGTTTGGCTAAAATCCAAAATTGGTAGTCTGACAAGTTGTGAATGAGGTAAATCGAGATAGCAAAATGCGCGACTTTACCTCTGAGGTTCAGCTTCGACGGTAGTTGATGCCCAACCGTTAGAACCAGCATTATCTGCAGAATATGTTCAAAAACCGCAAGAAACTAACCTCCAGTCTCACTTGTCCCCTCCCCAATCGGTGCAAACGTTTTTCGATAGCTCAGCGCAGTGTTGGCCTGCTTTTTCAATTGCTCCTAAAAAAACAATAACGTAAATTCCAAATTTTTGCCTACCACTATCCGAAGCTCATCCTCGTCATCAGAATTGTCATTCTTCCCCGCCGACGTAATGTTGACGAAGGCGTCCTCTTCCATGATGCGCATTCGAGTTGTCGGCGGCTTGATGTCCTTCTCCTTCTTCTTTTTCTTCTTCTTCGCCGCATCGTTTTCGGCGCTACCGCTCGTGTAGCGCTTGAGGTAATCGGCCATGGAGCCGCTCATCCTAAACGTGCTACATTACGGGTTTTTTTTTTACTATAACAAGGATAGAAAAGGTGTTTTAGAGCGTAATTAACAAGCGTCGCACTGATTCGCACGGCATTTTCTTCATTAAACTCCATAGGAAAACAAAAATTACGTTAAAGTATACATGTATACTTGTATACACTGTATATACTGGGGCGCCCTAATTAGTTATTCACGATATCAGATCATACTTTATAGTTAAAAATAATTAAAATAACGACGCTATGTAGGTCATTTTAGAATCAGCAGTTTATGCACCTTACTAGAAGACTGCGAACCGTGCGGCATTCCACTAACTACCTTTTTATAAACTTTTAAAAGTTGTATTTTCAAGTTTTCAAAGCGCATTTCCGAATTACATGTCACAACGGTCCTCCATTTTTGCATTTGGTTGGTGGGCAATTTGGAGTATTTCGTACCGAGACAATAAACTAGAGACTATAGGATGACTGGAGGCTCCATGTCGCAAAGACTAATAACATCTGCCTCGCCAACTAACAGAAAAAAGGCACAAGTTTTGATTTCAGATAACGTATGCTCACACGAATCGCTCAGCCCTCCTGTTCATTTTGGCCCCTTTTGAGGTGCGTCATTGTGTTGTGTTGTGCCTGCCGATTGTTCTGACAAGGAAACCTCCCCAGGTTTGACGTTGGACTCTGTAGACGTATAGCCTATATGATGCAGTTTTTCACGCTGAACACGAATCATCCGCTTATTTTTGGCGAGCGCCACCGGAACACTGTTAAAAATAGCTGTAAAGTGGAGCCCATTCTGAACTCGACCCTTTGAAGCCATTTTTAACAGTGTTCCGGTGGAGATCGGCAAAAATTAATATAAAATTCTTGATCCGCGTGAAATACTGAATCGGATGGGCTAGACGGCCAACCGACTTCTAACTGGAGGGCTTTCCATATAAGCCTTTTAGCCTTGAAAAGTGTCCTACCTCTTTTTGTTCTAACAAACTTTGCTCAATTGCATGCGCAAAATACAGATTTAACCTTTGCTAATGTCGATTTTCAGAAGAATGTCGACCGCGGCCAAGGAGTACGACTACATCGTCATCGGAGGAGGTTCCGGCGGTGTCGCTTCGGCTAGGCGAGCTCGTGAATTTGGCGTGAGCGTGGCGGTGATCGAGTCCGGGCGTCTTGGCGGCACTTGTGTACGTTTTGGATTTGATATCCTCATTTTTGCTTTAGGTGAACGTCGGGTGCGTGCCGAAGAAGGTGATGTACAACTGTGCGTTGCACGCCGAATTCATCCGCGATCACAAGGACTACGGATTCGACGTGACGCTGAACAAGTTTGATTGGAGGTCCGTCTATTTTTCAGGCAACCGATCAACCTCATTTTAGTGTCATCAAGAAGTCTCGTGACGCCTACGTTCGACGCCTGAATGGAATTTACGACAATCTCGTTTCTAACTCGGTAAATTAATTTCTTTACTGGTTTAGATCGAGATTTTTTCAGTCAAAATGTGATCTCATCCGCGGCAAGGCTACTTTTGCCGAAGACGGAAGCGTCGTGGTCAACGGCGAGAAGTACAAGGTAGATCTGAGTTCCACGAAAAACTCATTTCTTTGAAGGGCAAACATACTCTGATCGCTGTCGGAGGCACCCCAACGATTCCAAATGTTCCCGGTGCCCACTACGGCACTGATTCGGATGGCTTCTTCGATCTGGAAACGCTGCCGAAGTAAATGTTTCGCCTCTTTTGGGATTTAGAAAATCGAGAGGATGGAAGTGTTCTCACTTGCATCATATATCCTGTATTCAGGAAGTCTGTCGTTGTCGGAGCTGGTTACATTGCCGTCGAGCTGGCTGGCATCTTGGGAACTCTGGGATCAGAAACGCATTTGCTGATCCGCTATGGGCAGGTGAAACCTATAATCTTTTCGAAAATGCCATTTTAGGTCCTTCGAACATTCGACCAGGATTTGTCGAAGATATTGACTGAGTGCTACGAGAAGGGCCCGGTCAAGCTGCACAAAGAGACAAACGTATTTTTGCCGTTATGTAGCTTCAGTCGCCCAGGTTAAATCCGTGGAAAAGAGACCAGACGGGCGGTTGACGGTGACAACGGATACGGGAGTTATTGACGAGGTGGACTCGCTCATTTGGGCCATCGGGCGTCACAGCCTGACGAAGGAGCTGAATCTTGAAAAGGTTAGAAATCCGTGTTTGAAGCAAGAAAAACCAATATAGGCCGGCATAAAAACCGATGACGCTGGAAATATCCTCGTGGATAAGTTCCAAAATACGAACGTCAAGGGAGTCTACTCGGTCGGTGACGACACCGGAAAATGGCAATTGACTCCAGGTGCAACGTTAGACTATCCTTCTCATCTTTGTTTTGTAGTGGCCATTGCCGCTGGTCGGCGCCTGGCACATCGTCTTTTCAACGGCGAATCGGACCTGCACCTCTCGTACGAGGACATCCCGACAGTCGTCTTCAGCCACCCGGTACTCGGAACCGTTGGATTGACAGAAAGTACTCATAAATTTTTCTTTCCAACTGATCTAACCACTTTCAGAAGAAGCAATCGCCAAGTATGGAAAGGATAACATCAGTCTATACAAGTCACGCTTCACTCCGATGTATCACGCAGTCTGCGAACATAAGGAGACTGCTTTCTTCAAGCTGATCTGTGCCGGACCAGAAGAAAAGGTTCGTTTTCAATTAGTTTTTTTGCGCCTTTGCCTGATCTGTTGTAGTATCGTATCCTTTACAGGTCGTTGGCGTGCATATCCTCGGCGCCGGCTCAGACGAAATGCTGCAAGGCTTCGCGGTTGCGGTGAAGATGGGCGCTACAAAGAAGCAGTTCGACGATACTGTGGCAATTCACCCGACGTCTGCGGAAGAATTGGTTACAATGCGAGGACCTACCAAGCCCGAGTGATCGGCAACAAAATATTAGGCACCCCGTTTTTGATATCAATCTCCTTACCGGCCCTGTGAAACTGTCAATATTCGTATATAACTTTTCTATGACGCGTGTTTTGTAAGTTCAATAAATATTCGCCACTGTAATAATTTATTCGAGGAGATCAAAGAACACACGGAAAAATAACAACTTATGAACAACTAATGTAAGATTAGCAGAAAAACCGGGGATAAAGATGAAATTTTCACGAAGACATTTTATTGTGAGCGACCCGGGTGAGCAGAAACAATTCTTAGCGGCCACCTCGCATGCCACCACCTCGGGGGCCACCGCGTCCACGTCCACGACCACGTCCGCCACGCATTCCTGGAAAATCAGCGCGTCAGTATCAGAAAACAAAAGGGCAGATTTCGGCGTTATCGGCCGTCCGGGCCCCAAACAAAATTTCATGCAAGGCAGTTTTTTCGTTCCCCCCGAAAAAACTAACCCAATTCGTCAAAGCTGATAACCACTGACTATCAGGTTTACGCTCGGACTTTTCTCGGTGGATCGAAAAAACGTCTTGCTAGGGCCTGGCTTTTACTCATCTTGAGCATAAACATGGCCGTCAATGAACTACACCCACGCTTAGAGTTCAACAATGTTGTTTGAAAACCGTAGTAGCACGCAACTTTGTGACCATTCAACCAGAACCAAACTCGATGGCGCCCAGATTTTGTTCCCACAAGCAACCACAAAGCCTCACCTCGTCCTCCGCGTCCACCACGTCCGGCGCGAGCGGCCTTCTTCTTCGGTTCTTCGTCGATCAGGAGGGTATCAAGAGGCAAAGTATCGGGGAGAATGATGTATCGAATGTTGTTGCCTAAAAGCAGTTCGTTATAATGCTAAAAATCTTACCTCGAACCGAAAGTGTATCCATGGAAACTTCTTCTTTATTTTTCTGCGTCATCTTTACTGATCGGAGATGCGTGTTCATCGCGACGTCGACGCCGAGGATCGAGCCTTTGACCAGTGTACCATTCTTCAGCTCAATCACGACCGACTCGTGAGAGAGCTTCATCAGGAATCTGACTAGCTTCATCCTGAAAAGAAAAATGATCGAATTGTAGATTCCAGAAGGAATAAAATAAAGAAAACAACGCGTAGCGCATTCAAAGCAACAGAAGTTCGTGGAAAAGGTCTGCGGTGGATTTACGGACGACCTAATTAAGAAGTAACATCTAATTTTGATTTTTAGAAGACTAACCAATAAAATGTTTACAAATCTTTCACAAACAAGACGAAACATAGACTTTTCATCCTTTTTTCTCTTGTGGCAACTTCGAAATTTGAAAGGTGATGTGCAGTTTCGAATATACGGTAGCAACGCGCCGCTCCAATTGACGGATTAAAGGGGTGCTCTTGTCGGGACCGCCCTCGTAAGGGAAAGCTCCGTCGTCGGTTTGCCGGACGTTCGAATTTCTATTTTCTTGTACAGTACTCCCTTCTTTTGAAGTTATATATCCAAAAAAACTAAATCTGGAAATGGAAAGTCGGACTAGTGCCCATGCGTTTTTGTTGGTCTTTTGAACAAATATATTTGATCCCTTGCTGGTTGATGCAAATAATTTTGCCTCCAAAAATGAGGCTCCGAATTGCTTTAGCTGCTAAGTCGTGGCCATGATCCTCCTGGGGGTTAGCAGACCTTTGAATTTTACTGTAGATCTTTGACACCTTGTAACTGGCACCTTCGCGCTTCCCTTATTGTGAGACAATATTGTCTCGCTGGGATAAGAATTTTCGGGAAAAACTCGTTGATCGGTCTCTTACATTGACCACCTGGGCTGCATATCTGGTTATTGCCAACCCTAGCCGCTTTTTTACTCGGGCCTCTTGCGCCTTTACCGGAGAAGGGGGGCTCCGTCCGGGCCAAAGGGGACTGGGGGGAGGCGTGGCTTGGCCTCGATCCTGGTTCCCTCTGTGCCTGGCGCGGGCTGTCGCTATTTCACTCTTCGCGCCTCCACTTTTGTAGCTACTCATTTTTCAAGTTTTAGGAAACTCAACGCTCAAGCAAGATGTCTACTGAACAGGTATGAACTTGCTCCTGTATACAACGCTTTCTTTAGGCCAACGTTGTCGAATCGACCGAGCCCGAGGTGAAGACTGCCGTTGAGGCTGAGTCCGTCGAGAAGTGAGCACTATTATTTTTGCGTTTATGGATTTTTAGGGTTGACGAAGAGAACGTCGCTCCTGAGCAAGAAGCTGCTGAGGAAAGCAACGACGCTCCCGAGGCCAGCGAGGAGGCCAAAGAAGACGGCGAGGAAGAGGAAGAGAAAGAAGGCGAGGAGGAGCAAGAAGAGGAAGAGAAGCCGAAGGAGAACACTGAGAATACGGACACCAACGGAAACGTAAACATTCCGATTTTTCAATAAATTGTATTTAGGCCCGCAAGCGCGGCGAGGAAGTCGACACTGAGGAGGAGGCTCCGACCAAGAAGAAGAAGATCGACGATGAGGAGCACGAGCCTACCGTCGTGGAAGCTGCCGCCGGTGATGCTTAGATAAGCTTTAAACTTTCCCCATTCACCTCTTCTAATTGTTTTCACGTTTGTTAAGTTTCGACTCTTGCTAAAATCCCCACATTTATGCATAATCACCATCCGACGTAACCGAATCCCCGTGAAATAAAATTATTTATTGAAGACGCGTACGTTAGACATTAGCTTGGATTCCATATTGAAGTGCGGCATTTGGGACAAATTAATTGATCAGCTTGCTATCTCCTGCCTGGTCCACGACGACGGTGAATTTTTGTTGTCCTGCGGTGTTCTCATCGTCGGGGACTTCTGTGCTCACGGGTATTCCGAAATCTGAATCGATTTATGCAAGGTGGGTCGGGGGACTCAACGGGCTCTGTGCGGCCTTGCCCTCTATTTTAGCGGTTGGTGGGTAGGGGGGTCTTTTTCAGCGCGCGCGCCCCAAGGGGGAAAGGGACAGCCAGTCGGGGCCTGCAAGGCACGGCCTACCGCGCCCTGTGTGCACGCGAGTCCATGGTTGGGGCCGTAGGCGCATGGGCAAAAAGGGGAAGGAAAGCTCTTGGCGCCAACTCCTCATTACTTAGGCGTGCGCGTAGTCCCTTGTCACGCATTCGTGTAATCGAGTGGTATAGGGCGCAGACGCCTTCGAGCTCTCCGCCGCCTCCGATGCCCCAATTATATATCTCCCGGGGCCCGAAAGGGGGTGTCGCAGCCTGGGCGGCATCTTGGAACTCGCCTGGGACCCCAGCTCGGATCCTTTTTCACCTCTTGACTGCTAGCGATCCCTTTTCCGGCCCGTCGGCGCTCCCACTTTTCTCCCTCGCGACTATGCAAACTCTCTCGGCTTTTCGAAAGTCAGTTGAGCCTTTTGTAAGTATGTAGGTATTTGTGCGGGACAACTACGGGATTTCACTCGGCGCTTGTTTCACCCCCAAAAATTTTGTTGTGAAAACAGCTGACGCTTGTAGCGAGTGGGGGGCTTTAATGGAGGACAATTGTCATTGGTCAAAAGGGGCAGTGGGCTCCAAAGAGGCTGGAAAGAGCTAACCCTAATCTATGCAATGGTTCCTGGCTGTTCCATTAGTTATAAAGTCAACTTACCAAATCCGCCGTAGCTAGCACAGGCGAAGAAGGCCACCAAATATCCGAATAGGAGGGCAACCGTGGTGCCGAGGAGCATCACGAATAGGACGCAGGGGGTCACGGCGTCAACTGGCATCTAGAAAATGGTTTTTTCTTTGTTCAACTAATAGCTGCTAGCGTACCTGGACGGTAAAAACGGCAGTGAGGGCAGTGAAGAAGGCGGGCACGAAGCTGTCATGAACCTGTTATCGAGAGCGTAGGCAAAAACATTTACAAACTTACCTGGAGGTAATAGAAAATGGCTACGATAAAAGCCCAGCCAAGGTAAAGCAGGGTGGCCAGGGCGAGGGCATGGAAGCGGCGGTGGTAGGGGCTTCCGGATTTCTAGAAATGGTGGATCAAAAAGTTTGTTTTTTAGAATCAGGCCATTTTGTTCTTTGTCGAGCTCGGAGGCCAAACTCACGAGCATTGAAGGCACCAAATATTCGTGAGCAAAGCAGGCGATGGTGCAGAAGAGCAAAGGGACGCCGAGAAGGACGTACGGCACGTGGAAAACCTGGAATGTTAAATTAATTTTGTAATTTTTAACATGAATTGATGTAGGAGTAACTTCTACGGTAGCCGCTCACCTTTCCCATCGTCGTCGCCGGGCTTTTCCCGTTCAGCCCAACGGTCAGCAGCTGGCTGTACGCGTAGTTGATCGCGTTCTTCAGCCGCCAACTAAACCCCGGGATTTTGATACGTTATTTTTTGAGCCACACCTATCGCGATCCGGTCCCTTATACTTCAGCTTGGCCTCGTACAGCTTGAGCGCGTCGTTGAGGATCCCCTAAATCACTGAGGTGTATTTTTCTTTATTTTTTTTAATAGCTTTTTAATATCTTTTCGTTACTGAGCGTATGCTAATGCTCGGATCCGCTCGAATTGTTTTTGCGGGGTAGGGGGTGGTGTTTTTGCGAAAGGTCGGTGACTCGTCGTGGTCATGGTAACCCGCCGTGGTGGAGAAGTCCTCATTTTGATTGCCTGCTGACGAGGAAGAGAAAGATGGTGTCATAACCCATGCGCAGGTTTGGAAAAAGAGTTTTCCTAGCCTTCCCCTCCCCTGCCCCCGCTAAATGAGAAGCACCGCTTATTTCTTTCTCGATTTTTTCTGTGGTTTTCAGAATAACTTTCTATAGCTTTTTAACCCCTACCACTCAGACGAATGTTGCAAAAACGCGCGCCCCCAATGTTTCGCCAGGAAAAAGCTCCCGGCTACAAAAAGTCCCCTATTTAGGAGGAAAAGCGCTGCGCTCGCACTGATTGCGGGCAGCACCAGCGCGGGCGGAAGCCCTCTTTAGCCGCCCCGGCGGATCGAAGACAAATCCGCTCAGACGCCGCGAAACTGGCCGCCAAATTTGGCGTTGCTAGTTCAGGCTCCGGGCCGTAAGGGCGCCGGGTAGACGATAGAAACAAACGGCGAAATGACGTCAGAATCGTTGTGAAGGGCAAATGGAGTGTTTTTTTGAAAAGATTGAAATCGATACTCCCGAAACTCATGATCCTGAAGCTCGAAATTTCGATTTCCATCTCATGGATCTGATGGCTACAGCCTGTTTTGCATGTAAATGTTGTTGCGTACTTTTTATAACCAAAAAACACCTAGTACTCACGGTAACCCGTTCCGACTGGTCCTTGTCGATGATGATGAGCAGCTGCTTGGTGTCGTTGAAGATTTGCTTGGACATGAAGCGCGCGTGAGCTAGCCTGGAAGTTTGCGCTTAGCTTTTAAGCATTTTCGAATTTTCCCCAGCTTCTTCAACATTGACTTGCCAAGAACAGGGTCCAAATTTGCGCCTGGCCGCGCGCCCCAGCACGCAACACCCCGGAAACTCTTTCTCGCCAAATCGCGAGCGCGCAGCTCTCCTAATTTGGTGACTCACACTCTTGAATTAGGGGCTGTTTAAGCTATTTAAATCGATTAAAACTGGTTTTAATTCCTAGTTGGTACAGCCTAATTTTATTAAATTTTTTACCTGCCAAATTCTAGCTTTTCAAGCTAACTAAGTCGATTGAAAATGATGCCTAATTCAAATAGCATTTAACGAAATCTTTTTACACACCTCAGCCGGTACTGGTCGCCATGCCAGCGTTGGATGGCCGCCACCTTTGCGTCGTACTCGATGACGCGGAAGAGGAAGCCGCCTGAAAAGCGGAAAAGCTACACTATTTTAACCGAGTCAGATTTTAAGGGACTGATAAGCCTGCGATCATACCCCATCGGTCGATTAGGTCTCGATAGCTACGCGTCGCTTCAAAAGACGATGTATTACGCTCTGTACCATGTCGATTTTTTGCAATTTCAGAGAATTTTTTGCGAATCCCAGTTTATTAGCTTCCATTGCGTATAGCATCCGCTTATTAGGAGATTTTAGCAACGAATAATGCATTACAACCCGAAGATTTTAAAAATCGGGGTACCATTTTCCGAATCTTTTTCCTATTTTTTTCGGTCTTTTGGCAAGGAATTGTTAGTGGTTGTTTTACTATTGGTGCATAAATTTTACGATTCGTACAGTCCTTACCAAAGAGTATGTAGATGGCGGTGAAGAGGATCAGCAAAATCGGGAGGAAAGGACGCCAGCGCGGGTGGGCAAAAGCCTGCTGGGCCGACTCGCGCACCCGGGCGAGTACCATCTGAAAGAATTACAAAAATATTCACGATTTCGATATTTTGATGGTAGAGGCCGGCCCGGGGCATGCAGAAGCCGAGGGGGAAGCATGAGCATCGGCCAGGAATGCGAGTTTGAAATATGGGCGTTAAAGGAAAGATGAAGAGAGGGATCAAAGTTCATCCGAAGCCTAAGCCTAAACCTCAGCCTACGCCTAACTCTAAACCCAAACAGTAAGGACCTCAAATTTATGCGCTTTTTACTTAATTCAAAAAGTATTTTTTTAGATTCTGAATAAGATTAGCTAAAAAACGTCAACGACCATGATTTTTGCGATATCTTTTAGATATAAAAAATTTTTAGAAAAAAACAAAAATAAAAAATCAGCGAAAAGCCGGGGTATACGGTACTACGCGTCACTACGCCGACGGGAAAAAGCTACTCGATTCAAATAGTCGACGGCGGCTACAGAGTATGTGTGCAGATCTTGGACCATCGGCTGAAAGTGCGAAAGGTTGCAAGGGAGTGAATAGTACGATATGTACGTCATCGTACAGTCTACCACGTAGTCTTGAAAGCCTCAAAAACAACTCGAAATCGGGGACAACGAGTAAACGAAACGCAAAAGCCTAGGGGATAGGGGGCGGAAAACTGACATATTGGGGCGAGAAATGTTGCCGAGCTCTTTTTAGGGCCCCAGGGGGATGGGGCTAAAACACGAAAAAATGCGGGTGCTTCAGAAGCTGGCTCGGGGGGAATGGGCCGGACATTACTGGACAATAACAGACCGGACAAATAGCGGAAAACGGGAATACAGGGTGTCCCAAAAAAAAAGACCCCCCCAAAAATTTGAGCCAGAGGGCACCTACGGAGCTGAAAATTTGCACAGGGGTAGCGAAGCCAATTTTCTATGAACAAGGAAAGTTTCGGCCTGATCGGCTTGCGGGTTTTAAAGTTATAGCGAAAATACTTTTCATTTTTAATTTAATATGGGGATCTTTGCAATTTGAATCAAAAATATGCGTTATTCTTGCATTTACGAGCCGATTTTGCATAAATTCCGCTGAAAAATGTCATTTTCTTGATGGAGCTTTTGGAAAACGATTGCTCGTGTAGCGAGAAAATGATCAGCAAGAACGATGAGTACCAGAGCTCATGGCGGAAACTATCGTTGAACGCTTGAGCTTGGCTTAGACTTCGGCGTACGCGCCAACATAAGCCCAAATCTATACTTCAACACTGTTTTCGAGCTCGTCGAACTCTGTTTTCGGGCCGACGAAGCTCAATTGCCAAAATGGACAATAACACGTGATTTGGATCGATAAAACAGTTGTTTTAACACTCTTTTTATTCTTCATACGCAATCGTTTTCCAAAAGCTCCATCAAGAAAATGACATTTTTCAGCGGAATTTATGCAAAATCGGCTCGTAAATGCAAGAATAACGCATATTTTTGATTCAAATTGCAAAGATCCCCATATTAAATTAAAAATGAACAGTATTTTCGCTATAACTTTAAAACCCGCAAGCCGATCAGGCTGAAACTTTCCTTGTTCATAGAAAATTGGCTTCGCTACCCCTGTGCAAATTTTCAGCTCCGTAGGTGCCCTCTGGCTCAAATTTTTGGGGGGGTCTTTTTTTTTGGGACACCCTGTATTTGGGTTGAAACGCGCGAGTTTTGAGCTTTGAAGCGAAGCAAGCGGAGGAAAAAAGTAATTTATTTAAAAAGCAAAGCACAATTCGCAGAAGCGAAGCCTAAGCCTAAGCCTAGGCCTAAGCTGAAGCCTAAGCATATGCCTAAGCCCAAGCCCAAGCCTAAGCCTAAGCCGCAGCCTATCTATACTTCCGAGTCTCTGTAAAGCAGCGACATCGCAACTCCAACCACCCCTTTCTTACCCGGACGCGCTCACGTCGCGACGGTCGCTCATCACTGTCGTGATCTCCCTCCATCTCGTATATCTCTGGATTCCCCGTGCTCCCTCTAGCCAAGATTGCAAAATCGGGTACCTAGGGGCTGAGGGACACTATGGAGAGATGAAGCCGATGACGAGTTGTGAGAGATCAAGGCTTGGATAGCGGGGTCCCAGGGGAACAGAGGGTAGCGTAGGTTTTGCGAAGTATACGGCGAATTCGGGGCGTGAGGAGTAGCTTTGTAAAATGCGAGTGAAACAGCGAGAGAGAGGGACGAGTGAGAGAGATTGCGAGAGAGTGAGAGAGCGAGCGAGCGAGAGAGAGAAGGCTATATGGAGAAGTGAGAGAAAGATATTCGAGTTTAAGGCTGTATATTTTGGCTTAAAAATCCCCTAAAACTATTTAGGGTTATCAAAAAACAAAACCATCCTAATAACCTATCGTAATCGCTAAATCCTAAAGCAAAAATGAAAAAAGAAAGCGAGAAAGAGACAGACAGAGATATAGACAAGGAGTGAAACGAGAGAGAACGAGAGAAAGAAGGTGAGAGAGAGAGAGAGAGAGAGAGAGAGAGAGAGAGAGAGCGAGCGAGAGCAAGACCCTTTTTATTAAAACCCCGTAAAAAACCGGAATCCACAAAAAAACGTGCGGCTACCGTAGCCACACAACCAGGACCTCACAAAAAAGATGGTGTTGGGTGATAGTAGGGCAGTGGCCGGGGCCGCCGAGACAAACTGGGGTGGGCCCCTTTTGTGGTCGTGCCCCCGGGTCATGGGCCCTAAATTGGGCCCTCCCCCTTCCTCTCGCTCCGTTTCCCACCCCCCTCGGGGCATACGATAACGAGGTTCCATTTGCACTGGGTGCCATCAGAGGGGCGAGTCAGTCGGACGAAATCTTCGGATTTCGGGGGTTGCGGCCGGGGCTAGCAGAAGCTAGAGACAACATGCGCCTACGATAGCCGGGGGTGCAATGGGGGAATGGGGAGATGAGGGGGTTAGAAGGGTTAAAACTGGGAAATCACGAGTTTTTAAAGGGCTTGTCTAGCGAGGAAATTATGTCTGCGCTCTCTTTCTCTCTGTCTCTCTATCTCTGTCACTCTCTCTCTCTCTCTCTCTCTCTCCCACTCTCTCTCCCGCTATCTCGCTTTAGAAGCTCTTTCTCTCTCGACTCACAAGCAGTCTCTTTATACCCCTATGAACCCAGAACAAGGAAAACCTTGAAAGCGACAAACCAGCAAAAACCAAGCATTTGTAATTAGTTAAAAACTGACCGATAGGGTACTGTAGGCTACAGTAACGCAAAGAGAAGGATGAAGCCGACGGAAAAGCCGAAAAGCCTTGAAGTCGCCCCCTTCCGGCCCTCCGAAAACTCGATGGCCGACTGGTAGCGCCAGATGCGCACGTCGCGCAGTCGGTCCTCTTCGGTTTCCCTGAAAAATTGTGATAAAATCTGCATTAAATCTGAATTATATTTTCTATATCATCTACATGACTTCCGGCCGCCACAACCCTTAATTACCCTAGGTCTTCGAGTATATTAGCGAATTTTTGGCCGACCCTCACCATTCCCCCATCAACATGAGCAAGGCAGCCCACTGCGAGCCGGCCGTTGTCCAGCTGCCAGCTGGCGGCGGATCCGCCAAGTTCCGCCTCAAGAACCCCGACACCAAGAAGTACAGCTACTTTGTGGGTTTTTTCGGCCGTTATTTCGGAGATTTTCGAGCTTCAGGGTCATGCAATATTCGAATTTTGTTGCCCCCTGACCGTAACGTTTCCAGGTGGAGAACAGCGACCCGGCCAACTACGCCATCGGGCTCGAGCCGTTCGGCCACATGCCGATGGGCGAGTCGAGGACGGTGGAGGTCGTCAAGAAGGTCGTGTCTCTCTCTCCCCCTCTAGCTCTCTCTTTGTCTATATCTCTCTTTTCCAGCCTGGCGCCCCCAGCGAAGCCAAGGCCACCATCAAGCTCTTCCCCGCCATCCCACCCGGCAAGGAGCACGAGGTCGACATCGACAACCTCATCAAGGGCACCCCACTCCAGCAGTTTGAGGTAAGCCTGCCGCTCACTCTCCCTGACCTCTCTCTCCAGCTCTTCCTAATCCCACTTTTCCAGGTGAAGTTCGTCACCCAGTAACCCGACACGTCCAAGCAGCTCACGCACCAACGCCCGAAAACGCCATCTTAAACAGCCAGCAAACCAAAAAAGCGCAACAACTCCGCCCCGTATTTGAATAAAGTGTTGATGCGGAATTATTTCTTGAATGGCGAGAGAGAGAGAGAGAGAGAGAGAGAGAGAGAGAGAAAACCCACTCGGTGACGTTGGCGCACCAGCAGAAGGCGATGTCGTTGTCGTGTAGGGATGGTTGACATGCATCCCGGGATGCCCAGACCACCAGTGGATCTCGCACGAGGACCGTCAGTCCTTCACGATCCGTACAATGCTCCGCGCCACGGTTCCCTGAATTAACGTTCTTTAACGGGGCTCAGAAGAATCGGAATCGACCCTTTCCGACCCCCTAGGTCTCGACGCCTAAATAAATTTAATCACTATTTTGTAAAAATCGAGGATTTCATCATATGGCCTAATGCCTAAGCACCGATTTAGAAATTAAATACCACTCACCCTCCAACCGATGCTTCTCCACGTAGCAAAAGCCCATTGAGCCGCAGCGCTCAAGGTTGCAAAATGGGCAACCAGCCAAATCGTCGACCGGGATCTGGGCACGGTACATCTAAAAGCTCTGAATCTGAAACTTCAACTAGCGCAAAATGTTGTTGTTTTTACTTTAAGGAACCCAAAAACGTTTAAAAACTAGAAAAATACCCCCCCCCCCAACACGCTAATAATTTTTCTAGACTGCCCCTCCGCTCTAGCAATCCAGTACCATGGTACTGGGTAGCCGACCCACCTTCCGCTCCACCTTCTGAGGAGCCGTCTTCTTTGGGATGTACGCAAATGCCGGGAGTAGGAGAAGTAGAAACGAACACAGTAGCATCGCGGAAAATGGCTGCAGATAGTCCAAAGCAAAGCGGACGCGCCTGAGGAAACGATTTCTATGAATAGCAAATCCGATGGGGTTTCAGAAAGCAAAAGGCCAAGAGAAAAATAGACCCTTTTACATAGGCGAGCCCCGGGGAGAAACGCTAGGATTAGGGGCTTCTTTCGGCTTTTTTGTGGCTGGAAATATAAAGGGCGTTGAGGTGCGTTGGTGGAGGGCACAAGGGAGGTCCCCAGGGAGGTTTATGACCAATTCTGGGCCCCATCCGGACCCCCTTTTCTGCCTTGGATATGCGAAACACCGAATAATAAGGAATAGTAGTGAAATTTGGCGTTACTACATGAGAAGGCCCGGGAAGAAAAAACCGGGAAATCTGGCAGAGGACACCCCACGGCTCGTCAGGCCTTACCAAAAACGCACTTCTGGGGGGTGCGGGCCCTCTCCCCGCGGATAGTGGGTTAACCTCCCAGGAGAGCCGCCCACACCCCCCGGGTTCAGTTCCTCTGCGGCGCAAACTCCCCCATTTTGGTGATATTTGTTTTGCTTTTTGCTCCAACGTATCACCGAAGGTCTTGTGTAACACAAAATCATATAATATTCGCGAAAAAGCCCCCAGAAAATAGCAAAAAGCGGTCAGAACCCGTTTTAACAAAGTGGATCCAAAAACCGTCGTAATTTCGCTCCATAATCAGCTTTCAGTGTTGCTATTACATTTTTTTGGCTTAGTAACGATAATAAGCACTCTCTGGTGCGTCTATGTTAGCTAAATTGGGCTACAGATCACGAAGCTCCTGCTCCAAGCGTCCAAGTGCCCTACTATCTTAGCTATTTTTTTAATAGGGGGTTCATAATTCAGCAGTTTTTCGATTAATACTACACTAAATTGATATAGTTACCCAAAAAACCGCCAGACATGGCTCAAATCCTTCCGGCTGAGGTGCTAGCATCGAAACATTAGGATCGCCATCGGATAAGGGTTTTACTTTTCCAGAACTTCCGTTATTAATTCAAAAGCATCTATCGTAACTCCACCCAACCTTTTAGCTAGATTTGACCGTATTTTGATAACAACCGGGTGAAAAACTAGCCATAAACCAGCTGGGTCGAAACTTTCGGGAACTTTAGGCTTCAAAATCTCCTTATTTTGGTGAGAACTCTCATTGCGACCCACACAGTTCGATAGAGAATTTTTTTCTCTACCAAGTTCCCACGCCTCCCGAAGGTTCCAAATCATCTACAAAAAGTTATTATAATAAAACGTGGAGTTTCTGAGTTTTTAATATGGGCGGCGCCGCCCCACAGAGCCCGGAGGGCGATAGGCGCGCCCCGTACTAAAGTGCCCTTTGACGAGCCGTGACCCTCTAAAATGCGAAAAAGGACGCCGCTCGAGAATGCAGTGTACTGCAATTCTTTCGGGGGCAATTATGCCTGGAAAAGACAGAGCGCTTCTTTGAGAGCAGCACTAGAAAACGTGAGAGATCGAGAGAGAGAGAGAGAGAGAGAAATAGATAATAAATTATTTTTTATTTTTTCTATAAGTTTTCTATTTTTTTATCATTTTGTTACACTATTTTACTATTTTTGTTTGTTACAAACTATTTTGTTACACGGTCTTGTGGCGGAACTTTGCGAACAGTCGCGGAGTGCAAAAGACGGCACGCGAGGTTCGCTCCCGATTTTTGCGCGAAAAGTCTTTTTTTTTCCTCCGATCATCGCCGAGGCATTTTTCCTTTAATTCATCCCATTCATTCACTTTTAGTGGTCACCTGTTATCCACCAAAAACTTCGGCATGAATTTTGAAGAAAGCATTGACTATGGGTGAGTTTTGCAATGGTAACTTACGCCTTAGTTTTGTGTGCTTTCTGATGATTTTTGCAATATCTGACTGGAATACTTCCTTGTTTTGTGAATACGATTTTCATAAATAAACTGCTTGAAATGTCTGAAATTATGCAAAACTTTTGGCTTACTGTTTTGTTGTATTGTTTTCGAAATATTCTCACCACGCCTTTTGTTCTACGATTCAAATTTCGTCATTACCGCGCGTCGTTTTTATTTAGCGGGGATGTTCCGAAGATTTTGTTGTGAGACCAAATTTTTCAGTAGGAAGCGCCAAAACGACGGCACGCTGGAGCATGATGCAGAAATGAAGAGGACCACGCCCGACTACTTGGATACACCAGGTGCGCAAGCCTTTTTCTAGCCATTCTTTTATTTTCAGCCGAAGACAAGCCGGCGGGTATCGAGCTAGAGGTGACGTCGAGCATGGTGTCTGGAAACAATGTCGTCGAAATCGTCCAAGTCCCCGAGCAAGCCGTTGGACTAGGTACATTTTTTTCTGGGTTTCCATTTCTGTAACGCGATTTCTGTGCTTTCCATGCCGTATTCATTTAGTTATCGGTCGCGGCGGTGAGCAGGTGGGGCAAATCCAAGCGTCTTCCGGCGCTCGGGTCCAAATGGCTCCTGAAGGCCTCGGGGACGGCATGCGCAGCTGCAGCATACAGGGAGACAGTCAGGCTGTCGAAAGGGCCAAGCAGATGATCATTGACGTGAGTTTTCAATTGAAAACTAGATAACAGTTTATTTAGGTCATTGGCCGTCATGGCGATCGAATTCATACTCAACCCAAGGGCTCGTCGCAAATCACTGAAGATATGTTGATCCCAGCCGACAAATGCGGACTCATCATCGGCAAGCAGGGTGACACAATTCGACAACTACAGGTCAGCTCTCGTTTCGAATTTTCATGCCGTTTCCAGGAGCGCACGGGCATCCGGATGGCGCTCGTCCAAAATGAACAAACGAACCAAGGACAGCCGAAGCCGCTACGCATGACTGGCACCCCGACGAAGGTGGCCGCTGCCAAGCAGCTGATCGAATCGATGCTCGTCGGAGGGCCGGACGGAATGCTCCTGAAGACGCGCATTGTCGAAGCCACTGCCCGTGGCGAGGTATTAATTTTTTGGTATTGATTCTTTGGCGCAGCGACGTATATTTCCTCCTCCCCCCCATAGGCTTTCAGGAAGGAATAGAAGCCCTTTTGTAGCGCTTTTAAATACAGAAAAAGTTTTTGAAAGTTGTGGTTTTCTTGGTTCAAAAATTTAATATTTGAGGGCTATTTCATGTGTTCGGGTCCTTTATTAATCGGAAAGTGTTAGAATTAGTACATTTTCATTACAAGGACGTAATAAAGAAACTTAGCTCTGTCGCTAACGGATCAAAACTTTTGTTGAAATGTTGCATGTTCTTTTTAGGTGGTCGTCCCGCGCTCTGCTGTCGGAATGATCATCGGACGCAGCGGTGAAACGATCCGACGAATAGCGCAAGAAACCGGTGCTCGCATCCAATTCCAGCCGGATGGTCAGTGCTCGAGTTATCAACCCCTAATTTCGCTTTAGTCAACCCGGCTTCGGGCGAGCGAACGGCTGTCTTGGTCGGAACCATGGAGAACATCGAGCGAGCCACCCAGGCCATCACGCAATTGGTCAACCGATCGTTTGCGGTACATTTTTGAACGGTTCCACAATCTTGGTTAGCAGAGCGGCGATCAGGGTCCGGAGCTCTTCTACATGCACGTGCCGGCCTCCAAGACTGGTCAGCTGATTGGAAAGGGCGGCGAGACGATCAAACAGGTGCCTTTTTTGATAGATTGTTTTATATTTCATTTACAAAGCCATTCGACGATGGCTAAATTTACCCTTTACATAGGGTTTACGTACGGCCTCTCAAAAAAAAATAATTTTTTGCTTTCTTCAGATCAGCGCTGAATCGGGTGCCCATTGCCAACTTTCAAACGACCCTCCGCCCAAAGACGACGAGAAGGTGTTCACGATCAAGGGCACGCCATATCAAGTCCACCACGCCAAGCATCTCATCCGCATCAGGGTGAGCGCTTTTCTGGGTTGCAATGTTACCATGTTTTTTGGGTTGGCGACGTTCCTCCTGGCACTCCACTGCCCCCGTTCTCGGGCCCCGGCGGTCCCGGCGGTCGTCCAATGCAACAGGCAAACTACTCGCGCCCAACTACCAACTATGGAGTTCCACAAATGGCTGCCGTGAACAATGGTGCACCCGTGGCTAACTGGAATCTGGGCTGTCAGCAGCCGCAAGGTAATATGTTACAGATTCTGATACTCTCTTCGTTATTTTCCATAAATCAGCCTTGGGGTCTTTCGCAATTTTGAGAGGAACCGTTTTTTCCTAAAAGTGCTAGAATTTGAAAATAGGGAATTTTTAGGATTTTCAGGGAGTTTGAAAAGGTTTTCTGTATTTTTTAAATAGTTTTACCAGTTGAGTCGTAGCGGAATTTACTGAAACGACGAGTAGAATAGTTGATATACACCATTCTGCATTCCTGGGCTAATAGAAAAAAGTGGCCCCCGAAAGAATGAATGCACTAAATAAACTAAAAAGATAGATCTGGCTAATTTTTTGTCGTAACGCACGTTTTAGCCGCGATGTCGATGGGCAACGTGGGATGGCAACAGCAGATGCAACCCTTCTACGGCCAACCCGCGCAATACGTCACCGCCCCGGCTCCGTACAACACCCCGTCAATGGTCCAACAGCAGCCGCAAGTGGCACCCATGCAGCAGCAGCAGCCGGGCACCATCTACAATCAGGCGAGCGGACAGCCCGACTACTCGGCTCAATGGATCCAATATTATCGCCAGATGGGCATGCATGATCAGGTAGAAATTCACTATCCCTCTCTTATCCTCTTTGTTTTCCAGGCGGCCGCCGTCGAGAACCAACTGAAAGCCCTCCGAGCCACACAACCGCAATAAGCGACGCGACGCCAACGTTCTGCTCTCGAGGACATGAAGCTCTTTCCCCCTTTATTAGATCCTAGATTGCCCAAGCTGTTATGTTTTACTTTTTGCCTTTTTTGATCGTTACGATATCTGTTGTTCAATAGGTTTACAATAAACAATGTTTGAAAGTTTCGCGAGACCGATCCGGGTACAGGTTTCCCCTTAAAAATATCAAAAAATATATTGCTTGGCTAGTGAAATATCTATACTATTTCTTTTATAAATTACAAAACTATTCAGCGACATCCAGGCCCAGAAAAATGTTCAGAAAATATAGCAATCCTTGAATAGTTTTGTTTGTGTAGTATAATTAATTGATGTGGTGCTACTTTATGACGTGTAAATACAGGCCGATGTCCCTGTCGACGATCCGACGCCAAGTCAAGAACGCGGCGTATAACCTTTCCGATGCCCAGATCAAGGCACGCGAAGCCACGAGGTTTACTAGATTTATTTAACTAGATTTTACCTTCTTCAGCAACGACCCTTGGGGCCCCTCAACCGCACTGATGAATGAGATTGCCGAAATCACGCTACGGCCGGCCGCCCTGGGCGACGTACTTGGCATCATTTGGAAGCGATTGGGCGATCACGGCAAGAATTGGCGCCACGTCTACAAGAGCCTCGTTCTCCTCGACTTCCTCGTCAAGAACGGCAGCATGAGGGTAGACCATAGTAGCAGCTTTGCAACAATCTTTTTCTTAGATAGTGGAAGAGTGCCGTGAGAATTTGTGCGCCATCGAGACACTGAAGGATTTTCAACGCTTTGAACACAATCATGACCAGGGGCTGACTATCCGAGAAAAGGTTGAATTTAAAAGTGTTTTAACCACCATTTAGGCGAAGCATTTGGTAGCGTTACTCGGTGATGAGGTGCGTTTGCAAGACGAACGAAGGCGCCGCCTGCAGGTCCGAGATGGGTATAGTTTTTGGCTCCAGAGAAGGCATGATCGTTGCTTTAGTGCGCGTCCACGAGATACCGAAAATAGCCGAACAACTATCCGAACGCAGCCAACTGGGATTGGAAGTCGGATAGAGACGCTGCCGCTAAGCGAAGAAACGCAGCTGAAGATGGCGCTAGCACTTAGTCTACAAGAGGCGGAACGAGCCGTTGCCAAAAGCGAGGACGTTTTGCTGCAGGTACCAATTTTTCAGAAAGGTTACCTTTTTTCTAGATGGCCTTCGAGGAAAGCCGACGTGAGGCCGATCGTTCTATTATTCGGGAACAGCCAAAACCCGCAAAGGCATGTGATTATCTTGAGGATTTGTTGACACTTCAATTTTGATTCATCTATGTGATTTGAGTCGATCATTTTGATTGCATCCATTCATCCAGATCTCTGTGATTCCTTTTTGTGATACGTTGTGAAAACTGTGTTGACTAACTTTCCTGTGTGAAGCTTGTGAATAAAGGTATTGTGGAAAGCTCTACGTGGAGTGCTTTTAGGAAGTCTTTGTGTCATTTGATTTTTCAGATCTGAAGCACAGAAGACGAATATTCTGTAAAAACTGCCACTAGCATAAGCGCCCCGCTCTGTCCTTATTTAGAACGCCCATCCCCACCCCGGGTGTCGGTGACGCGCGCAAATTTTGGGTCGAAATTTTCGGTTCTTTAGGATTTCCGGGGGGGGGGGGAAACCAAATTTTTTCCTGGTTTTCCCGGTCGACCTAGTAATCAAATATAAAGTGTTTTCACATTGTTTTTAGTAAATTTTAACTATATTTAAAGTAGAAAAACCTTTCAAAAAAGTTAGAAAAATGTTTGAAAAAGTCGAAAATTGGTCATTTTGGGTCTTTCCCCCCCCGCTAATCCTAAAGGTTCTATAGGATTTTTCGACCTAAAATTAAATTTTTTAATTAAAATGTGGGTAGTTTTTATCCTCAGGAATAGTTAAAAACCATTTAGAAACGCATGCGCTATTTAGAAAAAAATTTAGGCTTTGGCCGAAAAAAATTGGTTTCCCCCCCCCCCGGAAATCCTAAAGAACCAAATTTTCTTCAGGCTACCCCGGAAAAATTAGAAGGGGCCCAGGGTCCCCCTCAGGGCCCTCGGGTCCATTTTAATTGCCAATATGCCCGTGATCATCCTTTTCCGGAAACTCGCGAGCCCGTTAGGCCGGAGAACTCTTGCCGCGTTTTTTTTTGCTTTTCAGTGTTTTCATGGGAGGCCCGGGGTCGAAGATATTGGGGTGGAGTTCGCTCACCGAGATGGCTGAGGCCAGAGTTTGGTCCGAAGGGTTTTGTTGGTTCAAGGGGATGGAACGGGGGAGTGGGCTTCTTGTGCTCTTCTCTCTCACTCGCTCTCCCATTCGCTCTCTCTCTCTCTCTCGCTTTCTAGTTTCCACATATTCCCAATTTCCGATCATCACCCTGCAAATTTGTAGTCAACCTTGTGCTAAATGGCTCCATCCCCCACACGCAGCCTATGCGGCGATACCCCCGCTGACGCCACCCCCCTAAATGGCCCAATAATGCACTTTTTAGCTTTTTTTCGTATATCACAAGCCTCGCGCCTTATGGGCTGCAAGCACCTGGCCATGGGCCTTCTGGTGCTTTGTCTGTAGCCCATCGAATTGCTAATCACGGCGCGTATCTTGAGCTCTAGTTTTTTTTGGCTCGGTTCTAATAGTTCTCGTTCTAATCGGCGGATGTTTTCCAGCGTGACACTACCGTATCCCCCTCAAAATAATGCTTTTGGAGCTTTAGATTACTTAACTGGTTCACTTTTTCGACCTGGTTTTATTTCCTTATCTCAATAAATTTTAGAGATTTTTATCTTTTATAGAGATTTAGGATTTATAGAGATTTATAGATTTATAGATTTATATATTTTATAGGGATTTATAGATATTTAGGACCTGATTTTAGAGGCTATTGGATTTTTAAGTGTTTTTTACTTTTTTCAGCTGTTCGTTTGAAGCGTTGGATTCGCTGGACTCGCTGGGCTTTCCCCTAAAAAGTTCATTCTAGGGCGCATTCTACCACATGGACTGGGATATCTTTACCCACTCGGCCTCTCTATTTATGCTAATTAGGCACCACCGCGCCGGTGGATAATTGCTGTTTCTTATAGGATGGATATCGAGGGCGAGAGAGCACGAGAGAGAGAGAGAGCAGAGAGCGAGAGAGAATGAGAAATAATAGCGAAAGCGCAAGTGAAATAGTTAGAGATGTCTCTCAAAAAAGTCCGAACTCTGCGCCAATTTTTAATTATCCACGCCGACCCGGGGGCGGCGCTTCGAATTAGGCGCGCTTGTCCTCGCCGGCAGCCCACTCGGAACATGGGTGTTTTTTGATAAATAAAGTTCGGAAATAGAGACTACAGTGCACTATTATTTATAGAAATCCTTGCGTTTCTTAAATAGCTGAAGCTTTAGCTCAGTAGCTTTTACTCCAATTTTTAAAGACTTTTATTTTTTCGGTTTGAAGAGCTTAAAAGGCCGTCCGCGAGTCACCCGAACAGACCCCAATATGGCTTGGCACAGTTTTTTTCGACCCAACTTTTTTGACGCCATCGGATAGAGCATGATCGAATTAGTGGAGCCGCATAGTTTTGAAAGTTTAAAAAGTTTAATTTGGGGGTTTAAATGGACGTTGAAGTTGCAGAGCCCCAAAAATTATCTTGGAAGTTACCTAACCAAATTTGCTGAAAATTTGTGCCAATACCTAATTTTGGACGGGGGTCATTTCTCTAATACATCGCAAAGCGTGAAAATGGCCGGAACATAGGAATATCGCGTACATAAAACAGTTTTTGAGGATTTTCGTTGTGAAGGGTTGTTGGCTGCGCGCTGTAAATAGCATAGAAAGATGCGCAAAAACTTTCTGCATCGAATGGTGTATCATTTAGCGCGCAGACAGTAACCCTTCATATTTAAAAAACGCGATTTTTAAACGGGAGAAAAACTGGTACGTACTCCCGAGGTTTGCATATTTTGAAAAATCGGAAACGGGTATAGGGTCTAAAGATAAAACTGTATGCATTGCAAAAAAAGAGCAAAAAGAAATTCCCTTCCCACTCGGAACTGACGATCTGCGGGGATCGAACCCGCGATGGTGCGCCTGGGGGGCACTGGGGACAGCCGCTAGCGGGCGCCGCCATGTCCCAGGCGAACGACCCGAGTTCAATCCCAGCCCCCTCTCAAAAGTCGAATTTCTTTTTGCTCTTTTTTGCGATCATGCGGTTTGACCCTCTAGATGGGCGTCCATGTCTTATTTTTCATAAATATTCGATTTTTTTCTTTTTGGTACCTTTTAAGCCCTTTTTTCAAGATGAAGGGTTATTGTCTGCGCGCTAAATGATACACCATTCGATGCAGAAAGTTTTTGCGCATCTTTCTATGCTATTTACAGCGCGCAGCCAACAACCCTTCACAACGAAAATCCTCAAAAACTGTTTTATGTACGCGATATTCCTATGTTCCGGCCATTTTCACGCTTTGCGATGTATTAGAGAAATGATCCCCGTCCAAAATTAGGTATTGGCGCAAATTTTCCGCCATTTTGGTTAGGTAACTTCCAAGATAATTTTTGGGGGTCTGCGACTTCAACATCCATTTAAACCCCCAAATTAAACTTTTTAAACTTTCAAAACTATGCAGCCCCACTAATTCGACCATGTTCTATCCGATGGCGTCAAAAAAGTGGGGTCGAAAAACAGACTGTGCCAAGCCTAGTTCGGGTGGCTCGCAAACGGCCTTTTAAGTGAAACGTAAATTCAACGATATAATCTTTTCTCCGTCTTCCTTCTTCGGGTTCTAGGGTTCGAAGCACTCGCAGAGTTCGCACAAATAAAGACCCTCCAAAAAACGGGCCCCTAGGGAGAAGATAAAGCCGGGGATTGGTCACTCTGACTGCCTTGCTAACCCGGATTCGGGGCTGGCACGTCTAAAATTCGGGGTTTCTTACAAGTTTAGCCCTTTCAAGCTTTGAACTCTAAGCCCATGCCTAAGCTTAAAACACTGTCTCAGCCTAAAACCTTGCAAAGTGCAAAATGCCAGAGAACATTTCCCAAAAACCGGAAAAGCAGCTCGCAAAAAAATCACCTGTCATTTTTGATGAAAAAACGTGCAGACGGGATCAAAGTACAGTATAGAAATGCTGCGCGCCCCGGAGGTTTACTGTAGTTTTGAGCTTTTTTTGCTCTCTCTCTCTCTCTCTCTCTCTCTCTCTCTCTCTCTTTATTTCTCTAATTACACCCCGTAATCCGATCAACCGCCGATCAGCTGAAGTCTGAGTGCCTGTCTGAACATCTTTTTCTCTAATCCTCCCCAAAAATCCGCTGTCTTTCCACCTGTTGCTCCTTTGCCTCCTTCTGCTCCCCACCCTCTTACCTTTTCCCCCAATTAAAACCAGCTGTCCCATTAATTAAATGCACTTTATTGTATCGGGTGTAGCCCGTGCCGTTAAACCTCAGCCCGAACCCATGACGCCGAATCCTTTTTCTTTCTGCAGTTTTTCACCGCTAATCTGCAGCTATAATTGGATTTATTGTGAGAAGCGCTGGACCTTGGCTGAAGCTACGCGTATTTTAGGGGTCCGTTGAGCTCAGAATTTATGGGTTCACTGGGATTGGGGGGAAAGTTAGCTTTTTCTGGCTTTTTCGTTGCCTCTCTCTCCATCTCTCTCACACTCGCGCGCTCTCTCTCTCTCTCTCTCTCTCTCTCTCTATCATTTTTCGAACCTTGGATAATCGCGTTAAGCAATAATTTGGTATCTTCAAAATGAACCCTGCGAGACTCGAATTTATTTGGCGATTTATGAACCCTTAAAACTACCTGAGACTGACTAATTTTTTACCTAAAAATTTCATCTGATTTCTGATTTTTGACCTTGGGCTCCATTCTTATGAAAATGAAATTAATTTTTGGAGTTGGATGACAATTGGCGTGTTCTCTCTCTCTCTCTCTCTCTCTCTCTCTCTCTTTCTCTCTCTCGCTCTCTCTCTCTGTCTCTCTCTCTCTCTTTTCTTTTCTTTTTGAACTAAAGAAAAATTTTCGGTCTAGAAGACGTGGGACAATCTCATCAAAATCCTGGTTTAAAACCGCTTAGCGCATTTCACCTCCAAATCCTGGGATTTTTCTGCTCGGTGTCGGCGACCTGTTTTTTAGTTTAGCCGTATTGTTTCGGAATTTCCCTGTCGAATTGGGAAGGTGATAGAAAGTGGTAGACAAAGAGTGAGAAAGAGAGAGAGAGAGAGCGTGAGAGGGAACGCAAGAAATATATAACACTTCCAATCCCCCTTAAAAAGCAATCTTTCAAACCCTTATTACCTCCACCCTGTCATCCCCGGCCGTTCCCCGGAAGACCCGGAAAAATAAAGGACAGCAGACAACATGGCCAAACACCTCCTCATGGCCTCCACTAAAACCGAAGAAACCCAACCAACAACGCTAATTTCCACCTGCCCGCGACCCAGCCCAAACTTTTTGGCCATACCCTGAGCCCCGGCTCCTAGAATTGATCGTTCGATTCGAGCCGGCCTCGGAATTAGGCTCATTCTAACCTAGTGCCCCTCCCCGCCCTGCGGCCGGTAATAAGTTTACTTTTTACGCCCCCCTCCCTGGCTTGGCCTTTGTGGGGCTAATCGGGCGAAGAACAACGGAAGTTGTCTGGTCTCTAGTTACTTTTGGGCTTTCCTGACGTGGGAGGCTTCAACGTTAAGCCTAAGCCAAAACCTAGGGCTAAGACTAAACCTGAACCTAAGCCTAAGCCTGAGCCTACGCCTAAGGCCTTAAAATTCGCTTTCAGTTCGATTTTTCGGACTTTAAAGGGATTGCCGAAAAAAAGAGCATACGGTAACATCGAATAAATTTTATGGAGAGCAGCTTTTTTGCTTTTTACCGGGTCACGGAACCAGAACGAGCGATGCTGTCCTACTCCCTTTAAGCGGAAACTACAAAGTTCCTCTAATTATTTTCGAAATTTCACTTGTCTACTTTTCATGCGTATTTTACTACCGTAATCGAAATCCCAGCCAATACCTTGTCTTCACAGCTTCTTTAAGCCAGAATCATCATCATCATTTTCCCCCTGGAAGTTGCCCCTCCCTACATTTTTTACTTTTTGCAGCTTAATCCCCACGTGCTCATCGTGTCTCCATCGCACCCCATTCCATTCCGATTTTCCAATTGACGGCCCCCGCGACTAATTGAATGCATAATTCCTGCGCGCCGTGGCGGGGCGATGTCAGCGATTTGACTCTGCACACGGCTCCTCCCTCGCCCTATAAGCTCTTCTCTCTCGCTCTCTCTCTATCTCTCTCTCTCTATCTTTATCTCTCTCCCACTCTCTCTCTCTGTGTCTCTCTCTCACTCTCGCACCTCTAGAACATCGCCTCCCCTATTTGGTATGTTAATAGGGACCCCGGAATCTGCCCGACAAACCCAACTCAACATCTCATCTCGGCTTTGCCTCATCGCAAACACCCTCGCTTTTCATTAAAGCTTGCCCCGAGCTACCGTAGCTGTTCCGTGCTCGGTCCAGGGACAACTAAAATTACTTCAAAAATCAAGAAAACGAGGAATATTGAGTTCTAAAGGGTTCAGGAAGGGTAGGATCTCCCTCTCATTCTCTCTCGCTCTCTCTCTCACTCTCTCCCTCTCGCTCATATAGCTCAAAGTTTCTCATCTACCTAAGTTTCCAATTTTCCACTTCCTTACGCTGGACGCCAAAAATATTGGCCGCAGGCACGCGAATTGGCGTGAAAATTTATTCTGGCAAAGATGATAGAAAGATGGCTTCCTGGCATGGGTCCCGCAACGCTTGGCGTTAGTTTAAGATGATATTTGTGGCATTTACTTCCGAAAATCAAAAATAGCGCTCTCTGTCTGATTGTGTCTGTATCTCTCTCTCTCTCTCTCTCTCTCTCTCTTTCTCTCGCGCTCTCTCGTTCTCTGACTCTTTGTCTACTCAACTCAGTCGAATTTTTGTTGGCTTTTTTTAATCTGTTTCCAATTTATCAATGATTCCTGCCATTTTTAAACTCTGAGGTCTGCCCCCACCTACCGTAACCCAATGTTTTAGCGCATGGAAGCCTCTCCCTCAACATTCCCCGAGCCAGACGACCAACACGGCTGGCTGGCGTGGTTCGTCGCCGGCGGCATCTTGACATATTTGATATTGATCGTCCTCGGCATCCCCGCCAACCTCTTCGTCCTCCTCAAAGTGCTACGGTTGCGCAGGTGCTTTTTAAGAAACAACTTTTGCCATTAATTTCGACACTAAGATGACAAATCCGTCATAACGGATCAGATCCCCGAAAAATACACCAATTTGCAAACAACAAACTATAAGTTTTTTTGACGCCGTTCTGGCTTCCGGCGTCTGGAGAGGGTTTCTTTTGGTGAAGCCGTAATTGGGTTACACTATTTCGAAAAAGCCCTTAAGCACTGCGCATGAAAGTCACGATGAAAACCAACCTGAGCCAAAGCAAAAGCCCAAACCTAAGCCTAAGTCTAAGTCTAAGCCCAAACCTCAGCCTAAGCTGAAGCTGAAGCCTAAGCCTAAGCCTAAGCCTAAGCCGAATCTTAGGCCTAAGCCTAAGCCTAAACTTTAAAAGACCGCTAACTTTGTGGGGGAGCAATGGAATCGCGTTGAAAAGAGCATCAAACCCGCATTTTTTTTTTGTGGATTCCCACACTTCCCACTCCCTTTAAAAACCCTCAGACTCCATCCTGCACGTAGCCCCAGCCCTTAATTCCCGGGCCCCTAATCCATCATCAGCTGCGGGATGGCGAGGGTGGGGGTTGGCGAGTCGCTAAATGGCTTTGCGATTGCGTGGCAGTTTGTCATTAAGGTTTTTGCGTACTTCCAGCACGTTTTTCTACTTTGTGCCCGGGGCAAGTGTAGTTTCTCTTGCGGCTTTGGAAATAGGGGAAAAACAGCGTTTTCTGAGTTTTCTAGGTGGAGAAAAATTAAAAAATTTGATGGAGGAACCGTTTTTTTTTTTCTCTTCGATGTGTTGTTCTGCATCATAGCGCTGAAGCGAAAATGCCGAGAGACGAAAATCCCGACAGCCAACATAGCTCGTTAAAAGGAAATGGCATTCGAACTAGGAAGAAGATTCTGTCGGGATTTTCGCGGTCGGCATTTTTGGATGTCGAGATTTTTGGGTTTTCCTGAAAAGTGGCCCTTCTAGGGGTAAAATGGATAATTTTTGCATTTTTTCGAAAGATTGGTACTATTTTACGGCTCAACAAAATCGAAATCAGTCTTGAGGGGCTAAATTAATCGCAAATTTTCATGAATTCATTTCCAGACGAAAACCGGACGCATTCCGATGCGGCACCGGGCTGTGCTTGTTGGTGATGGCGGTGGCCGACCTGTTCTCCCTGGTGGCCATCATCTCGTTCGGGCACGTCTTCAGCGGGTTCGCCATCCCGCTACCACTATATGGATATGAGGCTTATTTGTGCAAGGTTCGTGTCGGAGTCGAAATTTGGTTTTAAAGAGGTCGAGAACGCATGAATGCGAATTTCACGAAATTTGCAGAAATTTAGCGGGCTCAAAAACTGAAAAAATTGTTTGAAACTTTTTTTAAAGATAAAGTAAACAAAAAATGCGAATGTAAAGTGTAATTTCGTTCGAAAAATTATATTCCATTTTTTTTAGATAACAATCTTCACGATGGGCACCGCCACGTCGGTGGCAATTTGGTCGTGGCTTCTCATGTCGATTTTGAGGTACGGTAGTTGGGTTTAAATTCTAGCTTTTAAAGGGTTAGTACTGTCGAATTGCGGTAATTTTAATTTTTAGATGGATGGCGCTCTACTACCCACTCCTCCACCGTACCCTCTACGATTTCCCGCTGCGAATTCTCTCCCTAATCTTCATCATCGCGTCGCTGACCAACTGCTGGATATTCATCACGGTCGACTACCGTAGTGAGCCGGTAAGATACGTTACGCTACTTGCCTATGCGAGTTGCTATGTTGCACTACGTAGTGCAGTCAATGAGTACGTTGCACTACGCATGTGCACAAACGTTACGGCCCCGATTTTACGCTCCCTTTAGAGACCCGAATGCACCCAGGAGCCGCTTTTTGGGAATGACCAGCTGACAAGGTGGCTGCATATCATTGAGATTGGATGGTAAGGCCTTCGAAAGTACGTCGCAATACCACTCCTTCTAGGTCCTTTGTCATCCCGATCTTCATCGTCGCCTATCTCGACATGGCCGCCCTGGTCGTCATTCCGAAGTTGTTAAGGGCGAGGTAAGCTTTTTCTGCGGTAGTTTTGGGGTATAGATTCAAAATTAATGTTTTTGAGTTAAATTTTCATAAAATTTAACGAAAAAATCCAAATAATTTTTCAGTTCAATGTTGAAATCGGTCAGCCCACCCAAAATTCGTGTTGAGCACAAACTACCGAGTTTTCAACGCGTAAGTCGATATTTTTCGATTAATTTTGTATTTGCTAATTAAGCTGATTATAATTTAATTCAATAAGCTATTCAGCTTAATGTAAGTGGTTAAGTAATGAGAAAAATACTTTAGAAATGCAAGCGCACCCTGACGCGCTGGCTCCTCATCGCCCTGGTTGACATCTTGCTGAACGCGCCGGAGAACATCCTGCGTCTGTACACGATCCTCGGGTTCTTGACGAAGGAAGATATGGATACGGTCCCGTATATCGTATTCAAAACCATATCAGATGTGGGTTTCTCGGGCATTGAAGGTTTTAAATCAAAGCCTAAGCCTAAGCTAAGCCTTTTCCAGGTGCTCTACTACTCGCAATACAGCTTCAACGCCCTCTACCTCGCCCTCTTCATCTACGACAAGACGATCAGCGACAAGAAGACGTTGCCGAGCGCTGTACGTCTTCAAAAACCTTTCCAATTCTTAGCTCCAACCCTTTGTAGATGATCCTAAACCGGGTCCAATTCGCGGCCATTGTGGGTTTTTGAACATCAAGCAGCCACCAAACAGTTTCTCCTTGCTAACCATTTTTTCTCAAATTCACCTGCTCCTCCTTGAAACGCACCCAACTTTTCCTGAAATAATAATTTTTTTTAATGACCCAATTTCAGGTCTACGATCGAGCGCGGGATTGTCGAAGCAGAAAAGGCACTAATGTAAGCCTTCAAAGTCACTTGAAATACCGTTTTAAAAACCAAACTTAGATGTATTTTAAGGGATTAAAGAAGAGAAAATTACTAGATATAACGTAAACTTAAATTTAATTGACTAAAACCATGTTTTTCAGGAAAACCTGCCCAGCGTCGATAAAGAAACGCCGCCAGAAACCTCGAACACGGTGCGCGTCTCCCTCAAAATGGAACTTTCAAAGCTGATGGAGGACGAGACTTGATTTATCTTTATTTAGATCTATTCATTTGTCATTTTGTGCATATCGGAAAACTACAATCGGGAATAAACGTGATCTCATTTGCAAATTACAGCCCCGTTCGAAAATTCGGATCTTCAGATGCCTTTTTAACGTCGAAATCACTAGGGCGAGTCCTTATCACTATGATTTTCGCAAAACAGATACAAAACTACATAGGAATTTGTTTCAGATGATTTTCAAGAGAGCGAGAGAGTGGAGAGACAGCGAGAGAAATCTCTTGCCGTATCCTGCCCTTTCGTTGATTTGACCTGAAAACTTAGCTAACACGAAAATAAATACTTAATGTCATAAAATAAAAACTATGAGTATCTAAAAGATACTTAAAATATAATTAACATTTATATAAACGCTTTTGGCGCAAGTTACGGCGATATTTGGCCCGGTCTTCCCCTCTCCCGCCCGAGTGTGCGGTGGTGTACTGGATAGCGGGCCAGCCTTTCACCCACGGGACGCGGGTTCGACTCCTCTCGAAACCACCAGGGTGCCGTATCAGGCCGCTTGGTCAGTATGAGTAGGTAGAGCAGATGATTGCCGTTTGCGGGTCGATAAGGGATTCCTGTCAGCTCACACCGGCGGTCAAACATTTTGAATTTTTCAACACCAATGACTTTATCATGGGGGCTTCTGACCTTGTAAATGCGCCAATAGATGTGATTTCTCTCGTTTTTTGAGAAGATTTCAGTCTAAAGTCTTTTGCCCATCTCCTAAGAATTGTTTAAAACTTCTAAATCTTCAATTGAATTTGTTTTTGCCTTTTTTTGAAGCTTTTACTTAGCTTTTGGGTTTTGACCTTGTAGCTGCTTCAATCGATCTGGTTTCAGGTTTTTTTGGCAAGAATTTGCCCACCAGCTTTTTGACCGTTTTTTAGGTACTTTAGAAGGCTTCAAACCCTTGTATTTTCCTGTTTTATACAACACAGCCCCTACAGCCTTACTTAAACCTGCAACGAAGTCCAAGTACACTCATTACGGAATTCGTAAACGGATTGTGTCGTATTATCGCTGGGCGGATTTTCTGGTGCGATTACGTGGGGCAAAAGGGGGCTGGGCTACGGTCATTGGGTCACGGCATTAGGGTAAAAGGGTTTGGCCGGGTCTGGGGGCTCCGAGAAGGGGCGAAAAATGCTAGTAAAAGTTAGAAATAATTAAAAATCTATTTAAAACTCGTTTTTCATCAACCTTTTCATGATTTATTTTAGAGAACAAATTATCGCGGATTTTTTGAGCATAAAAACGGCCAATTCGATCCATGAAATCTTCCGTTCTGAAAAAGGCCCGATTTTCGCGCATCAACCTTGAGGATTTACGTGCTGTTTTGCCACATCCGGGGCTGCTAGGGTACCCAAAATAGACTATTTTTTATGCTGATTCTGAAAATGAGCTAGTTTATTACCCATGACTTCAGATTCTCGAGATAAAAGCAAATTTTGGTGAAATTCATCCGGGAAACACCAAAATTTCGGGACCTGGGTAAAAAAGTACGCTGAAAACGATAAAACACAAATGAAAAGTTAACACTTTTATTTTGCTAAGAATTTATTATATGCTCAAATTATTGGCAAACGAGCTAGTACGTTATGCTACTCGTTACGTCACTACGTCATTTGAATTATGTCGTAGCCGGCCTTCGCCCTGGAGCTTCGTTGTTTAGCTGTATTGGGTGTGACAATTTTTCAAGCTCAAGGCTTTCTTTCCGCGATGCTACACCCAACACCTGTTCTCCGTGCATTGGCGCCTAATGGACCCGCCGGCCCTTTTCAGAGAAAACACGAGGCCAGGGTCCGCTGTGACGAAGCCCGAAAAAGCAAACAATTCATCACGGAAATATTTTTTATTGTGCCCAGCGGGAAAACAGTCTTGAATTGACGTTTATCATTCCTTTTTTCTTTACTATCCTTTCCGAATACCGAATCATTTTCCTCAGCGGAGAATAAACAACCTGATTTCGCCGTTTTGCCCTGAATAAAACTCTTTTTCCCCAGCGCCGAGATTACAAAGCTTTATCGGTTTTATTGCGTTTTTCAGGGCATGAAGGCGGGAGGGCTGGTCCGGAATGATCTCACCGCCGATGACAAGAACTGCACCGACGGCATTGCATGGATTCAGAATGTGCGTTGCTAGGAAGTCTCTTTTTATTTTTTTTTGTGGTTTACAGGGCGGACTGAAAAGGTTAACTTACCGTCCCTTTATCGTTTTTCCGTTTTTCCAGGTATTCGGCGACTGCGTGGATACCGAGCTGAAGCTGATCGGCTTTATCGTGGGCCTCGTCTCGCTGTGCCTATGGCTGATCCCGTTGATCCCGCAACTGTTGCAAAATTACCGCACGAAGAAATGCGATGGGTTGTCGCTGGCGTTTTTATTCTTTTGGTGGGTTTCTGGTTCTCTTGAATACTTTAAGATCTTAGGTTCAAGCTGTACATTCTAATTCCAGGCTGGTCGGTGATACGTGCAATATGCTGGGCGCAATGTTGACAAACCAGCAGCCGATCCAGAAGATCATAGGAGTCTATTATATCATCCAGGTACAAACATACCCTGTAATTTTGAAAATTGATTTAGGATCTCACGCTGTGGGGCCAGTACGGCTACTACCATTATTTCTTCAAACGTGATGAGAGACGTAAGATTTATCGCCGACTAAAAATCTCACATTTTTAATTCAGGAGTGACAATCGTGGTGCCATGTCTGGCTGTGATGAGCATTGGGTCATTTTGCCTCTTCCCGGAACGCGCTGGGACCGATCAGTTTGTGGTAAGTGATATTTTTTCTCTTTTTTTTTGCTGCCCTAAGGTTTTCGGGAACCTGGGCTTGGCAAATTTCCTCTTTGGCAGGATTTTTGGGTTTCAAAGTAACGATTGAAGACGATGAACCCAAAATCTGCCAAACCTAACCTCCACTTCTACAGGTCGGCCATTCCCGGGTTCTTCGTTCGGTCGCCGAGCCAAACCTCGAGACAGCGCTGCGCATGTGGCCAATTTTCGAGAGCTACACGGACTTGGTAAGCAGTTTTGCTGCACTCTTCTCGCTATCTTTTTGTCCACCCATGCATGGTTTTAGCTCCTTCAGGTTTTTTTTAACAAGATCGTGGGTGATAAAATTTTTCATTAGGGCTCGGTTTATCTAACAGGGTTAGTGGGACTGTGTATACACGTTTGTTGCTATTCCTAAACGTGACAGCTGCAAATTTTTATCACAGAATTCAAAAATTATCGATGTTTCGACCAGAATTTCAAATGTTCAATTTCGAATATTTTTTTCGCTTAGAATATAGCGCCTTTTTGGCTAAGCCTTTAAAAAGGCTGCGATTTTTACTAGGAAAAATAGTGCAAAAGCACCTTCTATTTACAATTTTTTTTAGCTTGGCTACATCATCGGCTCGATCGCGGCGTTGTGCTACTTTGGGGGCCGTATCCCGCAGCTGATGAAGAATTACAGAAGGTAAGACAGCTAGAGAATCTTTACATTTTTTAAATTAGAAAAAGTTGCGAGGGCCTGTCGCTGGCCATGTTCTACATCATTATCGCCGCCAACTTGACGTACGGCTTCTCGGTGCTGCTGGCCTCGACGGGATGGCTGTATCTTTTGAGGTGCGCCCGTTTTTTTATCTTTTTGCTCGCCCTGGGGGTCGATTTTTGCACGGGCACCGGCTTATTGGGTTGATAAGGGGTGACGAGAGCGGGGTCAGAAATGGACCTAGAATTCCAGATTTTGCGCTGTAGAGAAAACACAATCCAGATATGCATAGTAATTTAATATAGCTTATTTTAAGGGTGGTTTCGAAAAATGTTTAGCAATATTTCAAGTGGAAAAGCTATATTGAAATTTACAAAATTGAAAAATTTAGGTTTTTTGTGAATAGTTTGTTTTTGGATCCAAATTTGTGCTGTAGGGTTATGGATTTTTTTAAAATCAAGTGGTGAAGTTGCGTTTGTCATAGCAAAAAAATGATCCTAAAGAAAAAAAGGGGTTTCTTTTTTTTTGCAAAAAAAAAACATGTTTTCAGGCACTTACCGTGGGTGGCGGGCAGTCTGGGCTGCTGCTTCTTCGACGTGATGATGATCATGCAATACTACTACTACAACAAGCGCCAAGCCGCCGGCACCGACCAGGAACGACTGCTCGACCCCGAGCAGCACGAGGAGTAAAATAGAATTTTTTTCCCTACTGCCCTTCCTACGCCTTGTGGATTCTGCCCTTTACTAACCGTCTAGCCGTTCTAGACTCGATTTTATAGACCCGATCTATATTTCAGGTAATATGTTGTTACTAACCCTCGATTGTCATGCTATCTGTACTTACCGCCGTTCCAACTAACCCCCAAATTTTCCCCGATCACGGGTTTTTCCTGGGCATCGCCCGTTCTATGCGGTATTTTCTGTAAGGAAATAGTATCTTTTTGTATTTTCTAACTTTCGAAAGTCCCTTCCAATTTGTGATTTTTGCCATTTCTGTAAGAAATAGTTCTTTTTGAATTTCCAACTTTCAAAGTCTCTGTTATTTGTAATTTTGCGATTACGATACTTATTCCCGGCCACTAACTGGTATGTCTTGCATTGTGATGATTCGATTCTCGATTTGAATAAAGAAGGAGACTAAACTCTGACACTACAAAAACACATTCACATGGACGGCCCGTCGGAAGGTGGTCGAGCTTTTGCGTGATTTTACGCTTGTTTAGACCCATCCCAGCCAACGGAGGAATCGCCGCTTCCGGACCCCGAGCCTTCGGACGACCCGTCGGATTATCCTCCGGATTGTAAGCTGTCTGTTTTACGTTAATTTCGGCTTTGCAGGGTCAACAACTACCACAACGTCGACAACTACATTTCCGCTTCTTCCGCCGCAGAAGGAAACTGGTGGGATTAATCGATAAAATTCGGTATTTTTTTAGGGGAGCTAAAAAGTGGGGACCTGCCGCTCACTTTCTTTGGTCTTTTAGAGCCTCCGCCTACGCCGCCGGCGCAGATTGTTCGGCTGCAAATCCCGCAATGGATTGGTGAGGGCTTTCCTGGTACTTGGCTGTTAGCGGGGGGAGGAGGCGCTCCCTAGCCTGTATCACCTTTTTTTTATAACACGTTTTTTTAGTGTATTATTAGTTTTTTATTACGTCCAAATTTTAGGACACCGCGGTTCGTTCGACTCGGCCAACGTCGAGCTCTTCCTGATCGCCTCCTTCTCCATCTTGACGCTGATCATGCTGGCCGGGCTGTGCTTCATGTGCTGCTACTTGTAAGGAGCTGCTAACGCTCGTAAGCAGAAGCGCCTTTTACAGCCCGTGGAAGCGGATCAAGGACGACCGGAAGTATCGTGAGCTCGAATCGCGGTTGCGCAAGAAGCGCGATAAGAAGCTGAAAGAAGGTAGCGCTTGATTCCTCGAAAATCTATCCACCTTTTCCAGGCGAACTTCAATTGCCGTACCCGTATCGCCAGGGTGGGTTCTGGGACGCGAATAACGACAACACGGAAAAGCGCCACGCCAAGAAAGCCACCGCCCAGGACATGGAAATCGGGGTGACGGCTGAGACTGTTGGTACGTTGCGTTACGTATGGAGGAGTGCTGCGTACATTTCTTTTCTTCTCCGTTCTTCTGATTTTGCGTCTAGAATTTTGCTTCTTGTTAGTTAATTCTTTCAGCCGCCGCCGTGCGTATCATCATGGAGGACGGCGGGCTGAGCGACGAGCCCGTGTCATCCGCCTCAAAAGCAGACTCGCAGATCATCATCGTGGAACGGGGAGGAAGTGCGTAGTGTAGCGTAGCATAAAAACGTTCTATAACGGATTGTAACGTACTCAACTGATTTTTAAGGACAACCGATTCCGAAGCTGTACAAAGATGAGGATACGTCCGAACGGAGGCGCAGTCAATCCCCGAAAGTTCGCCACACGCGTAAGTGTCTCTCTCACTCTCTATCTCGCTCGCTTTCTCGCTCTCCCTCCTCCCATTCAACCTCGTTTTTCAGAAGAGCCGAGCACCACCCTGGCGGCCGTCTCGAAGAAGCCGCCCTCAAAACCGGCAAAGCGATGATCATCTACTGGCCGACCGTACTTCCCTCTTTGAAGACCCAAAAACTCGCCTTAAACATTTCCCGGCCGTTTCAGTGTTGCATTCGGAATACCAACATTTTATTTACCGTGCACCGGAATTTTTTATTTGATGTCGCGCCAATGGGCGGAATAAATTATCGGAGCACGAATCGGACACGTATTGAGAAAACGACAAAAAACCTGAGTGGAAATGGAAAGGCAATGTAAATAGGGTTGGAATGGGAACGACGAGCGCGAGAGAGAGAGAGAGAGCGAGAGAGAGAGAGAAAGAGAAACCTCTCGTGCTCCCTAAGACAACGCAGTCGGGCTCAAAACGTTAGCCATCAACGCTGATTTTGAAAACACAGACGGCGAGAGAAAAGCCGGCGATAGTATTGCCCCACCCAGCGTCTGCGGCGACAAAACATCCGGACATATCGCCAACGGCGACAGTATCAACGGCGCCATCACGTACGGGTTGATGACGTTCGGGGAAATACAATAGGGAGACAATATAAATGGGGCCATGACGATCGGGGTGAAGATGTACGGGCTGAGAAGGTAGGGGGACAGGATGAATGGCATTGCGATGGCTGGCGAGAAGATGAACGGGCCCAAAACCGAGGGGTTCAGGAGGAGAGGGGAGAAGATGGATGGGGACAGGATGACCGGGCCTAGTACGGAGACGCCTGAAAAAGGAGAGTCTTTAAAAGGTTTTTATTACTGTTTCGCAACGCACCAGAACAGCGCGTTGCGTTTCGCGGTATCAGAAAAACAGCAAAAATGCGGAAGCCACAAAATTTATGCGGATGCCTTGCCGGTCCCTTTAAAACAGAGCCAACCTACCGAATGGCGGCGCGAATTGATAAGGCGCCAAGATGACCGGCTCGAGGACGTTGATCGGGAAGGCGAAGGACTGTTGGACGGACGAGGCGCCGGCTGGGGCACCAGGGATCGAGGCGCCAGCACCTACGCCCGATGGGACGCCGACGCTCACTTGGCGCTTCGCACGGGTTGGGAATGACTGGAGGAGGTTCTCTTGATCTCTTTCTGTCTCTCTATCTTTCTCTCTATCTTGCTATCGCTCTCTCGCTCTCTCTCTTCTAACTTTTTTAAAACCGAATCAATTTATCAACCAAAAATAACGACAAACACCACATTTCCACGCATTTCATGAAAAATAAAATAAGATACTCACACACCTCTTATTATCGCAATTATAATAATCATCACATACAAGCAATAGCACCCGAATTGAATAGTTTTGTTCTATCAAAATAAATGGAAAGACGGCAGAATTGCACTCGAAAAATGCACACAATGAGAGAAAGGCTTTGGGTTGGGAATTGGGAGGGGTTATTAGGGGAATTTAGGATGCGGATTCCTCAAAGGATCTTCGCTGGCTTATCTCTATTGGCGAGGAAGGAAGAGAGCGAGAGAGGGAGAGCGAGAGATAGAGAGAGAGAGAGGGAGAGACAGAGAACGAGAGAGAGATAGAACTAAAATGCCGAAATTCTTAACATCAGAATCCCAAATGTCGGCATTTCGCAATAAGCCCGCTAGCTCAAAAACGACGGGCTCAACACCGAAGCCATCAAGGTTGAGGGTGAAAATACAGAAGGTGAAAGCACAGAAGGCGAAAGTATAGCCCCACCCAACACCATCGGGGACAACACATCAGGGCACAACACCAAGGGGGACAATATCAGCGGGGAGAGCACGTACGGGTTGATGACGTTGGGGGCGAGGACGTACGGGTTGAGGATGAACGGGGCCATGACGAGCGGGCTGATGACGTACGGGCTGAGAAGGTAGGGGGACAGGATGAAGGGCATGGCTATGCCCGGGCTGAGCACGTAGGGGGACAGCACGGCTGGGTTCAGGATCAGGGGACTAAAACGAGTTATTCGAACTGAAACACTAGGTTACGGTAACTAGGTCTTTTTTTAGAAAACGACTACTGTAGTTAGGGCTCTGTTTAGAAAACCTAAAATTTGCAAAATTCCTGATTACGGTATCTAAGTAGCTTTTTGGAAACTGGTTGCTATTATTACTGTAATTAGTATTATGATGTCAATGACTTATCGAAATCTATGGGTTACGGTAGCTATGCAACAGATTATAAAAGTAAATAAGATGCGTTTTAGCTAAAGCTATTTTAACTATCTAACTCTCTCTCACTCCATCTCTCTCCAGCTTCTCTCTCTTTCTCTCTCTCGCTCTCTATCTTTTTCTCTCGCTCTCTCTACCCGCTCTCTAGTCTACCTGAAAATCGATGGTGACAACACAACAGGCCCCAGCACTCCAAGCCCGTAGATTGGCGTGAAGGCGTAGGGGGCGAGTACGGTAGGGTTCAGCACGTTAAGCAGAGGAGAAGCCACACAACCGGGCAGACAGAGACGCTTCACGCGTCGGTGGCTGTCCACAGTCATCGTCGTGTTGTCCGTAGCGTCGTGTAGCCGCTAAAACACCACCACACACTATTGATAACTAAAATTAGGGTTTCATCGAGATAAGCTAGGTCTAATGTTGTTAACGCTAGCCAAAACAACAAGCTACAAAATCTACTACAAACAACTGAAGGTAAATTTGAAGATCACGATTTTAGCAGTATCAAAAAAGGCAACTTCCTGAAAATAAGACCGCCCCTAAGCCTAAGCCTAAGCCTAAGCCTAAGCCTCAACCTAAACCTAAACCCCAGCCAAAGCCTAAGCCTAAGCCTAAACGTAAGCCTAACCTAAGCCTAAGCCTAAGCCTAAGCCTAAACGTAAGCCTAACCTAAGCCTAAGCCTAAGCCTAAGCCTAAACGTAAGCCTAACCTAAGCCTAAGCCTAATCCAAAGCCAAACCCAAGCCTATGCCCAAGCCCATAATATGCCAACCTCGGTGCTATTCGACGCTATTTGCCGTATCCTCAACCATAACGCTTCCTCATTCTGGGCCCGCGTCAGATTCCGGTAGTAGTCGTAGTCAAATCCGTGGTCTTTTCGGTCCCGGATCCCTGTTGGGATTACGGTAGATGATCCAGAGTCTAGAATTGCCCTACCTTGCTCCTCATGAAGCTTCTCGAGTTGGTGCGGTGTGGCAAAGGTGTAACCGCGCTTTTTCATCTCCTTGCGCTGACGGCTAAAAATATTTGAGCATGGGCATGAGCTTAAACCAAAGCCACTCTCAAGAGCTCAGCCCTCACCCGTTAAAAGAATTCTCCAGCCGCCCAAACATTTGCATGATGCGCTTGGTGACGCTCAACAGCTCGCCCTCCATCCCGAAGATGTTCATCTTCGACACCATCTGAATCGAGTTTTATGGAAATTTGAGGATCTCGATACCTTCATGGCGTCGTCGACGATGCCTCTCGTTCCGGAAACTTCCATGATCATCTCCATCATGGCAGCCCGGTCTTTGTCTTTTAGGCCGGCTGCTTCGAGGATCTGAACTAGGTAGATGAACTAGCTGTAGAGCATCGTTTTTCTCCCTCACTGTCTCTCTCTCTCGCTCTCTCGCGCGCATACCTTCGGCAACGGTAAGATTTGATCCTCCGCATCGTCCTTGTAAAATGACAAAATCGAGGGCGATAATTGTCGTTTGTCCGTAATTCCGTATTTGTCCGGCATTATCGGAGCAAACCTGAAAAATTTTGGGGTAAGCTTGCCTAAGCCTACCTTGGTGATAAGAACTTCATATTTTTATCTCGTCCCTCCTTGCCGTTGATGCGGCTAACCAGGCTGTACGTCTCCTGGATGAAGCCGGGATCTTTCGCCTGGAATTGAGCCGATGGGCGTGAGTGCGAGAAATAGAGAGAGGGGGAGAGAGAGCGAGCGAAAGGGAGAGACGCACTCGTTCCATAATCCCCTTCGTCGGCGTATCCCTGCCCAACACCAAGTCGTACATCCTCAAGTCGTACACCTTGGCCCCCGGCTCGCGCGCCTGGGCGTCAAGCTGCTTCTTGAGCTTCAGAATCGTCTCATACGTGCGCGTCCAGTTTCCTGGAAAGATCGCTCATTGACGTCGATTCGAGGAGTACTCGCCAAGGAAGGTATTAAGGCATGTAATTCCAGCGGAACCAGGGTTTTGCAGTATTTTTTTTGAGCCCTTGATGGTCCCTTTAAAGCGCACCCACCAACAGCCTCCGTATCGTTCTCCCCTCGCACCATCTTCATCACCATTTTCGACACTTTTTGCACAGGGCTCAACCGGGCCTCTAACAATGCTGGCATTTGCTCGAGGTTTCGGATCTGAATTTATCGATTTGGTTCAGCTAAAAGGTGTCCGCGCTACCGTATACTTTTGCGAGTCACTTTTCTGGACCATATCGGCGATTAGACGGTATGGGGATCGTTTCACTCGTCGGCGGAACTGCATGCTGTCGGGTTTCCGGAGTTTCGAGGAATAAAGGATGCGTCGATGAGCGTCCTGAATTGAGAGGGCGAGTGAGAGAGGGACAGAGGAAGAGAGAGAGAGAGAGAGCGAGAGATAGAGAGCGAACGAGAATCAAATTTCTCCCGCCTACCTTGAATTGCCGCCTAATTTTCCTGCGCCTAGACGAATCGGCGTTGGCGAAAAACTTCTTAAAATGCGCCAACCGCTCCTGAAATATGCAAATGTCGTGGTTTACAATCGTCTGAACGTCTTGAACTCGTGGGAGCTTTAGTGGGCAGGCTAGCGATGGGATTAGAGCTTATTTCCCACCTGGATCTTCCGCTCAATCTCCTTCGCCTCGAGCTCTTTTCTGCTGCTCCTGAAGCAAAAAAGGAAATTACGATGGCCACGAAAGACTGACTTTTTAGTTTTTCCGTAACTCGTTGGGTACCGGATCCTCTTCCGGCTTTTCAAAAATTTAAACGGATTCAGCCGAATCGATTTCTGTTGCGTGGTCGAGAATCTTGGCTAAACAGTGGCGATATTGGCTTGCTACGGCATGGTACTTACCGTCTCCGCTGCCGGGGCAGCTACGCGGAACGACCCCATCCATTTCTTGTAGCTAAAAACGGTTTGGAAAGGTTGTTTTATATGCTTGACAAGCATAAGTTAACCTCAAGCCTAAGCATAAGCCTAAGCCTACGTTAGCCGACTCACTTTTGCTTGTGTTTCTCGACATTTATCGGATCCTTGCGCTGTATTTCCTCCTTGACAACTTCCGCAGAAGTCTCGGAGCTGCAAAATTTGCATTTTAATTGCTTTGTTTCAACGCTGAGATTGAAAAAAATTTAATTAAGTTCTTACCTAATTTCCTGCCTAAAAATGGTGTCATTTTTCCGGTTTTTGCCGCCTGTTCTGCCATAAACTCCTTGTATTCGATTCTCCGCTGCCGCATATCTTCGTAGGCGTCTTTCGCCTCGATTAGACATCTGAATTTTAGATATATAATTCTATCCTCGGATTTCTCTCGCCGGACCCTTTAAAAAGAATCTAATAAAACCCGGAGAACACCCACTTTCCAGCGCTGACGATATCCCTACGATCCTGGACTCGGTCCAAGCAGCGTAAGAGTCGTTTTTTGTCATCTAAAAAATTCCACAGCTTTCGAAGCAGCTAAAAAGAGACTTTAGCGACTTTTAAAACGTCTATCATACGCAAAAATCGTAAAATATTTTTTAATCCTACTGTAAGAAATCTTCTTCATAATCTGTCGTCCCAGCTGTCCCATCAATGCTTTGATGGAGTTGATGTACCAGTTGTAGTGGATATCCTTTGTCTGTAATAAGGTAAAGTTAAGCCTAAGTCTAAGTCAAGCCTAAGCCTCACCTAATCCTAAGCCTAACATGTAGAGGTTGTCAGGTCACAAGCTCCAAACCGGCTGAAAATTGGTGGAAAAATCAAATAAAATACGGGGAACGCGATGCGATAAAAATTATCTGCTAATGGGCACTTTTGTTTAATAAACTTTTCATTTTAAGTAAGAAAAATGAAGGTAAAATGGACTTTCAGCGGAACTAATCGGGCTGTCGGCCTCGGAATAAATGTTTCGATCGAATTGCCACGGAAAGTACGACACTAGGTACCTTCCCACACCCGGAAAAAAATTATTTGAAAAAATTTTTGTGCACGAAAATTTTGACGACCTATCGCATAGCTTTGGCCGCTAGGTGGGTTAGCAGCTGCTTAAAATAGTTAGTTCTGACCCAAGGTGTTTAAAATCAGAGCCCAAAGATTCCAGATTCCGATAATCACTGTCTCTTTACAATACCTGTACAAAAAGTAATCTGTATTAACTATCCTGTCGATTTTCATGGAGTCGGAATAGGTAGGTAGGTCCTTTTTGCAAAAACTTCCAAAATTTTGTAATTTATTTTTTTGTCGAGACGTCCGCTACTGATTAATAGGACCGAAAAACATTATAAAAACTATTCTAGACGCGCTCCCTACAAAATAAAAGCAAAAACGGCAAAAAGCAAAAAAATAAAAAATGCGGGAACCGAACCCATGACCTTTGGCCTACTATTCCCCGCACCCTACCCCCTTGGGAAGGCTTCAAGAGCTCGCATCTGCCCGCCCCGGTTCTGGCCAGGCTCGCTGGGATTCTAGGTGGGTTTTCCATACAAAATCTTAAAATTAAAAGTTTATTAAACAAAAGTGCCCATTAGCAGATAATTTTTATCGCATCGTGTTCCCCGTATTTTATTCGATTTTTCCACCAATTTTCAGCCGGTTTGGAATTTGTGACCTGACAACCTCTACATGTAAGCCGAAGCCTAAGCCTAAGCCTAAGTCTGAGCCTGAGCCTAGGCTTGAGCCTTAGCCCATGATAAGTAAGCCTAGACCTGCCAAGCTTTCAAGCTTGAGCTCAAATGTTTTAACCTTTTTAAAGAACATAAACCAAATAAACTCACTTTATTATACCCCTTCTCATCGAGCCGGATCTGGTCAAAATCCTTGAGCGTCACCCGCTTCCGGGAGAGGGCTAAAAACATAGTAATCGCTGAAATTTTTAAATTCCTACCGTCTGCCCGCTCTATACTGTAGAGCATGAAGATGAGGCATAAAAGGAGTAGCAGACGAGACCACATCTTATTATAGGGAGTTTCCGGCAGACAACTGGTTACGCAAGCAAAACGGCTGGAACTGGGGGTTCGAAAAAATTAAGAAAAAAGAAGTCGATGTCGAAGTCTGCAAAAGAAGTCGAATTTAATGTCGTAATCATACAGGTGCTGAAGTCAGTCGCATAAATTGTAGACATTAAGGTATGCAGAGGGAACAAAAAAATCTTGGAAAATTCTGTAAACCAAAGCCTAAGCTTAAGCCTAATAAGCCTAAGCCTTGGAAAAACGCCGCTATTAATTAGCATGCCAATCGCAAAATACGTGATGATAAGCCCGGTTTTTTTGCGGTAGATAGCCAATAGCCGTCGGCTGGTTTGGATAAGGGGTGGCTGATCCGGCCAGAGAGGCGTGTGAAAATGAGTGGCATCTTCCGTGGGAGGGGAAGTTGAGGTTCAGGATGAAGCCCTGGCCACGCCCACTTTGCCCTGATGGCTGGCTTTGGCATAAAACGCAGTGGGAGACGGGTTGATTAATAATCGCCCAGATCTGCGAATGATATGCAGATCAGAAAGTGCGGACGTTGGTTTAAGGCTAAGCCTATCCTAGGTCTAAGCCGGGCCTAAGTACGAGCGAAAACTGAGCCTATACCTCTACCTCACCCGCCTACCATTCCTCCGAGCACCAAAACACGCAGGAAGTACTTGACACACCTATCAACACTAGAGGCTAAGCGGCCTACGATAGCTTCCGCCCTAACGGATTAACCCAACGCTAGGTCGAGTGGATAGAGAGTTCAACCCCTCAGCGGGCCGCTAGCCTTGATTCCGTTGGATTCCGCTACTTTCCACCTTATGGGCCCACTGTCTTGATAATCCCCCTTTTTCCGCGTCACTCCACCCTCCCTTTCTGCAAAAGGGAAAAGTTACTTTTTGGGGGAAGGTTTTGAATTTGGTCAAGGACGGTCTCAGAGAAAGAGGTCGGTGAGGATAATTCCGGGTTATGACGGAATGATGGGAAATCGGAGATCTTGGGGACCCTGAAAAGCTGTCTGCGATCTTTAAAAAGGGAGAGAGAGTTACAGTAGAGAGCGAGAGAGAGAGAGAGCGAGGGAGAGAGACCCAAAGGAGCTTGACAAACTCTTGAAATCGAGGCACGAGCACAACTCGAAAAATCGGCGCTGGATAACAACGGATACCAGTCAGGGAGCCTGAGCTTTAAAGGGATGCCGACGGCATAGGCAATCGGTTACGTGCGGAAAAGAAAATGTCTCTGCGCCTCTCCCCTGGGCGCGCTCTCTCCCCTGTTGGCTATTTGCCAATTTGTTGATGAGGGGGGATCGACACATGCCGTCGGCAGCCCTTTAAGCGGCTGAGTTTGACCCGGCAAAGCAAAGTTTGATAACCTTGAAGTCTGATAAACTTGAACATGACCCCCGCTTCAAATCCTTAATCTCGAAGATCTTCAGCTTCAAGCAAGTAGGCTTGGAAATCGGCGATAAATTAATATTAAGAAGTATTTACTCTTAAATCCTACTATATATAAAAAAGTGTGTGCCACTTTGCATGCAACTTCCGTCAGCGTGTTTCAGTAGTATCTCAATTAGGGGGGTAGCGAGGGGTATGTATTATACGTCATTAGGTGCGTAATGGCCTTGGGATGACTGCACACTAATAAAATTTTCAAAAATTAGCTGTTTTCGACGTTAAAATTAAGTTTTTGTTGAAAAATCCAGGAGCTTTTTGTTAGGAAACAATTAGCATACGCCGGAAGTTGTGGTAGCCTATCTAAAGGGAAGAGAGGTAGCGTTTCTCATTTTTGTCATCAAAAATCGTGATAATTATGCAAAGCGCAGAATATCATGGGATCAGACGGGGCCAGGGCTGAAAAGTCGCGAAGCGGCTTTTCAACCCTGGTTAGTTAATATAAAACCAAATTTTGAAGCACTTGAATTTTAAGAAAGATATACGTAAAGAAACTGGACTAAAACTTAGAAGCTTGAGCTTGAGCTTGAGCTAAGAGATTGAGCTTGAGCTTCCGCAACTTGAAATTAAGTCTAGGAACAAAGGCTCGGGGAGCTCGGGCTTGCGTCGCGCACTAGACCTAGAAAAGCGTTAATCCAAGCATAAACTGCAGAAGCTGTAGCTTAAGTCCGAACTACCACGTAGCACCAACTCAATAAGTTTCATTTAGCGTGTACAAAGCCCGGAGCTAAAACTCCAAGGCGGAAGCCGGAAAAGAAGCTTGGCTTTCGGCTGGTTGGGGTGTAAAGCCCTGCCTTCCTGGTCCCTTTAAAGTGCCGGGGCAACCTCTGACGAAGCACCCAGGTTCAGGGCCGGGCTTTATAAAGGCTTTTCAGTGGGGCGGGGGCAGTTCGCCCGGGGCGTTCCGTTGTCCGTTATTTTGAAGAGGTGGGCCCGTTGTCGTGCACCCGGACTGGGAGATTCGTTCCGGATGGATGGGGGGGAGACCCTCGAAGCAAGGGAGCAAGAGAGGAACAGAAGGGAGGAACAGCCGGTGGGAACGGTTTATGGTAATACACCCCGTTCCGATGATCCGTGCCCACACTTTGGCCAGTCAGCTCGGAAACATGTCGGCAACAGGGGTTAAAGGGATGAGGCCAGTAGGAGGAGGCAGGCCATGTTTGAGCTCCAGCTCAAGCCTAAGCCTGAGCCTACGCCTAAGCCTAATCCTAAGCCTGAGCCTAAACCTAAGCCTGAGCCTAAGCCTAAACCTAAGCCTGAGCCCAAACTAAATCCCAACCTAAGCATGCCTAAGCCAGAGTAACAAATCCTGCAAAGCCGGTAATCCCTAAAATCACCTAGCGCTTTTTAAAAAACGCCCCAGTCAACCGAAAAATGATGGCAGCAAAAAACGGGGGAGAGCAGAAACTGTTGTGGAGACGAGCGTGAGGATGATGATACGATCCCGCTAGCTGGGGTTGATACCGGACCCCAGCCACGCGATTTATGGCCGACGTCAACGTGTTCGGCCGGCCGGAGTTGCAAGCCACCAGTTAAAGGAGCGCGGAAGGCTTGGGAAGCTTGCTTTGGCTTAGGCTTAGGCTTAGGCTGAAGATGCAATCATCAACAAAGAGGCAAAGTTCATGACGGAAGGAACAGCAAAACCAAGCAAGCGCCCCTATGGGTTGTATTTTTGGTTTTTGAGCTCGACCTCACCGAGCTCAACCTCCCCAAGTACATATATCTGAAGCCCGTCCTCCTCCAGGTCCTGCTCACCCGTGTTCCACACCTCAACTCCATGAGCAACGGATTTTTGAGCTCTGTCTGCCTGTTTGCTTTATATCTGTCCGTTTTGCCTCCCCCTTTTGCTAGGTTGGGGTGGACTCGGCGGTATCGCCCGAGATCAAACCACCACAATTTCCCTCGGCTCGATCCGCGAGGAGGATGAAACACCGACAGGAGCTGAAGAAGGGGAGCACGAAGAAAGACAAACTGACCGAAAGACGGACTGACAGACAGACAGACAGACAAACCCCGGATCGGTCAGCCAATCCGCGCGGGAATGGCACTAAAAATCGCTATCGATTTTGGGAGGATTCTCGGATGCTTTAAAGTGGCTTAAGAACTTTTATTTTTTCTACGCTATCAATTTTATGACCGAAAATAGCCTTTCGTTTTGATGCGCCGAAAGAGAGAGAGAGAGAGCGAGAGAGAGAGAGAGAGAGAGAGAGAGAGAGAGAGAGAGAGAAAGAGAGAGAGGGAGAGAGGGACTTTTTGGCGGCCTGAGCTTTTCAAAAACCAAGCTAATTTTTACATATTAATGATGGGTATCCCATCGATATCATGCTGCACTAATGATTGGTGATCGCATTATAGAAAAAACTTATTGAAAACCGCTTTACGCTTGAAGATTTCAGCTCTACTTTTTATTTTCCTGTAGATGTGTACATTTATTAGAGAGAAAGAGCGAACGAGAGAGAGAGAGAGAAAGACAGAGAGAGATACCATGAGAGAGACATATAAAATGTAGAGAGAGTTAGTCAGGGAGAGCACGAGAGAGCTCAAACCCGTGGATCCTTTGATTTTTTTACCAATCTCACCTGAATTTCGACGTCAATTCTCACGTTGCCCAAGTCAAGGCTACCGTACCCCTTCCCCTCTACCGTACCCCCGGTCAGTATGATTTTTCTCGGTTTGAGGAGCGGCGAGTGGGAAAGAGAGGAGCAGCGGGGCTCGCCCGGATCGAAAAGTGTCCGTCTTAACGGGGGGAGCGAGATCAAAAAGTATCTCGGCGGTTCTTTTCCTCTTTTCCTCTTGGCTCGCAAAAAGATGGTCGGCTCGTCAAATTGGACTGACAGGGAGGGGGGGGGACGGGGACAATCTCTGATCACAGGGATACGGTAGCCGAGTGAGGGGCGTAAAGTCGAAATGGCCGCCGGGGATTAATGGCGGTTCCCAGGCACTAATAGCTCAATAAGGTTTTGATCTCGATCTCGGCCTCCTAAGGATCATCATTTTCGAGTGACGTAAGGGGGGGAGGAAAGCTTTTGAAGGAGCCGAGCTAGGAACGTCTAGAAATTCGAGATTACCTATTCCTATAAGTCTTAAAATAATCTAAACTTGGCACTGAGCTTTTAGCGGGCGGGGCGGAGATTTTAACCGGGAAACCAAATTTTCCCTAATAGTCGCGTATATTGCTTTGCGAAATCTAAAACATTTTTTCAAATTTTACACCGATTTCATAGATAAAAAGCCATAAAAAATTAACTAGAAGCGTTTCGAAAAATGTTATAGTTTTAATGAAAAAAACGGCAGTTTTTTCAGTTTATCAAAAATTTCTGCAATATTTTGGCTTCTTATCAATTAAAAACAAGTAAAAAAACCATAGAAATGCCTTAAGTTTTAAAAAACAAAGTTAAACCTAAAAATTAGCCGCAACTCCGCTAACCCTCCCGCTAATAGTCCAGTACCCGATCGCCGACTACGAAATCAACTTACACCTCTATGGAAATTGTCTGTCAGGCGTGCATTGCCTTCCAGGTTCCTTTACTTCAAATTCCAAGGCTACCCGATATTCGATTACGCGAGGTAATGTTGAGTACAAGAAGGCTTTATTCAGAAAAAAGGGCTGCGATAGGATACACGAAAAACGATCGATATTTGCTTGTTGATGGTGGTGGCGAGCGGTCTGACGTTGCTGATCGAGGAGACGCACCTGAAAAATAGGGATTAGGATGTAAAATAGAAGATTTAAATTATTCAACGTATCGGGTCCGAGGGAACCGCAACGTAGCGACACACCTATGACTTTTTGGTCTCCTCTGGCGGCTCGGGGCCGATCGCGCCGGTGACGATCAGAATAGCGACGAGACCGGCAATGGCGGCGATGACGATCACAAAGATGATCAGGAAACAGCAGCACGTGTTCGTTTCCTGAAAAGATGTCGGATGGGGGGAGTGTGAGCATAATTATGAGCCTGAGCCTTGGCTAAACCTGAGCGTTAAAAATTAAGCCTAAGCCCAAGCTGGCACGGTTTAAGAAACTCCGATGATCGAAAATCGGGCTTTTCGAAAAAAGACTTTTGATTTTGAAAAATGTCTTTGGGATCGGGCTCTTTGGGATTATCTGGAGCACCAGTTTTTTTCTTTAAAGTCCAATTTTTTTGTAATATAAATCGAAAACTGTTCTTAAAATATGGTAAGAGTTTACTTTACCCCCCACAGCCAAAGGGTCTCAAAGTTTTCGGTATTTTCGCTTATTTTGTCGGTATTTTTGCAACGCCATTCGATAGAGCGTCGAAAAATATACTAAGAGTTTTAATTTGAGCCTACAATAATGTAAAATAAAAAAGTTGTAGTCAAAAACTTCCGGCTGGGGGGGCGGTAAAGTAAACCGTAGCCTAAAAGGTTTTATACGTCTAAATCCTAACTTTAGAAATTTTGAAAACCGACACAGATATCGACTTTTTGGAGGATCCCCCTCCGCTAATGCCAAAGCACCGGAAATCGTAACGTGGTTCCCACCTTGGGAGGACGTGGGGGCGAGGCGACCGGCTTCCCGTCTGGCCCGAGCGGCCTTCCCCATTTGTCCACCTCCAGCTGGTCGGGCGGTGGAGACACCTCCTCGGCCATTGCCTCCGACCTAGCCCCTAGATACCAGATCAGGCAAAAGTTTTAAAAAAACGCCAAAATACGCTATACGGGTAGCTATAGCGGTAGAAATAAGTCACGTCCCCGCAATTTTTATAAATCAGTGACAGTTTTCTAGCTTGTTGAAAAGGCTAAACTCCAGATAACCCCCCCACCCCACCTACCGTATCTCGGCTCCCTGTTCATCTACAGGTGTATAAAGTATACCAAAATACTCGCCACAGCAAGACGAACATTTTGGTATTCTTTACACACCTGTAGATGAACAGGGAGCTGAGATACAAAAGTCGGGTGCCGGCTGGGGGGGGGTTATCTGGAGTCTTACCGTTGAAAAAGCAAAAGTACGGTGAAAAAGCAAAAAATCCAAATTTCCACAATTTTTATATCTTTATTATTTTTTGATTTGTTTTTTTTTCAAAAATCGAAATTTTTGATTGCTTTCTAGCAATCAAAAACTAGTAAAATCGCTATAAAAATACATAATAGATCATCAACGGGTATAGGTGGAAAACAGAAGCCTTACGAAGCTGAGCAGCAAGCCCGGCAGCAGCCTTGGGAGCAGCAGGGGGAGCAGCAGGGGGAGGAGGAGGAGCAGCTTCGGGCGCCGGTGGCGGTTGGCTGGGAGCGGGGCCAAAGTCCTCGTACATCTTTTGTCGACACTGGGATGGGGGGTGTCACGATCCCTTTAGGCGGACGCTGTCTCACCTGTTCGTTCCCTTTGGAGACGTCACAAATAAGAAATGGGAGGGTAGAAAATGTTTGGGATTTTGGGAGGGCATGCCCTTTATTAGGTGTATCAATTTATGTAAATTTCTGTCTTAAATTCAAGGCCAAAAATGGAAATCGCGTTCGGATGATAATTTTGGTACTTTTGCAGTATTGGGGAGAGAGCGCATACAAGACACAAACAATTTTCGTCGTAGACGCGCGATTTTCGCTATTCTTCAGAAAAAATCTGATATTAGTTTAGGAAAACAGTTTAGAAATTTAATTATTTTGGCATCTCTTTCGCTCCCTCTCTCTCCCTCTCTCTATCGGTCTCTCTCGCGCGCTGCCCTCTCTCTCCCTCTCTCTCTCTCTCTCTCTCTCTCTCTCTCTCTCTCTCTCTATCGCCCTACTTCCCTCTCGCTCGCCTTCTCACTTTCCATAAGAAATTAGCTACCAAAATTAGCGTCAGGAATTAAGGTTCTGCATCTTTCCGTCAGTATAAAACCCAAAAACCCGAGGGTAAATCCCCGATTTTTTTATCCGCTTTGTATTGTGTGGTATTCAAGGAAACAACAGGTAAGGAAGGTCTTTGGGTTTTAAAGGCACTGGAACACTTGGAATTTAACTGTAGAACGCTGACAACCTGTATCACTTTCCAGTAACGACAAAAAATGTACGAGGACTTTGGGCCGGCCGTCTCGCCGCCGCCCGCCCCCGGGTCGTCGATGCCCGGCGCCCCGCCAGCGCCGCCCACGCCCCCGGGTACGGTTGGGTTACGGTATCGGACATCTGAGAAAAAGAAAATTTTTGGTTTATTTTGCGCATGAATTTACGCCGCATTTTTCGTCAACAAATTTTTTATTTCAGTGGAGGCAGCCGCCGCTTCATCTGCTGCTCCACCGCCTCCAGCTCCAGCTCCAGCTCCACCTCCTCCTCCCCCTCCTCCGGCAGCTCATCAGCCTCCCTCGGGCCCGGCCACCGACAACAGCTCCCACCACACCAGCAAGCCCCGCCGCGGCAAGAATCGCAGCTCAAAATCGACCAAAAGCGTGAAGGTAACTTTTTGAGTTAGGCTGTGGCTCAGATTCCTCAAAAATTTTTAAGATCTCACGTAAATCGAAACTCTCCCCCCGATAATGGAAAAGCACCATCCATCCACTCTCTTTAGAAACCCCGTTTCGGTTGGTGCCTCCATCCCGGCGTCCTCGTCCTCTGGGTCGTCATTCTGGCCATGCTCGCCCTCGGAGGGTACTGTATGTGGGAGATTGTGCTCCATCACTGAACACCGGCTCGACCACACGCTCCACAGCCTGACCTCAACGGCCATGTCGATTTTATTTGCTCTCGGTGTTACTGTAAAGTGCGTTTTTCCGGAATAAATTGCTTTTGGCATGAATTTGATGGCGTAATCGGATCGAGGAGAACAGTGAGAGAAATAGGGAGAGCGAGAGAGAGACAGAGAGAGAGAGAGAGAGGGAGAGAGAGAGAGAGCGAGAGCGAGAGCGAGAGAGAGAGGGAGAGAGATCTGGGGGCTAAAGCTAATACAGACTTTATAAAAACTCGATTTCAGAGAGAGAATCAGCTCCAAATTAAGCCTCGCATCAATCGAAATTCCTCAAATTCCTCTCTCCACATATCATCAAAACAGTTCGAAGTGACGAATTCTAGTTCTACGGCCACGCCGAGCACCGATCGCCATAAATTTTCTTAGCCTTAGCCTTCTCTCTCTCTCGCTCTCACTCTCTCTCACTCTCTCTCTCTCTCTCTCTCTCTCTCTCGCTCTTTCAGTCCTGGACGAAACGCAGAGACACACCAAAAAACCGTCGATCCGACCATAGCTCCAAAGGGGGCAGATCTGATGAGTTTTTGGCCGGACCGAGAGCAAATTCCCCCGATTTATTGCACTCCCGGCGCCACAGGCTGGGAAAGGGGAGGAACTGCTCGAGGGGGAGCAGCAAAAAAATGGAAGTGGTCAATTTTCGGACCGGGGGTCCTGGCAGGAAATGGGGTACTGTAGGGCGGAAGGTTGGGCGTTTGGAGCCACGCTAAAGTGCGGAAGCACTAATGACAGTATTTTGTGTGTGAAGAAACGTGAGGACAATATTTTTTGAGACATTTTGGAAGTGGTACAGTAGGCTAGGCTTGCTCCTTCCGTCTCTTTCCAAAGCCTAAGTTATACCTAAGCCTAAGCCTAAGCCTAAGCCTAAACCTAAGCCTACGCTTAAGCCTAAGCGATCAACTCCACCGTAGCCTCCCATCAAATTCCGGCTTAGCCACCCCGCGTATTTATGCCGATTGTAAATGGGTGTGATCCGGAATCTCATCTCCCCCGAAGGGCTAAATCTTGAACCCTTAAGGGGAAGGGATCTTTGTTACCCTCTCTTGGTCCGCCTCCCATGGCGAGTCTCGGTTTGTGTTTCCTCTTCCTCCTCCTGCTCTTGCTCTTCCTCATCCTCGTCCACCTTTTCCTCCCCTTCCGTTCTTGGGTAATGCGTCTTTGATGACCCGCGCCGACTCATTAAAACGCAATCACTCGCCTGGTGGATCGGGCGACCTGTCTCGACAATGTTGTCCCCCGGTTTTTATGGCCCGGCCCCTGAAACAGGGTTCAAAAAGATGACGGGGGTGGAAACGTGGTGGCGACTTTGAGGGTCTACCTTTTTGGAAAGATCTTAAAGTGTCCTGAAAGGCAGAAATGGGCATTAATAGGGTTAGCTGTCGCTCGCTAGCAGAGATCCTTGACGACGAGCGTTGTCCAATCGAGCAGGGACTATTGAGGAAAGAGATTGGTGCCAAAGTAAGACGGTGGGAGAGTGAGAGAGGGAGAGAGATAGAGGGAGGAAGAGAGAGAAAGATAGCTAGAAAAATCCATAGCCATGCCGTGCCAGTTTCCTTTAAAACCGCTACACTAAAAGATTTGCATATTTCGGCAGGGTAACTACCGTAATTCACTAATAGCGTGGGCTACCGTAACCCGGAAGTTGCCCCAGACGGACAGGTGTAACTTGAGCCGGTTCGCTTTTGGCCAGTTGGGTGGATCAAAGTCGCAATCCAGGCACTAGTTTTGCAGCCAGAAGAGAGAGAGAGAGAGAGAGAGAGAGAGAGAGCTAGATAAACTGTTCTGATCGCATGACGTCGACCCCCAGCCAGACGTGCAAGACCAAATGCGGTGGTCCATTCGAGAGGCAGGATTTATCGTTTCTGGCAAGAAGCGCGGGGGATACGGTCGGTCGGTCAGCGCGCCCGCGCGTTGTACTTCCTCTGTTTATCTGTTGCTCGAATGGGGGTTGAAGCTCGTTGGGAGAGCTGTAATTTTGTCGTTGCTGTCAGGGAAAGATCGAAATCGCCAAAAATGCTGAAATGCGAAAACCCTGACTTGGAAAAATCACGACATCCATAATTACGAACAAAAGTGTAAACGTTAAATTCCACATGAAAAAACCCCGACAAGTCTAATCCCGGTTTCAAGATACCGACAGCCGAATTTCGGGAACTTGCCTCTCGGTTTTTCAGATTTCGGGATGACGGCTGTCGGGATTTTCTTGTAGGTATTTCCCCACTACGCAACCACACAAAATCTGGGTTCTTTAGGATTCCCGGGGGAAGTATTCCGGGGAAACCAATTTTTTCCTGGTGGTCCCGGTTGACCTAGTAATCAAATATAAAGTGTTTTCGAATTGTTTTTAGTAAGTTTTAACTATATTTAAAGCAGAATAACTTTCAGAAAAATTTAGAAAAATGTTTAAAAAAGTCGAAAATTTGGCCATTTTGGGTCTTTCCCCCCGCGAATCCTAAAGGTTCTATAGGATTTTTCGACCTAATTTTTATTTTTTTAATTTTTTTTTTGGTTAAAATGTGTGTAGTTTTTATACTCAGGAATAGTTAAAAACAATTTAGAAACGCATCCGCAATTTATAAAAAAATCTAGGCTTGTGCCGAAAAAAATTTGGTTTCACTAATTGTCATAATTGCTGCCATCTTCTCGCGGCCTCGATGAGTTTCACGCGATTTTCGCCTAAAATGTTATTAGATGAAAGTATCGCTCTGTCAGTAAAAATTTGCATACCTGTTATCACCCAACCCAGTGAGGTTAACGATACACCCCGCTCGCACAGCGCCCTCGGAAAAGGCACCGAAACCACCTTTTTCATCGAGTTGACCCGGAAGGTTTGAACAGCTAGCTGAAGAGAGGCATATTGAGGGGGAGAGAAAGAGAGAGAGGGAGAGAGAGAGAGAGAGAGAGAGAGAGAGAGAGAGAGAAATTTACTTTGTCTAGCATCTCGGCCTCCATCATCTCCGCTTCATCGGCTTCGCGGGCGAATGTAGGTACGAAATGGTACCTGAAAATTTGAAAGAAGTAGGACAAAGCGAAGCCTAACAAGGGAACCACTAGTAAGGTCAACGTGGCGTTTCATTATGTGACCCAGCCTATTTTGTGTAGAATTTTTTGCTGATTCCGAACCCGCTGTCAATTTTTGCTAAATAACCCAATTTAAAAAGTTATAGCGTTTCAAAGTGCCATTTTTTCCCAAATTTTCGAATTTCAAAGTCATTTATCTTCCCTTTCCCGTCTGATTCCTCAAAAACGAATATCGCCATCGTATTCAGAAAATTTTTCTCTATCGAATGAGCTATTTAACTCAAAATTGTCGGAAATCGAAAAAATCGACGATACTTGGTATGGACTCCGTTTTTTGTATGGGAAATGGTGAAAAACTGCCCATTTCACAGCCCCGTAAGTGATCGTCGATAGGTAATAGCGCACTAATGAAATATACCAATCGAATCAGAAAAAAATTCTCTACAAGGTAGGCTATTAAAAATCGACTGCACTATCAAAATAGAAAAGTTGGGCATCGTGACAGATGACTTCCCGCGGGCTCAAATATGACCTTAAAATCGCTATAATTTTTTAAATTGGGTTATTTAGCAAAAATTAAAAGCTGGTTCGGAATCAGCAAAAAATTCTACACAATATAGGTCGGGTCCCATAATGAAACGCCACCTTGACCTTAGGTGGTTCCCTTGTAAGCCTTAGCCTATCCTAAGCCAAGCCAAGCCAAATCCTACCTTTCCGTACTAATAGCACCGGCGTGTAGCCCACACACACCATTGGAATATTTTGGCTGGCCGGGCAACTCGACCAGGGTCACGCCTAAGGGCTAAAAAACCTTTTCAACTCTTGATACCTTTCTTGAACTTCCGGAACAACTCCGTGTCGAGCTTCTTGAAGTCGTCGCCCCGGGTGGGGGACAGGGCCAGGACCTGGAGAATTTGAGTAGGTAAAACTCTAGCCCGGGTTTAACAAATTGGCATTAGAATCAGTACATTTGGGTCCAAAAACCGGGCCACGTCAGCGAGCCGAGCGTCTGTTTGTCTGCTAGGAACGTCGGAGATGAGGACCTAAAGAAGCCGTGCTGTAAAGAGAAGGAGAGAGAGAGAGAGAGAGAGAGAGAGAGAGAGAGAGAGAGAGAGAGAGAGAGAGTTAGAGAGAGAGAGAACGTCGCCTACCTTTTTATACAACCGATGCAGCTTCAACATCAACGCCCACTGCGTCGTTGTGGCGGCGTTCAAATCGATTAGACGCTGAAAATAGTTTTCTAAAGGACCAGTGAAGGCATGAAACCTGGTGGACAATCGCCAGATCCTTTCCATTATCGATCAAATCCGCGCCATTCCATTCCAGGTCGATCATGCGATCGCCCATCGTGAGATTGTACTTTTCTATGAATTCATCGAGCTCTTTGACGGCTTCTTCTTCAAAGCTTGGCTTAAGTTCGGGGCTTCTGAAAAATCGAGCTTAGTTCGAAGAGTTTAGAGGCCTAAGCCTAAGCCTAAGGCAGCCTATGCCAAGCCCAAATCGACTTACCTAAACTTCCCCCGCGCCTTCAAATCTATCCCGAACGCTGCGTATTCGCCGATGTTGTACAGCGTCAGCGGCGCGAGCAGGGTACCATCAGAAGGCACGTGGCTCACGATCGGAAAAGCCAGGTTTAACGAGATCTTTTGAAAATTCCGCTTTATTAGCCGGGGGAAATGTGTACTGAAACGTACCGAAGTCGTGCGCCCATCATAAAATAGAGCCGTCTCGCCATCGACGGCGACGAGTACATCCTCGTATTCCACTAGCTGCTTTGCCAGCCGCACTTGAAACTGAACGATGGCGAAGAAGAGATCGGAGTATAGGGCGAAGTGTCTGGAATGGCTGGGCTTGCAGGGCATAGGCGTAGGCTTGGCTCGCTTCGGCTTAGGCTTAGGCCAGGCTTAGACTTACCTGACCGACGGTGCTACCAACAAAATCAAGCTCCTCTCCTCCCGATCTAACCGGTTGAAGAAGGTCTTGGGCGCTTTTTTAGGGCGAAAGAGGGGTGGACGATAAGCGGAAACCGCGAGAAAAATGATTCCAAGCAGCCAAAGAAACTGGCCAGGCATTTTTCCTGAAATTTCTGGATTTTTCGCAGCCACTAGACTGAGTTAGCTGTCAAACCGCCGTTAAAGGAACAAAAAATGTTATAATACCCTGCAAACGGAGCTGACCCTGCCTCGCGCACCGAGGGCATAAATACCCGCGACAGCCGGTCACTTTCACCCAACTCCTTACTGGCAACTCGTCACCCTTTGTGTGCTGTAGATCTGGGCGAAAGTCTTCTGATTAATGTCCGAATCATTGGCTTCGTGACTCCCTTTCTCTCTCTCTCTCTCTCTCTCTCTCTCTCTCTCTCTCTTCCAGTGAAAGTGTACTGGACAACTCTAATAAGACAAGAGGGGAAAGTCAGCCATCCGTGATGGTCAGCGGGTAGGAGCTGGATCGTTGACAGTTTGGTGGCAAGGTGAAAGTGGGGGGGGGGGGAAGATACGGAGGCGGTGTTTTAAATGGACTTGGAAGGCTAAGCTGCCTGAAAGACCATATTTCGACATTTTTTGGCAAATTCTAAAAAGATGGACAAAACGACGAAAAGCCAACACTGAAAAATTAAAATCCTGGTCGCAACTTCAAAAAATCGTAAAAGCCACAAACGCGACGTGACAGCCATGCCAATCAGCGCATTTGAATCACCATTTCAAGCTGGTTGGAATAAGCTAATTGAAAAATAATCTACTCTACTGAATCTACTGAATTTTTGAAAAATAATCTACTCAAAACCAATGGAAATCCTCCAAAAGTCAACGTTTCGTAGTGTAATGTATCGTTGCCTGTTTTCGTAGGGTGTCCCTCCTTGTAATTTTGCGATTTCCATCTCGAAGCTCATGATTTTCCGCTGGAAATTTGCATACATACCCCCGGAAGTGCTGCCAATTTTGCGTAGGCTACAGACTACAAAAAGGGCTGGGAACTTGAGATTTTCATCTTTCGACGATGAGCAAAGCACCAAGCGCCGACCCGAACCCGCTCCAGGTGGCCGCCGGCGGAGGGACCGTCAAGTTTCGCCTGAAGAACCCGGACACCAAGGGATTTCTCTATCACGTGAGTTTTGGGTTTGCATCCCTGATTTGCATATCACTCTCATTGTCTCTCTCTCTATCTCGCTCTCGCTCACCATCCCCTCTTCAGATCGAGATCGCCGACCCGGCCAACTGGCAGATCGCGATGCCTCCGTTCGGGACCCTTCCGATGGGCGACGGCAAGTTCGTGGAGGTGACGAAAAAGGCGGGACCCGCCTGCGAGTCGAAGGTCTCCTTCAAGTTCTACAAGGAGGTCAAGTCCGGCCAAGACTTTGACCTCGACGCCCTGCTCAAGTCGCCGCCCTTGCACCAGTTTGAGGTGCGGAAATTGACCTGAAGTCAGAAGTGAATTGTAGTCGGCCGTATCGTAGTGTACCGTATCGTAGTGTACCGTATCGTAGTGTACCGTATTGTTTTGTACTGCGTAGCGTACTGTATTGTCCACCTAACCCTCCAATTTCAGCTGAAGCTGATCGCGAAGTGATCCGTCTACTTCAGCCTGGCCTCCGCCCCGTCCACCACCACGCCAGAAACCCGTTAAGCGGCCCCCCAACACGATTGTATTCTTCCCCCTCCTTCCACTGCTCGATGCCGAAATAATAAATGGTTTTTGCTGAAGCGTTGTGCTCTTTTTCTTCCGGATCGTTCCTACATAGTGTTCACTTCCACTTCACGTAACATCATCGTTCCTTTGCGTTACGCCAACGTTAAATCGTGTAGCGTCACGGAACGTGGCGTATCGGAGTGCGGTTTAGCTTATCGGATGCCTTCTTGTTTTGTGTTGTTCCCTTTTCTTGTTATTATGCTTCTTGCGTAGCGTATCGCAGCGTAGTTTCCCGTATCACTGCCTTAGCGTATCGTAACGTCCTGTTTCGATTTCCCGGGCGCGCTGCTTTGTCTGACTTCGTAGCGTAGCGGGTTTTCGTATACAAGCTCGTTGTTTTGTCGCATCGGAATGCGTTCGTTGTGTTAACGTATCGCTACGTATCCCTGCGTAGTAACGTAACACGTAGCGCAAAGTAGCGTATCGCTCAATCCAGAATTTCCTAACACTGATAATTTGCATAACCCTACAGATTTTCATCAAATTCCAATCAGCTCCGTACGTCGAAACTCAAAATTACCCTGTGTTTTCGAGTATAAATTCGGAAATTCCAGCACGAAAATTACCACGCCTCCCATCAACATGAACAAGGCAGCCCACTGCGAGCCGGCCGTCGTCCAGCTGCCAGCTGCCGGCGGATCCGCCAAGTTCCGCCTCAAGAACCCCGACACCAAGAAGTTCATCTATGTGGTATGGCTGGGAATCCAATTAGCATGCATTTTCCATGTTTTAGGTGGAGAACAGTGACCCGGGCAACTACACGCTCGGGCTCGACAAGTGCGGCCAGATGCCGATGGGCGAGGGGAAGACGGTGGAGGTCATCAAGAAGGTCGGTTTCTTTGAGAAAGTTTTCTCGCTCTCTCTCTCTCTCTCTCTTTCTCTCTCTCTCCCTCGCTTGTCACTCTCACCCTCTCTCTCTCTCCCTCGCTTTTCACTCTCACCCTCTCGCTTTTAGCCCGGTGCTCCCGGTGAGGCGAAGGCGACGATCAAGCTCTTCCCTGCCATTCCCCCGGGCGCCGACGTCGACCTCGACGAGCACATCAAGGGCGCTCCCGTCCAGACTTTTGAGGTCTGCCTAAGCCCAAGCCTAAGCCGAAGCCTAAGCCAAGGCTAAGCCTAAATACTTATGCCTCCTCCTCTGAAAACCGGCATTTCAGGTCAAATTCGTCACCAAATAAGCCCCGCCCGGCCGCCCGGAAAACTACGCCCTGATCCAAGCTGCTACTTCCTACCCAAGAAATTCCTGTTCCTTTTCGTTCCCTATCTACCGTAACTGTCGTATTTATCGTATCTGTCTATGTTTTATGCATTTTTTAGTTGTCATAAATTTTTCCGACTCATTCCGATAAGTATTTCACAGAAAAAATATCAGGCTGTGCAACAAAAAAATGGGGATTTTTAATGTTTAACGTCTATTTCAATAGGTAAAATAATGTGAGTTATTTAATTTACTATTTAATTCATTTTATAAAGTTTTCTATCCTAGCTTTCTAAAACCAGCTCAAAGGCGGGTAGACCCATTCCCCCGCCCTCACCTACCCACTGCCCTCTCCCCACTCTGCATGCTCCCATGGCCTATTGGCTCTCACCCGGGCCCCACGCCCCAACCCACGCGGGTTCGACCCCCGCCCCTGCCTCCATTAAGCGTGTTCTACACCCCACCTTGGGCTGGACATGATCAGTGAGTGGCTACAGTATATCCGGTCACGGTTTGTCATCGGCATGTCGACCCTAAGCAGACATCTCGTCTAGAGGCTGTGGCATATTTTTTTTAGTTTTTGGATTCTTTCGCATTATCGGTGGGGGGAGTCTGAATCTAGAAAAGCCTGGCAACGCAATAACAATTTTTAATGGTGTTCGTCGTAAAATTTAACTACATTTTAAGTGGAAAAATAGCTTTTAAATGTTTTAAAATTGGAAATTGGATCGAAAATTGGTCATTTTGATGCCAAAGTCCCCACCCCCCATATTGCGAAAGCGCCAATTTTTAATTTTTCAGAGAAATTTTTCTCCTTTTTATGCTCAAGGTACTTTTTTTCAGGCCTGGACGCGGGCCGGCCCGGGCCGGCCCGACAGCCCCATTTTTCTCGGCCCGGCCCGGCCCGGCCCGACGCGATTTTCCTCGGCCCGGGCCGGCCCGGGCCGGCCCGACTTTTTGAGGTCAAAACCGGGGTTGGTCAAAAACCTGCCACCAAAGTGGTTTATCACCTTTAGAAGGTACTGTTGTTAATACAGCGTTAATGTGTCCTATTTACAGCTTTTCCGCAAAGAAAATTCAAAGTTTAAATCAACAACGATTTTTAAGGGATAAATATCGATGGAGTTTAGGCAAATAAAGTTAAATTCAACCATTTGGGGGTCTAATTAACTATTTTAGTGGATAATTTAATGTTTCATACGTTACTACGATGTACCATTATACTTCTATGCAAAAAAACCGGTCCGAATGACTAAAAAAATCCAAAAAGCAAAAAGATGGCACCGGGCGGGATCGAACCCGGGTCGATTTCCTGGTAGGGGGTTAAACCAAAGAAGGTCCAAATTTTGACTGAAGTTATATAACAATGCCCAATAGGCTATTTGCGAGCGAGAAATATGCAAAATAGCAGACAATTTCCGTCCAAAAACCTATTTTTTTACATAGACAAAAATGTCGGGCCGGCCCGGCTTTTTTGAATTCTCGGCCCGGCCCGGCCCGGCCCGGAAAATCCCGATTTTTCTCGGCCCGGGCCGGCCCGGGCTGGCCCGCGTTTTGTCCAGGCCTGCTTTTTTTGGATTAATATTCTTTTCATTGATTTTAACCATAGGAACCCGTCCCGGAAACCCTTTATTCGCCCAAAACCTCAGGGTTTTTCATTCTTTCTCCTCTGACTTGATGCCGGCCTTCCGCTTCCGCTCCTTCTGCGCCTGCTCCTTGCCCTTCGTGGCGTACGGTAGCCCGGCGGCGTTCAGAAATTTTGAAATGTACCTAGCAATTGTTTTCAAGGAACTGGGACCCCAAAAAAAATACCCAATATTGCCGGTGGGCTTGGCCTTGGAAGTGGAATAAGCGGCTGATTGTTGAATCAACGAACTGCACGGAGTGTCGTCAGAGCTGAAAAAAAAAGATTCGGCTCCACCACATCCTCGATACTCACCCAATAATCGTCACGAGAAGCGCGACGGAGTAGGGGTGAGCAGGAGCTAGGGCTGGCAGCTTGATGAGGTGGATGGTGGCGAAGAGCTGGCCTTCGCCCTGGCGCAGTAGACGAACGATTATGGTGAAGCCCTGGTGCTCCTGGGGGGTCGAACACTGAATAAGCTTCCTAAGCCGAAGTCTAACTGTAAGCACAAGCCTACCCGTAAGCCTACTCACTCTTATAGTGCTCCAGTCTGACCACCTCGACGTCGTCGGGATGCACCAACTCGTAGATCGAGCGATCGAGCAGCACTTTTGGTGCGTATCCAAGCAGCTGGCAAGCCCTAGACGTGCTTGATTTGAAAGGAACCCTGAAGGGATAAGGAGCGAGAGAGTGGAAGAGAGAGACAGAGCGAGAGCGAGAGAGAGAGAGAGAGAGAGAGAGAGAGAGAGAGAGAGAGAGAGAAAACGACGTATATTTCCTACCTATCCTCCACATAGCCAACCGTCAAATCCTGATGACAGCGTAACACGAAGGTGTCCCGGCTCATCAGCACGTCGGTACCGCTCTATAGCGAATTCAGCCATTTAAATTGATTTTAAATGCTTCTCCTACTTTTCTAAATCCAAAAACGTCTATTTTGAAGGACTACCTTATCGACCAGTTGGCAATTTACGTATACGACATCCTTCGTGCAATACTGGGCATAGTAGCTGTCGCGAAAAAATCCGGTGCATGAGACCGTCTAGAAAATCGTGAAAAATAGTGAAAATCCCAAAACTAGGCCGACCTTGTAGCCGTCGTGCGAAAAGCCGGCATTTCTCCGGGCCAGCTTCACCTTCATGCGCATCGTGAAACTCTGTGAAGCTTCGACGACGATGCGGCCAAGGCCTAGACGCTTATTATGAAGTTATAACGCCTTTTCAAACTGCTCACAAGCCGAAAACCTCTAAAACCCACTATAATCCAGGTTGTGGTTCGGGTGTACTGTCGACCGTTCCACATATTTGTAATCTGCGGCGTGCACATAGTCGCGTAGAGGCTGGCCGAGCATTTGATGCTGAAATTCCGGTCCTCGACTTTCTAACCCTTGAGATAGACGTCTAGACGTTTGAAACTCATGACACAGACACATTGACTTATACACTCACCTGACTATACCCGAGGCTCGTGCTCACCCCCTCCGTGACGTACATAACGCGCATCTGGTAGTCGAGCACCAGGCAAAAGCCCTCGAGCGACTGAAAGGTCGCTCGGGTTTGTTTAAACCCGCCAATAAAGCCATTAGTTTCGCATGTCTATTGATTTTCTTTCATTGATTTTTAAAGAGTGAGGCAATTTTTCAGCCTTTTCCGCGATTTTATGCTCGAAAAAGTAGTTGTTTCTGTTTTTCGGAGAACCTATGCTTTAACGAGCTAGTTTTTAAGGTTACTTCATCGATTTTTTTATGTGTATGGCTAAAAACTCCTTTTTTTTCTTTACATTAACTTTTCTAGCTTTCAATAACTCAAAAGTTTCACCTGCAACGCCATCGCCTCGAACTCTTGCGGCAATGGCGGGTAATAACAGCTATCATTAACGTGCGGCATCGTCGTCATTTTATACTGGTGTAAAAGTAGAAAAGAGTGCACCAGGCGCAGCGTGGTAGTCCTGACATTATAAACGTCTAAACGTTGAGAAACTACCGATCCTGCTGCTCCAAAATCGCCTCGCTGATCGGCAGCAGGGTGCGCAGCTCGTCAATCTCCTCAAGCACGCTCTTCTTGTCGCCCATGCTAAAATATTTTAGAGAGCACTTTAATAGGTAAGACTCTACTTTACCCCCCCCAGACGCCCCTTTTCTCTGCGCCCTCTCCCCCAGGCCTACTATCTCTTCGCCTGCGCCCTCTCCCCCCAGGCCTACTATCTCGGCTGGGGGGGTAAGTAGAGTTTAGCCCTTTAATACCATGTATATACCTGATTTTTGGCATCTTTACAAGCAAAAGTGGCTAGAGAATGGATAGGAGCAGGCGCGATTTTGCGCTAAAACCGGCTGCCGATGCTTGGTATAAATATTCGATATGAAGGCGGGTTAAAAATAACTTGAGCGGCGAGGGTGAGTCAGATAAGTTTTGTACATAGTGATTTTTAATACTATTACTAATGTGGAATCGGATTCATAATGCTACGGGGGTTGTCATGAGAAGTCGGGTTAGCCAATTCTAATCCTCTAACAAAGCTGGCAGAGCTATAAGCTCGTTAGGAAACTACATAACTGTCGTCCCCAAGGCCGGCCGGGCCTACAGGCATCCAAGAAAAAGCCGGCTCATCATTATTCCGGTTCAAACAATGTCCCCTGGCAGCCGCGCCGCGTAGCGGAAATCAAGCCCTGTCGCCAAAAGCCCTGGCGGCTCATTTGTATTTCCCTGATGCCTTTGTGTGGTGGGTACCCGGCATTGCCTGTCCAAAATGAATATCGTTTTGGATGATTAGAGCAATACGGTAGCTTTGACGTTATTTAGTCCGGAATTTTCTGATCCGGAAAGTTGAAATTGATTGACTACTACGTTGCCGACAGAATACCAAAATTGGAATCGTAATTTACCTTTCTTGAGGTTTGCATAAATCTAGAAATTGCTCGCTTTCAGACAGCAATCGGTGTCCCTGTAGCTCACCCTATTGAAATGATCCTCTCACGGCTCCACTTTGCCGACCTTGACCATCTCGAGGTCCACATGAGCGCCGTCATCTTTGCCACCGTAAGGCAAATTTAGATAGCTTTTGGCCGTCCTCGGCCTAGGAAAATATGGCCTTTACAGTTAGTGCTTGGTCTACTCGTCTTGTTCATCTTCGAGAAGCTTGCCGACGGCCCCGGTCGAAAGGTGTTGATGCACCACAGTAATTTACCATTTCTTGATGCAACCTTGGCCCAGTGACTCCGCTGGTGCCAGAAAGCTCCGCCATCGGAGAAGCGGCTTCCCATCCGCCCGCCTCTTCCGTCAAACCTGCCGCAAAATAAATTGTTTTTGAATGCAATGCGTGAGCTTGTGAAACGTTTTTATACGTAAGCCAAACAGGGTACATAAATAGGGCGCCGAGAGCTAATGTACGCACGCCTGCCAAATATCGTCGTAAATGCAGCGCAGAACTGCATGCGTGTGGGTTAGGCGAAGAGATAAAGTGGTTAAACGGGGTGAACAGAGACTTTTTAGAAACGTGCGAATGAGATCAATCGGACGCGCAACAATTTTACGATCACAAGAACAATTGTCCAAAATCAACAACTCTTATACGGGTGAGGGGGTGGTTCAGTCCAAAGTGGTACTATGTGGTGCCTAGTCGTATCTAAACAAGGAATTTTGAAATTTCATAAATGTATATACCTATCGTGAGCCACTCGAACGGGCCGGGGAGACGTCTCGGTCTGGCGAACCCCCGTTACGGCTACCAGGAGAAGCGGATGGAGACTGAAAACAAGATATTGCAATCATGAACGCTGCTTACGTGATTTTTGCCGTTTGCAACTGGAGACCTGTCACGAGAAGCCGAACGATCCTTTGGAGAGCGTGACTTTGCGCGACGATCATCAGAAGGAGACCTCGAACGACGGTCGCCAGATGCTGAGCGTTTGTCACGGGAGACGGATCTTTTCCTGAAATACAAGAATCGTGCAAGGAAATGAAAAGTAGACTGATCAAAGAATCGAAAATTCACCGCGGTGTCACGCTGCGGGTACGGCTCCTGCGCTTGTGATCACGGCTCTTCGAACGAGAGCGACGGTTGTCGCGGCTGCGCGAGCGGGAGCGCTTGCGGTCACGGCTGCGAGACCTCTTGCGGTCGCGGCTTCTCGACCTCGTGCGATCACGACGAGAACGCTTCCTGTCACTAAAAGAAATCGAATAACCCAGATATTAAAAAAAACTATTACCGGCCCCTCGAATCCGAGCGGCTTCGAGAACGGCGACGACGAGAACCGCGTTCCGGCGACGAGCCATAGCGGTATGCATCGCCTCCACGCGGGCATCCCTTGGCGAACTCGACTTGCACGCGGAAATGACTAAAACGAATTTAGGGCTAAAATCGCTGAACTCACTGATCGCCGGCAATTGTTTTTCCATCTAGATCGCGGACCGCATCTTCGGCGTCGCGGCGGTCTTCCATCTCGACGAAGGCAAAGCCATATTTCAAGGCAATGTCACGGATACGACCGTACCCATCGAGAAACCTGAAAGTTTACGATAACTTTGAGAAGAAGGTTCAAAACGATAAAATACATAAGGGCTAAGAAACTCACTTTTCAATGTCCCGTTGGGAGGTCTTGTAAGGCAACCGCCCAAGATATATGCGTGGCATCCCCGGCCACACCTAGGTTATTGGTCAAATTCATTATCATCAAAAGAAGTAAGATGGATTAGAAATAAAGAAAGTAAGAAAAAAACTATATTAGAAAGTTAGAAAAGAAAAGAATCGTGGTTTCCATGGCTTTTTGAAAGCGAGGCGGATTCTGTGAAGAGCTTGCCTTCCGCGCGTTGTTTGTATGCCAATGTTGCTATCGCATCGTCAGATTGCACATCGATTTGAAGATAGTTTATAATCGTACTCTACCAATGGAAAATTGTTTATTTTTACAAGAAAAAGATGGATCCGCTCCAGAAAGACATTTCAAGCTCAACCGCCTGAAGCTTGAGGCAATATCGGAGCTGATTTGCTCGTTTCCGAGTTTACGATCAAAGTGAAAAATTTATTGCACACAAAGGGGGTAAAACTATTCAAATTTCAAGTCTCCACGGATTAGCTCGCCGCCAAGAAGTGGGTTGACAAGCGAGGTCCCGCCGTCAAGCCGGATGCATTGACCGATCAGATAACTCGACTCATTTCTGAAATTCATTTCCGGTTTTGCAAGGGATTCATATTTTACTTTATATATTATATTCAACTTTAAACAGCTAAGATTCGCCCTGTTAGCTTCTAAAATTATGATTCTCGACCCACCCGTCGCACAGATAGGCCGTCAGCTTCGCGACATCTTCCGGAACCCCCATACGCTGGACGGGGATCAACGAGAAGTCTTTGGCGTATTGCTCACGGGCCTAAAGCTTATGTAAAATTCTTCTCCTTCAACTTACGGCCTCCGCGACAGCATCGCTAACCCCCTGCTTCTGATGCATTGCCGAAACAACGGCTCCGGGCCTAATAGGACGCGACATTTCTGTTTTTCAGGTTTACTAACCTGATCGCATTGACCCGAACGCCTTTTGCGATCATTTCCAGCGCGAGGTTGCGCGTCATCTGATCCATGGCCGCCTTGGACATGGCGTAGAAGGAGAAGGCGCACTCAAATTTTTCTGCTATTGAACTTTTGGTACTATTGAAGTTGGGGGGCAAAATTTTTTGCGGCCAATTTTCGTCATTCTCGACTATTTTGTTCAGTTTTTAATGCTGAATCGAATGCAACTATTTTTAAATTTATTTGATAATAACAACGTAACAATTAGGTCAACAAAATAGCATAACAACTTTCACTCGCAGGGATAAACCTCCGTGTCGGTGTAGGGTTATGTCGCGCAACGCGTCGATTGAGTTGGCCATGGTGTTGGCCAAGTTAAATGCGAAAAGTAAACTTTGAACGCTCCACGTTGCCTTTTATACCTCTATCGAGTGTCTTTTAGGCATCATTACTGTATACCGCCCGAAAACCCGATGATAAAACTACTATTAAAAATGTTGCTAAAATATTCAGAAAAACGAATCCAATAATTTTAAAAATAGTTGCATTCGATTCAGCATTAAAAACTGAACAAAATAGTCGAGAATGACGAAAATTGGCCGCAAAAAAATTTTGCCCCCCCCTCCAACTTCAATAGTACCGAACTTTTAATTGCCCTAAACTTACAGCTTGCCCCTCCGAGGAGCAAATCGAGCTGATGTTGACGATGGCGCCCTTGGCGGACTCAAGATGGGGCGCGGATTTGCGAATGAGATAGACGGGGCTGAATTTACTCTTTTTGTATTGTCATCTTAGGCGGATAAACGCTAAATTCACGCGAAAAACACTCACCAGCGAAGGTTGATCTTGAAAATATAATCGAAGCTGGTCATGTCTTGGCTAAAGAAGCCGGGCTTTTTCCCAGAGTTGTCCTGGTCCCCAACGCCGGCGTTGTTGATCAGGTAGTCGAGACGCCCGAATTTTTCGACCGTCGAGCTAACGAGCTTGTCCATGAATTCCTCGCAGCCCAGGTCGCCGGCCAGGTCGTGGATGTCCTCGGCTTTTGCCCCAGCTTCCAGACATTGTTTTTTGGTCTCCTAAAGGCCGGAATAGAGCGTGTTCCCGAAGAATAATTTTATCGTATTTTTATCGTCAAAACAAACCGCCAAATCGGCCTCACTTCGGCCCGTGATCGTAATTTTCGCGCGGAGGCCCGCAAAATGGGAGGCGATCCCGCGTCCGATTCCGTTGCTGGACCCTGAAGAACGGAGAGCGTTCGGAGTACAGTCAGGGAATTCGCAATTTTGCTATTTTTTGTTAGTTTTCTCGATTGTTTGAAAATTTTCGTTCGTCTGTAATCAACAACTCCAGAGATACTGTTTTGGGTCATTTTGTGTTTTTATGTGCGCCTAACAGCATGAAGTTGCTAATTTTCAACTTTAGAATGTTGTTTTTCAACATTTAGATTTAGAATCTTCAGGCGATCTATTTTGCAGATGTTCTTAACCTTTATTTGAGGTTTAGAGCTATGCAATGACTTCTTACAAGCTATAACTCACCAGTGATCAAAGCAACCTTGCCCTCAAACTTGCGGCCAGTCATTCTAGGGTAGTGAGAAAAGTAGAAAAGTAGGAAAGCGTAAAATATCGAGGTTTCTACGAGCGCACGTTGGTCTTTTATAGCGAGTCCGGATGGGCGGGGCTTATTCTGGTGACCGAGTGGACTCTGATCAAGAAAAGCTGTTTTGCTGCTTGTTTAGCTTTATGATTTGTGGGCTTTGCCGGGTGCTCTTTTAGGTGTAGACTCTCGGCAAAATGAACCTGGGCCCTAGCTCTCGGATCACCTCCGCGCCCCATAGACAAGTCTAGCTCTCGTTGCACAACATTGCGGCCTGCTAATTCTGTGATCTGCTCTTTTTCTCTGGGCCCTCCGCGCGATGGTGCCTCTCCGGGGGTCGGGCAATGGCGCTGGCGCCGGGTGGACAACTGGCGCACTTGAAGTTTGCCATACACAACCAATCCGTATAAAAAGTTGTAGGTGTAAAATCGGGCCCAGGCGGACGTAAGAACGTTTCTCCTAGAAAATTTTCATGGTCAAGGGAAAAGCGTTCTTGGAGCTTCGATATTTATCATTTTCTTATAATGTTTTCGTCGTTTATAAACAAGGCTATCCTAATTTATCACTTTCCTGATGGGATTGCACTTTCGCAAGGGCGACGTCTAATAAAATCTAGTTTTTGTGTACAATTCTGGTCCTCAAAAGAAGAGCATGATCGCTTTCTCGGTGCCTTTTCATCGTTTCTAAGTGGGTATCCCCTAATCCAACATTTTTCAGATGGGATCTCACGCTAACGAGGCCTACTCTCAACAAAATATGAACAATCGAGTTCCAGCGCACATTTCGCAGGTGATTTTTAGCAATCGTGTCACCAATTTCCGGTTTAGTCTGCTCGTCAATTGACCAACGGCCCGCCACCGCCTGCCAACTACCAGATGGCCCAAATGCCTATGAATATGCCGCAGCAGGTATTTTTCAGGCTTTTTGTGTATCTTAAAACTGAAATCTTCCTCACCTTTCATACGTTTTTCTCTAGATGGCAGCGCATGGCACTGACATGTATGGCCAACAGGCGATGGCTGGCCGGCTGCCGCATATGCCTCCGGTTTTGCGGTTTTTGTATGTCTTATGAATTTTTAGGCGCCGCGTCCAATGTCGGGTCCTCCGCCCGGCGCCTACCCGGTGCCGCCACAGCAGATGAACCCTCATCAGGTGGCTTTCCTTTTTGTCAATTAATCTTTTTTTTATAGCCCCACTATCACGGAGCCCCTCCAGGACAGCATCATCACCCTGGCGCTATGCAGATGATGCCGGTATCAATCTTTTGGCTTTCGCACATTAAAAAAATTATTTTGGACGGTGTTTTTAGAAAATGAGAACTTCTTAGATTCTAAAAACACTGTCTAAACACTAACAAACAAAAACGCTGAAATGTTTTTTTAGAAATTTGAAAGTTCTACAACCCATGTTCAAAGCGTTTTTAGAACTTCCCTCCTGGCATGCAAGGAATGCCGATGCAGATGCCACCACCAACGATGTACATGATGCCCATGCAGCATATGATGCAGCAACAGCCCCCTGGTAGCGAATATTATCAGGTAAATTTTTTTTTAGAAAAAAGGAAATTTCCGCTTCAGGACCAATACCATCAACAGCACGCCCAGCATCCTCCTCCACAAATGATGCAGCCAAACTACGGCATGGCGCCGCCCGAGCCTGATTATGTGAGAAATTACATAATAGTTTTTCTAAACCAATTCAGGCTATGTACAACCACATGATGCAAGGCGCCGCTAATCCAGCGATGATGATGCCCCGGCAGCCCATCCCTCCCCTGATGGGCCAGCAAATCTTCCAACCTGGCATGGGGTATGCTATCAGTGTCTGCGTAAAAAATTGCTTCATTCTAGCCAACAGCCAACGGAAGCGCATGAATATCAACATACGCAGCCTCCTACCTATCACCCGCAGAATGGCCAGAACAGAAATATGCAGCGAGGTAAGGAAAATGGGCTATTAGCCACTTACGATTCTTCAAAGGAGCTAAAAGAATCGGCCACATCCTTCGATCAGGAAAATTATGCGTAGTCTTATTTGCGATTTGCGGTAGTTAATTGTCGCTGTGTAAACCCAAAACAGCAGATGATGGCCATCAAACTTTTCGTTTTTAGATGGCCCGCTCCGAACCTTCAGCAATCAGCCCTCCCTGAGCCGGAAGCAGAGTGACGTCACGGTATTCTTATAAAACCTTGCTGATTTTCTTTTTTCCAGGACGCTGCTCGCTCGGGTGCGTCAACACCGCAGCGCTCTCAGGCCCAGACCCCGGCTTCCCTTTGCGTTGACGCTGACGGATCGGATGCCGATAAAATTTCGCCGCCTAAAAGGTTTGCGGCTAGCACACTTTCAATTCCCCATTTTAGGCCGAAGACGATGGAAAGAATCAGACGCGGGACAAGATGCGCCAGGCGGTGCTCGCCAAGCTCGAGGCGGATAAGAGCAGTGAAGCTGAACAGGCGGCCGCGAATGAAGAAAGCTCCAATCTGGAGATGCAGGAGCTGGCCTCGGCTTTAGAGGTCCGAGAATTAAACATGAAAATAAAACCTGTTTAGGAGACCCAGGCGTCAAACTCTGAGACGACGACCGTCATCGAGAACAAGGCGTATGCCGGGAAAACCAACTTCCAAGACGAACAGTCCGAACCTGAGGACAAGCCTGCGCCGGTGAAGCGATGCGACGATGTTCGCGCCACGCAAAACCGTAAGCTAGATGTTTTTTTGTTTTTATTCACTCATTCTAGGCCCTTCTTCCGATGTGCGCATGTCGCGTGACAGCACTGGTAGCCGCGATCGCCCAAAGGTTCGACTTTCTTTCTCCAATGATTGTTCCCTCTCCATTATAGCTTCTTAACCTGCTGGAGCCCGCGGACGAGTCGAAGGCTGATCGCGTGCGACGCACCCGGACTTCTACTGCTCCTACTGTGTTGAGTCCAAGCCGGAAGCCGCGATGTCTCATCGGTAAGGAATTTTGTTAAATCTCAGGTTCTGGTTCACTAGCAGGGAGAGGCTGAATTTTTACCATGTTCTCGTGGATGCCAAATAATAAGATATCCAATATTTTAACTTTTGGAAAATATTTGTTTCTGCCTTTTGCAATCGAATACTGCAAACAACACTAAACCGATAATAAAATTTAACAATGGAGGTAGAACCTGTATTACCCTTTCCTTGCCTCTCCCGCTAATAAACCATAACCAAATTTGACTCCTCTCGTTCCAGATTTGATGAAGCAGATGGCACAATTATATGCAAGGTCTTCCTCGAGCACTACGTCTGCTGCAAGTGTAAGCAACGCGGCCACCTAGGTGCCGAATGCCAGAAAGCCGGGGGTACGTTTTTTATTGGTTTCAGGGACAGTTGTGTTGCGTTTTTAGTTAACCCGTCGCCCACGCCGCACACCACGGAGAAGCCGCATCCCCGCGGCGATGGCAACTACAATAGTTACCGGGGCCATTCCGGACCTGGGAACTACGGCGGCCCTCGAGGCGGATGTAAGTTTTTGTGCTGGGAAGCCGCCTCCTTGCATCCTCTTCGATCGTTTTACCCGATCCCCATTGATTCGCCCGGATGCTAGTGTCCTTCGGCCAACTTCCGTCACTTTTTTTACCTAGAAAATCTATCAGCCCGTAATTTAATTTTACATAACGAATTTCCAGCTTTCCAAACGGGCCGAGGCGGAAGTATGCAACGTCATGATTACCACGGCAGCAGGGAAAGCTTCAAGTCACAGGGGGTACGTTGTTAGTTTCTTGGCTCCTCAACGCAACTTTAGAACTATTCGACCGGCGGAGGGCAGAAGCCGTACCCACCCAATCATAGTGGGCCGTTCCGGGGGTAAGTGATTGCTGAGATTTTGTTACTTTAGCATTACCAATGGGGAACAAACCTGTTTATCTTTTTGTTTCTATTACTCCAAGAATTTGAGGTGAAAATCCTAAAAAAAACGACTTTTGCACCAAAAAGGACCAATTTCCGATCAAATGTTGAAATTTTTATACAGTTTCCCAAGATGTTTCCCGGCTTCGGTTTCTTTTCGCTTCAGAACCAGATTCTAAGCTATTTTTTTAGAATCGTGGCGGTGACCACTGGCGCGGCGGACCCGGACGTGGTGGGCGCGGCGGTGGCGGTCCGGGCAACAGCTACCACCCACGCAACTCGGCATCCCGCGAGGCTCCGGCTGAGGCTCAACCATAAGCAACTCCGGCTCGGTGCTTCATGCCCGTCGTCTTTCGCCCCGACTTTCAAGCCAATAACGCTGCCGGTGCCCCCTAACCCCCACAACATTTCTGGGTCTTTCCCCACCCCTGTTCGCTGCATTTCATTCACTGCTCCCGTCTGTATCTCGATTTCCTCTCGTCATGGCTGGCTTTAAAATCCTCGCAATTCCTACTCCGCTCCCGACGGGTCTTTGTGTTGGTAATAACGGCACGTGTTTTTGGCCCCGCTCTATTTGTTTTTGCTTTTTTGAGGGACTGGCAAGTCATGGTAATGTTTTTTTTTGGATAATGGATTTACTGCGGATTTTGCCACGCCCACGACACGCAACGCGCGTTGCCGCCCTTACGTTGCGTAATGGGTTAAGAATATGACATACCTGCGGCACGGCAAAATCCATAGCGATTCCATAGGCGTCTTGCCCGTCCCTTAAAAATCCACCTCCGCGGTCATGTTCGGATCTACTGGGTAGGGGGGCAGCTCTACTCGAGGGCGGCTTCCCCCACAAATCTATTGTCTGCCCCGCCAGGCCCGTTTTGTTGTCCGTTTTTAGCCTGTTGATAGTAATGAAAGTTTATTTTTGTGAATTTTCGTGAGCACCCTGTACTTTGACGGGTAGCACGACATGTACGGTCCGCAATTTTTGCGCGCTCTAGCTCCTGTTTGAAGTTTTAACTGGATTTTTATGCGAATTGTCCATAGGCGTTCGATTCAGCGAGAAATTACTTTGAAAACTTATTTAACGACCCCGAGTAAGGTTTTCAAAACAACGTTTCGTGCAGCCCTTTGCCGTCACCCCCAAACAGGCGAAACATTTATTCAAATAGGCCGGGGCTTGAGGCAAGTCAAGGGGTACAAAATTTGGAAAGCCTAGACGTTGTGACGGAGGGGGGCTACACACAGACACAAAAGACATGGCGGTGGCGAGATCAATTAGCCCAAGAAAAATGGAATTAGCCGGTCCCACGGAGCGACGCCATCGCCGCGCCCGTCTGGCGTCAGGGTTTTTTCCTGAAATTTCGGCGCGTGGATTAGAATTTAAATTTTATGGCCAAGAAACTCGATTTTTTTTTCCCGAATACCTACCCTTGTCCGCCGCTGCTCATCCACCTCGACGCGGCGAACGGAAATCGGCGGACGATACGTTCGAACTCGGCATCGGGTCCGCTAAAATGTGCGCGATACACTACCGTATAAATAGAGTTTGGCGCTGCCTTCCTCCCCTTCAAAGCAAAGGATAATCGTTTTGGTGCTGGTTCGTTAGCGGGGAGCGAACTTCCTTACTCGGCATGACCTCGATAGTGTTGAAAGGAAAAACTAATGTAGGTTTTTATTGGGTTTTAATCATTAAAATGGTAGAAAAAGTATAAAAAAGATAAATGTCAACGATTTTTCACTTTTTTGACAAAAAAAAACAATTTTTAGAACAATTATTCATTTTTTCAGATAGTTTTACATCGAAAAAGGGCACATACCATTAAAAATTCTTTTTTTTTATTCTAGGGTGCCAATATGGCATTCCCAATTTTGGTCCCCCGCTAACGAACCAGCACCTCCACAGATTCAGCAATTTTAAGCCCCAAATTGTGAGCAGAAGCCCAACACCATTTTTACAAAAAGCGGCAATCGTCAATCTCCCGGCCCCCACTTTGCAACCAAAAACAAAAAAAATCATGCCGTACCCGCGTTCGAACCTCTCCAGCGGCAGCTCCTGCAGTACGAACGAGGCGACACCGCAGATGAGCAGGGCCCAAACGGCTAGGCGAAGCACGACGGCGGGAGAGAGGATGCCATCGGGTACGCAAGCTGCAAAACGGGAAAGTGGGCGAGAGAGAGGGAGAGAGAGAGCGCGCGTGATAAAGAGCGAGAGAGAGAGAAAGAGCGAAGAGAGCGAGAGAGAGCGTGATAGAGAGCGACAGCGTGACAAAACCAAGTTTTGCTGAAATCCGGTCCGGGACTTGAGCCTAACCTTTAGCGCTTAAGCCTACTTAAGCTAAATAGGGTTCACGCTAGCTGAAACTTAGCCTTGCTAGCAACTTAAGCGTAGCTTCTCGTAACATCCTACAGCCAAACCAAGACCCCCGATAACAGAAAAAACCCCGAGAAACCAAGTCAGCCTCTGCCCGCCGGTTTTTACAACCCCAAGAAAATTCATAAAATTCTGGCGGCGGACATGGGCTATTTATGTAGTCGCCCGCAAAACAGAGCTATAATTTTTTTGGCAGTCTGTCGCCACAGTGTAAACAAGGGGACTGCGTGTAAAAATTCGGGAAATTTGGTGATTGTACCTTTTAGGAAGGTCTAAAGCACTTGGAAAGGACAAAGCATCATCCAGGAACACGACCGGATACGAGGGTCGAAATTCCGGGGAGATGGATTTATGGGAAGAGCTACGAAAAAGAGGGCTTTCGATTCTGGAAGTGACGCGAGCAAAATGGGTGCTGCAGAACACGCATAATAAAATGCGGGGATATCGCTGGGGAAAGCTGAGGTCGGTTCTGGTTCCTTAGCGGGGGATGGTAGGGTCCCCCATTTTTGAAGCTAGGAGAGCAGGGCCTCTTTTTTCGAGACGTAAAGCCATTGAGCTTTTCTAAAAGCATGTTTTGTAGGTTAAAGAGATCCAATCCAATCCAAAATGTCGACAGCTAAATTTCCAAGAGCCAAACTACCGACAGCGAAAATTACGACAGGCCAAAATCCCAAAAGCAAAACCATCGACAACTAAATTCCGACAGCCAAAATGCCGACAGTAAAAATCCTGACTTTATAATGCCGACCGTAATAATCCCGACAGCCAAAATCCCGACGCCAAAACACCTGTTTTAACGAAGAGAGTGGCATTTAAAATAGCTTCAAGAATGTCGGTATTTTGGCTGTCGGCATTATCGCCTGTCGGATGGATCGCACTGCACCATAAAAAAAGCCCCAGCCGCCAAATTTAGCCTACGATACTAAACAAGCTACAGCTGAGAATCGAGGGACTGGGGGGAACTTTCGGAATAAGTCAGTGCCCTTTTCCTGTTTTTCAGCAAATGGGGGCGGATCCGGTTTTAGGCCCAGAATCACATCTACTGGCTGGCCAGCCGCGATAATCAGGCCAGGGACGGTGGTGGTCAGAAGACTTGCCCCAGACGCATCTGAATACGTATTTCCGGTGGGGTACGAAATGTTCCGAGGAATAGCGCGGGATTAACGCGGGGTTATCATTCTTTTCTATGCGAGTTTTATACGCTCGAGCGGACAGTAACGGAATGAGAAGGCGGCAATGATCGGAAAAGAATGAAGTCGTGGTGAGTAACCCGGATTTTCTAAAGAATCGGAAAATTAGGACGTCAATGAAGAGGTTGGTAACTTCCGGGAACCAACATTGACCGATATTGGCGCTATCAATATTTTTACTTGTTTCCTCAATATTTCTTAATCCCTAGTTTTTTTAAAACATGCCCGTAAAATAAAAACCGAAACGAAAATAGTATAACGTAAATAGTACGCCCTCGCCCAGCTAACACTAGCAGCAGCGTAATGCCCATTTCTCAACCCCATTCAGCTGAACGAGCATTGAAACTTGGAAACCAGGGTGACGCCCTGAAGACGCTTGGCTTGCGAGCTTGACCAACAGGATGTAGCTACTCTTGGAAGCGCGAAAAGCATAATCTCCAATCATCAGAATTTAGAGTTTTTCGAAATTCAGGAAAGGGTTCAGAGATTTCAAAGCCAAAGCCTAAGCCTAAGCCCAAGTCCAAGCATAAGCCTAGGCCTAAGCCAAAGCCTAAGCCTAAGCCCAAGTCCAAGCCCAAGCCTAGGCCTAAGCCAAAGCCTAAGCCTAAGCCAAAACCTAAGCCTAAGCCCAAGTCCAAGTCCAAGCCTAGGCCTAAGCCAAAGCCTAAGCCTAAGCCAAAGCCTAAGCCAAAGCCAAAGCCAAGCCAAAGCCTAAGCCCTAAACCAGTCGGGGACTGGTCCTAAGCCCTAAGCCTAAGCCTAAGCCTAAGCCTAAGCCTAAGCCCAAGGTTCCGTCTTTTGATTAAGACGATCGAACAGCTAGAACAAAAGCCAAGGGCAAAAACCCTTTTTCCAAAAGAAGTCTAGCCAACAAAAAGCACCTCAGAGTACGAAACAGACCCAATTCCGGGGTCACTTCCCCGCGAAACAATTGGCTGACGAAGGGCACCGGGGCTCCCCGGGAAATACTGTTTTCCGCTTATTCCTCAAAGTTTCCAGGGGTTCCATTGGCCCCAGGGCAAGCAGAGACGAAACGCCAATTGGGTTTCGGGCTCGAATTTCGGTCCTTCTGGGGTGGGGCTCAAAAGTTATGCTCAGGAGGGCAGGGAAGGAGGGAAGCCAAAAATTGAACGAACGGCTGAACGAAAGCACAAAGTACGGAGCGTCGGTTGCGGGGAGTTCACCAGTGAATGAAGATGATGTAAAATGGGTGGGTTAAAGGACCAGGAAAGGGCTGTAAAAAAGAAAAGATTGGCTTCAGTTGCCCGGCTCTTTTGCATTATCGGGGGAGGGTGTATTAGGAGATACTTTTTTTAGTATCCAATTTCCTAAGGTAAATAGGGGACGTTTTTAATACTGTTTTTAGTATTGCAAGCGTAAAAACTAAAAAAAGCGTCAAGATAAAAAAAATCGTTTTTTCGATTAAAAATTGCCTATTTGAGCAAATTTAATGTAAACTCAATGTATCACATTTTCTAAATAGTTTTTCGCCTCAAATAAAGCTAAATTTGACTGAAAAGCTATAACATAGTTGCCACAACGTTACTATACATTAATGGACTTCTAGGTAAATTTTGGCCATCCTCGCCCTCGCCCCGCCCCCCGATAATGACAAGCACCAAAGCTGGCTTTTCTGGCTTTTAAAAATCTAAAAACAGACTCCGCCAGCCAGAAAAAGCAAAAGAGAATCTAGGCAAGTCCCCAGAAAAAGTCCCAGCCAGATCCGTATGCATATCGGAGGAATTTCCGGGTGCCGTAAATTTGTAATTCGGCGGTGGCCCGAGATTAGCTGGTGGTGTTCGCCGGCCGGCCAGTGGATGCAAAAAAGGAGGAGGAAAAGGAGGTCTTCAGCCCCCCATGCACAATGCCGAAAACACATCGTCCACATCACGACGAGCTGTGGTCACCGCCGAAAAACACCAGATGCTAGTATTACGTGGTGGTGGATAGTGCTCGATTCGTCATGGTGGGCTAGATTTAGTAGACTTTAAAAGCTTAAGCGGCCCGCTGGGTATCGTTTTTTGAAAGGGCAAAAATCATCGTATGCGCATGACATCGACATTTTAGCTTGAGCGCCAAGCGGCGTTTTGCCCTAAAATAACGCCGAAACCCTTAGCAAAATTCGGTACTGGGCTGTTAGCGGGGAGGGAGGAATGGAATTTCGCTCGTAGGGTCCCAAAAATCTAATCTGCGGTATTCCGGAGATTTTTGCGTCTTTCGAGCATAAAAATGTCATAAAACCTTTAAATTATCGAAAAGATGAGATTTTTGGGAAAAATGGAAAAAATTATCAAAAACTTTCATTTTAGGCTTTTAAAAGAGTTCTCTGGCTTTTTTCGAATAAAAACCACTTAAAAACTAAAAATCCCAGCGCTTAGTCTTAAAAACTGCCTAAGCTGATCGAAAATAAGTACTTTCTTCTAAACCAAATTACTAGGCAAAATCTCGGGGGAAAACTCGTCTAATAAACCCGCTGAAGATGGGCGAGCCCCGGGAGATCCGTCGATCACTCATTCCGGATTCAATCGGAGCAATCCTAACCCGGATGCACAATTCAGTTTTAGACGCCTTCAATGGCTTCTGCAGCACCTCCACGCCATCCGCGAGATCCTAGTTTTCCAACAAACATCGAAAATTATTCGCCGAACGTTCAAGTATGAAACAAACAGTTCGAAGAACTAGGTGAAACATAGCTTTAACATGTAAAAAAATAAGAAAATTACATCTATTCCCCGGGAAAACCCCTATTTCTAGGACAGACGGCCGCTCCTCAAATTTCAATCCACCCCCAAACGCTGAGCCCCAATTCGCCTTCAAAAGTGAAAGTTGATGATGGGGGTCATGTTATTAGAACAGAAGAGGGACGTTTTATGGATTTCTCGAAAATAATAAGCTTTGCGCGGGCGTGCAATTCTGTACAAACACCAAAAATACTTCCTTTTTCTGAAGAGTGCGCCCATGGAAACATAAGGAAAAGTTACTTCCTCCACGCTAATGAACGAGCACCGAAAACAAAACGACTTGCGCTGCAGGCATAGAATAAAAAATTCGGTGCTTTTGCATTATCGGGGAGTGGGAGCGAACTAACGATTGCAACTGCAAAGCGTAAAACGTTCAAAAATGTCTTAAAACTAAAAAAACTGCATTTTCGACTAAAATATAATTTTCGATAAAATTACTAATGTAAGACAGTTTTTAAAGTTTATAACTAGTCTAAAGTTTCTAAAAAAATGCCCCCCGTTAATGCTCAAGAACCCAAAAGTCAGGTCCAACTGTACACGACGAAGCCGCCGTCGTCCACTTTAAAAGGGCATAAACCTGCGTAGCAACTTGTGATCTGCGCCATGGGGGCGCTTCTTCTGAAATGGCGCTACGGTGGGCCGGAGAGTTTCTCGGCCGATAATTGGGGCATCTGTTTCCTGTGCATACGAATGACATCAAGCCGGCTTCATGACTCGCATACCAATGTGGGAAGCCCGTCCAGGTCATGCGCGATGGTAATGCCCGGCACATTGGGTTTGGCGACGCACCAAAGATGTCCTGAAGGAAGGCGATGAAATGGGGAGATGGACCGTGTTTTTGGAGGATGATTTCCTCGTGCAAAGGTCGTACGACTCGTCGAGACGTCCGCACCGTCAGAAGCAAGAAGAAAAAGGGGTTCTAGGTCGTTAGCGGGGGGTTGCTCCTGTACCTGTTGACGCGCTTTATAGCAAAAAAACCTAAAGATTGCATTTTAATCTAAAATATATGGGAAATGGTCAAAATTTTTAATTTTCACATTTTTTTGTGATAGAAAACACCTGAAAACACTATAAAAATACGCTGTTTCCTTTCAATAGAGGTTAGGCTGAATAAACGAAGCTAATGCGCCCTCCCCGTTAACGAACCATAACCAAAAAGTGCAAGTTTCGACAAATATCCAGAATTTTCCCTAATCCGCGACTTCTAGAATCTCGCGGGCGGTTCCAAATTTCACCTCCGGCCAAACAATAACTAATCCGGGGCCAATTAGGTGGGATTAACTATGGAAATCGCTGCGACTTCCTAGTCTTGGATGGCCCCAATGCCCATATCGGTTAGTGCTGGACGGTGAACCGGGCAAAACATCATTTTTCTCCTCTGACCAAACCACCAGACATCCATCCAGCAAGCGCAGTTTGACCAAAAAATGTAAAAGTTTAAAATTTATTTCGTCTTCATCAACACCGATTCACATTACTAGTAGAAAGAATCTATAAAACAACAAAAACCGTTTACAAACAGAGAAACAACAGTGGCGCGATATGAAGCAATGACAGAGAGGCCAGAAACCCAGAAACAACAGAAATACCGTCACCACAGGGCCGGGAATTCGAGGAGATGGAATTAGACCTCGAGGAAGAAGTAGTTGCCACTGCGCGCGAGTTCGGCATCCTTGACCGATCTGGAAAGAAGAGGAACATTCCTGAATTCACTTAGAAATCACTCACCTTCCCTGTATGATGCGTGGCCGGAGAGTGTCCAGCGTCCCGACAGATGTGATTTCGAGCTGACCGAAGGAGTCGGTTCATACCGTCGAGTAGTGATTGAGGCCTCGATTGGAACATGGTTCCGGTTCCTATAGCAATGTAGCCACTTTCTTTATTCTTTCCCTAGTTCCACATAGCATCCCCCAAAGTTGGAAGTTTCGTAGTTGCATCAACTTTCTATAAATAAAATTGTTTAAAAGGCTATAAACTAAAACCAGTCTAAAATTCGTGCCGTATTGCTGACGAAGAATTCCCTCGCCTTGCCCGCTCAAGGTGAAGCACCCAAAACTCACGCGTTCGGGCTGTGGCATTCACTGAT